ATTCCCACCCTAACCCTTGCCTTCTCTCCCCACTACTGCAATTCTTCCTCCCTATACTGCCCCTGCCCCTTGGAATTCCCTCCCACTGCCTCTCCTGTGCTTGTGCCTTCCAGTCCGTTGCAGTTGCCTTTCACCAAGATAACCCTGGAATATCTGTCACATGTTGGATGCAGGTGGCAAGCCCTGGATCAACTTGGTCATAAAAACAGTAGGAATCTCAAGTTGAGTCAAGTTGCTTGCTGCTCCCAAGTCCAGTCACCTATGCAACTTGAGTTGGACTTCAGAGCAAATACTTAAATCCTCAACGCTGCTTTAATTATATCCTGTGTGAAAAAGGTGCCTCCTTCTATTTGTTGCTAGATTGCATTTATATCCAGCCCTTTTCCTTCTTGTACAGAACCCACGGTGGATTACATAGCTCCATTTTACCCACAACAATCTGGTGGGCTAGGCTAGGCTGCAAGTGGCCAAAGGTCACCCAACGAGCTTCATGGCCAAGGGGGGACTAGAACCCAGCTCTCCCAGGTGCCCAGCCCAACCTTCTTAATAGGAAACCTTCTTAATCCCTCTCTGCTTATTAGGACTAGGCTCAACATGCCACAGAGGAGTCATCATTAGGCCAGGAGCCTGGGGACTCTTCTTTTGCTACCATGGCAACTTACCTGCGCATCTATTGATGCCCTGTAGAAACTCTTCCACCAGCCTTCGTTTCAGTGAAAAACAGGGAGTGACGGTAACCCTAATCACCTGTCGTTCCCAGTCATATATTTTGTATTTTTAAAAGAGAGGGTAGGGGTGGGGCAGTGGAAGAAATGACAATTAAGAACAACTTTGTCAAAAAGCATTATACAGAGAGAGGATCTTTTTAGATAAGGCATTCCAGGGTTCATGTTTCCAACATTTTTAGTTTGAGCAAGGATCATGAAAGGGGCTGCCTTCAGAAAGCTTTTAAACCTTTTGGCACCCGCTAGCTTGTTTAAATATCACATCTTTCCCCATTTGATCTGCTTTGGCAGTGACAGAAAGAGACTGGCCTCTCTCAGCCAGTCAATTGCAACGGTGGCTCAGTGGAAAGCCATGAAGCACTTTCTTCCCTGCTGATTTAAAGAAACGAACTACGGGCTGTGGCAGGAGCATGCATGTTCATGTTATGTAACTGGATTGTGACGACCCCTCTCTCACTTTCTCGCCTTTATTTCAAGCCCAATGAATTATAGGACAGACTGGACAATTTTATCAGTTGACTTGAGTGGGGGAAAGGCAGCTTTATGTTGGTTAAAACAGAAAACACAGGTTTGTTCTTGGGGCCAAACTCCAAGTTATGGTAATTGCAAAACATGTAGCTAAAGGCAAGCTCTGATTGCACTTGTGGTCCCAAGTTGGATCAGGACTGCAACATTAAAATTAAAAGCTTCTCACCACCTCCCACTGGACTCTTCATGTTGCGGGGGGGGGGGGTTAAAAATTACAAATTCCATCTAATGCTACACCAGTGCAGAATTTGGTGGCCAGCTTTTTTCTGATATGTAAGAGGGGAGAGGCAAGGGAGCTTCACCTGCTAGGCCTCTGCTCATCCCAAGACTCAACAGTGGCACGTAAATGAGTATACTGGGTGTTCTATCGCACACCTGCAGCTCGGCTTTATTGCACAAAACCCTGGTGTCATCTGGCTGCAGTGTTTATATCCTCCTGATTCCACTGGGGATAAAAGTAAAGGAACCCTGCTAGAAAATAAATTTACTTTGGTACATGCTTGGTTTCTGCACATACCTGTTTCCAAGAAAACTGGCTTCTTATCAAACTATACTGGTTTCTTTGCACTTGTGTGTGTAGCTTTTTTCAGAAGCAAAATCTATATACACATTTTCTGTGTTTGTTTCCACATTTTTACAAGCCCCAGCTCCTCTTCACAAAGGCCCAACTGGCCAGCTCTCTTGACAACTGTATTCGGTTGCAAAAGAATAAAGATAACTGTAGAATAAAGACCTAAAATTGGGCCATGTTTTCAGTCAAGTATCTTCCTCAGGGACATGAAAACAAAGGACAATTTCCACTACCAAAAATTACCAGAACAGGAAAAATAAGGGACTAGTGCCTGTTTTTAGGCACTTCTTGGATGGCCTGTGAAGTGGGAACTTGCCCAGTTTGGCTGGATTCCTGTACCATGGAATAGCTGTGGTATTAATAGATAATTGCAAGAAATTGAGTATTTTTCTAGGTTGATGCTCACATTCCAGTTCACAGCAGAAGAATGAGCAGTGGAAGAGCTGTTTATCCCAAGGCTTGGACAATTTGCTGCTTGTCGCTCTAACTATGGTGACATAGGACTATGCAGTCTTCTCTTTTTGAACACATCATTAACTGCTTTTGGACGTGGTAAAAAGCAGGCCCTCAGACAACAAGACATAAGCAAGCAAACCCAGCCTGAAATTAGCTCTGCAGCAGCCCTTCCTCAGGCTTCCTTCAGTAATAGTCAAATCAAAGTATCCTCTCATGTGTGTGTGTGTACCAAATAAAAGGAAAATAAAATGAAACTCTTGTGAGGAAAGATGATAAGCAGAACAAACCTACTTGCTTGCTGTTTTTCCTATGCTCTTTCAGCCCAACACACGCTAATATTTTTTCTGTGGTACAGGAGCAGGCTTCAGTAAGACTTTTCAGAGTTTATTAAAATCATCTGCACAGAAGGCTGATCTTCTCAGCTTATCAATCAGAGAAGACAGAAAGTAGAAAAGTTAAAATAGCTGGGGAAAAAATACCGGTGGCTCTTTTTCTTGTTAGCTGGAAATGTTCTGCTACATCAGGGCCAACTTTTCTGACATAGAGTCACATCGAGCATGTTTGTTTATCACCTCGCTTTCCACCAAGCTGGCATCCAAAGCAGATACAAATAATAAAACACAGATTAAAAACAGCTTAATTAAAACATAACAAAAAACCCACATATAACAGAAATAAGCATCAGCAAACCTCACATTTTAAACACTGATTTTGTTCTTATTGGTGTACTTTTATATTTTGAGTTAGATTTAAATTCTGAAAGTCAGGTGATAGAGGCTTCCAGTTTTTAAAAATTGCTTATAAATGCCAGGCACCCCTTCCAATAGTAGTTTACTGTTTACTGTTTGATCAACTGGAACTGAATATCCTGCACAGAGCTCATTATCCTAAGAATCTAACCTTTTGTTTGTTTACAAATGCAAGCTTTTAGCCCTTCAGTTAGTAAATATCACATATGAGCAAATAATTCAGAGCTCTTTGCAGCTCCCTATGAGGATCCATGACAGAATACTTGAAAACAACAAATATATGCAGGTGTGCTTCATTTCATTTATTCAGGCTGCAGAAAGTTTCCTAGCTGCAGAAACTGTGTTTTTTAAGCCGAGGGTTCCTGCAGATTTGTACCCAATACAAGTGCACAAGACTCTTGACATAATCAGAATTATTACTAACTCTAGGTGGCGGTCCTATATACTTACGTGGGAGTAAGATGCACTAATTTGCTTCAGCCTGAGCACACACAAAATTAGGCAGGACAATCCCTATTTATTTCATGTGAAACTATCCTGTAATCTTTTTAGAAAAAGCAATTTAATAGGCTTCAGATAGGATTCTTCCTTTCCTTATTCATTGGACATTAAAAGGCAATCCAACATGACTGGCCAGGGCATGTGGGGAGCTGTAGGGTTTTTTTTGTCTTACACACGTATCAGGTTGCACTTTAATTCATCCTTTTGTTTTGCTAGTATGTCATAAATGCACATAGAAGTTGAAGGAATGAAAGACTAAAGGCATGTCATAGCAGATTTCATTTCCATGTGCTAGCAAGAGAGAAGGAGAGAGAGATCTGTTTTATACCTTGAGAATAAGCTAGCTGGTTAAAAATTAAGAGACAAAGATGATCTTGCATCCTCCTCCACACACCCACTTCAAAGTGCCTGGTTTAATCAGAGTACATTTGCTGCAGTGCTGTCTATGTGTGGGTAAGAAGAAAGAACCTCTTAGCAGTTCAGTGTACACTGCACAGTTTAGAAATATATTTGAAAACTTGGCTGGCATGCAGTGCATGTATGTCTTTTCCCTCAGTAGTTCTCAAGCCGTGCTTTGTGGAAGCCCGTGAGGTTCCTTGGAAGTGAATTGATCATGGGTTGCTCAGTGAGATGACTAATGGCTTTCCTGAAAGACAGCTTATGCCGACCTCTGATGATGTCTCTCAATAGGTAAGGCAAGAACAAAGTGCCGAGGTAGATTCTAGGATACACACTCAATTTGCACAAGGTCTCTGGTTTCACCTACCTGCTGTGTTGTGCTGGAGGCCTGCAGTCACATTTTTGCACAATGCCCAGCTTACACTGTTGCACAAATCTGGGCAGCAGGGATTGAAGATTGGACAACCTGCAAATAACCCATGGCTTATTTCAGGAGCTATTTGAGGGCTGAATAACCCTGCCTACCTTCCAATGAGACAAGTCATAGCAAGCAGGGAAGCTGTGGCCACCTGGTATGATGCAACAGCTTCCACAGGAAAATCAAGCCACTGTGGGTTGATGTGTCTGTCATGTGAAACAGCAACTTACTCTGTCGTTCCAGTGGGCTGGATTAGAAGTAAAGGGTAGCAACTGCAGGGAATGAGACTTCTAAACATTAGGAGAAACAACCCAGTAATAAAAACTAACGGTGGAATGGACTGCCTTGGAAGAGTGGGTGCCCTCCTTCACTGGTGGGATTTATGCAGAGTCACCCACAGTTGCAAAATGGTACCAAAGGCCTTTATGGTCCAGCATTTTGTTCCCACATTAGTCAAGCAGCCGCCTCCAGGGAAGCCTCAAGCAGACTATGAATATAACTGCACCTTTCTAGTTAGGTTCCCCACAACTGGTATTCAGACGTACCACCATGAATACCAAAAATAACAAACAGGCCTCATGGCCAGTAGCCTTATCCTCCAGGCATTTGGCCAATTCCCTTTTATACCCAGTTATTGAAGACATGAGGGAAGCTTATAATATCACCATGGTTTATTTTCTTTTTAAAACAATGCCATGTTACACTTTATTTTTGGAATCTGAAATGTGTAAAAAATTTTCCACTTAAAACATATACAACAATGTAACTGTGAAGAGACATAATTTAAGACATATGTAAAAATTAATTAATATCAAAACAAATGAGAAAAATAAGCACCATGGATGAGTCCAACCTGTTTCTGAGACTCCAGGTAAAACGGCAAGCATGGTTCTCACAAATTCACAGCGGCATTTCCACTTGTTTAATGCCTTAAAATGTTATGTTTTTATTCAGCATGAAAATCCCACTTCTTGCTGTGGCTGTTCCTACTGTAGCAGGTAGGTAAAGATGTTTTATTTTTCAAGCTGAGAACTGAAAGTAGAGAAGATTCTTCCTCATCCTCCTCTACCAGTGACTGATGCATTGGTTTTTTTAAAGGTGCAATTCAACATGTGATGGAGATCTATAATCCTGAACCTCTGCCAAAAAAGCAGAGTACCAGAGGGAGGATGCAATCTGGCATTGAGAAGAGTGGGGAGTGTTTTCCTTAGAATAACTCCTGTATTCACTGGAAAATGTGCGCATACAGGGGGTGGGGGAGGTTGTAAGGGGCTAAGCATCCTTTCCCTACCAAATAAGACTTGGGGCTTTCTGCCAAATGACTTCTACTGGACTGTTTCACTGTTGATGAGTTGATTGTACCCAAAATCCCGCTTCTCTGAGTATGTTTAAAATCAGACTCCAATGATTATCAGCTGGTATTCGATGCAAACTCCTGTAGGAGAAAAAATGTTGCCGGTACACTTCACATTCTATTTTCTGTTTGTGTGTATTTTTAGACTTTAATGGTAAGGTTTTAAAACTGTAAATAAAATACTGTTGAAATCAAAGGAGGTATAGATCACAGCACTTAACATTTCATTTTTTACATTTCCTCTTCTTTCTCAATGGCTTTTTGCGATGCAGTTCCTCAAAGGTTACTTCTTCACCTTTCACTTCATTGTCCATGTCTTTGTCATCATCAAATTCTAGTTTAAAAGAAGAAGAAACTGTTCAAGATGATAGACACCGACATAGCTATAAGCCAAATACACAGCAGGCTATTTACTAACAAGGCTCATCTTAGAAAAAATTACTTTGGAATCAGAAAAACATGTTTTTGCAGCTGTTATTTGTAATTGAAACAGAATGGTTAACTGAGATTTCCATCACATCAGCCACCTTTTTCAGCACCTAAACCTTCAGAAGAAGAAAGAAAAAAAGCTTGGATTCACTGTTTCACTTCAGTCAGGAATAAGGTTTCCTTGGCAGATGCAAGTTTAAACTTATGAAAAACTAGGTATTTACCTAAAGAAAGCACCTGACATAACTTTATGGTACCTAGGGCAACTTTCCCCAACACCTGATGGTCTCCAGAAGTTTTGGACTACAACTTCCCTGATTGCCAATTAGGACAGCAACAGGAAACAGGAAGGCATTGTCTGGGGAAGGATAGCCTAGGGAGTGGGCAGGTAATGGACCTCTTTGCCTTACTACTTCCTTTGGGCCCTTAATTTTCATTCCTAAAGAAACCCTGTGACAATACATGACAGGTGCCACTTTCCCATGACTGTACTGTTTTACCAAAAAGAACCATGAGTTTCTCTATGCAAGCATATTTATTGTATGCTCGAGTTTCCCTATTCTTAGTAATATGGGGATACTTTATATGAGGTCATCATCCTTTAGGGCCTCTCCCATGCTTTCCAAGCATTTTTAATGTAAGGAAAATGAGCTACTACCTAGCTAGCACAATAAATCATGCTAAAATCAGTTTTCATTTAGCCTCAAGTGTCTGGTCCTGCCTAATCTTGGAAGCTAAGCAGGGTTGGGCCTGGATGAAATCTGAATGGGCGCTTTAAAATGTGAACTGCCCAGAGAGCTTTGGCTATGGGCAGGATAGAAATGTAATGCAGTAGTAGTAGTAGAAGAAATGCCCCTATTTCTGCAATTGTGCTATACCACAGTGCCACCTTATGGTTGTTTAATGGAACATTCAGGAAGGCAGAGGGAAAAAAAAAACTATAGGGAAAAAAACAGGTACCATGATTCCCTGAAAATTAGAAACCAGAAAATAAGCCCTAGCATGATTTTTCAGGATGCTTGTAATATAAGCCCTACCCCAAAAATAAGCCCCATTTAAGGTCATCAACCAGATGGATGCATTTAGTACATCTGTTGCAACACAATTTGGGATTTGGAGAATTATGATGATGTTCCAGAAGATTATATGACTGTATTTGAATAAATGTAGATTTTTGTACATGAATAAATGAATAAATGTCAATTGTTGCACATGAAAAAAATAAGATGTCACCTGAAAATAAGCCCTAATGTATCTTTTGGAGCAAAAATTAATATAAGACCCCGTCTTATTTTCGGGGAAACACGGTATATAGTATTTGATCTTAATCCCACAAAGAACCTGGAAGGGGAGGCCTCTGTTCAATGGTGCATTAAAAGCCACATGCAGAGAAGCTCCAGTCGAAGCCCTGCCATACAGATGTTAAATGTACAGAACCCACAGGGAAAACAATACTAATGCTTTCCGCATGACTCCTCCTGTAAATTTATCTTGATCTTAATTCAGAAAAAAACCTGCATGAATGTTGTTATACCTGGAAACCACCCCACTGTAGACTGCTGCACACTTAAAATTGACGTTTGTTTAATTACCATAGAGAGTAAGTGGCTCACAGGGCTGGCATGAGACCCTTGCTGTTTGGGGTGGGAGCATTGCCCCCGTTTCCTCCCCAAAGACCCTCACCCTCAGTCCCTCAGCAGCTGCCGCTGCCACCACCATTCTCATATTCTCCTGCAGCTGCCTTCCTCCTCCTGAAGAGCTCTATTTATTCATTTATTTTGGTTTTTTCTACCCTGTTCAGTAGCTCAGGGCTCCCTGAGAATGAGGTGACAGCAGCCCTGGAAACCCCTGTTCTGCCACAGCACAGGTAGTCCCCAGGGTCCCCTCCTTGCTGAGTAAAGTGATTGCACCGCAGAGATCCCGCTCCAGCCAGGCACAAAGCAGAGCAAACGCACTTGCCTAGGACAATAAAATGCAAAATAGGACAGCTACTTGCAGCTTTTTTTCTGCACTCACTGAAATCTCCCCTTCTCTACGAGTTTGCCCTCGTTTACATCTAGGCTGCGGTTGCTCGTCTGATGTGAAAATGCCCCATGGTTTTGTACACACAAGCACAGTATGAAAGATTTTTTTCCACTGTGCTTCTATGCCATCATTTTCTTATCATGTGCAAGAAGGGTTTTGCCACATCGTGGGGATCTGTGGTGTGTAGCAATTGAACAAAAAGCATAAAAATTGGCAAGGGAAGCTTCTGCTTTTCACAGCACCGATGCAAGAAAGTGGGCATCTTACCTTGAATCCTCTCAATTGCAATTACTAATTACAAGTTGCATGCAAAGTAAGTGAGCAGGCCTACCGCACAATACCTAATTGTTCTTACAAATTAGAGTACAGTTAATATCTAAATAAATCTTTTGATTTTAACCACTATAACATTATATATTGACTTGCTGTATATAGATGTACATAAAATATACCTTCCTCCTTTAGTAGGTAGGATTCTGCTTTCTCCAGCCATTTTATACCATTGTCTAAATTAGAATTCAAATTTTTAGCCAACTTGGACAAGGTCTCTTCAGCTAGAATAGAATACAAATTAATGCAGTAAGTTAGAATGATGGAGGTGATAGAAGTGGTAATGCATGACAGAAATAGTTTTAGCAATATGTTAAAACAATGGATATTCATGGGGGGTGTTTGGAAAAGTCAGCATATATGCACATGATGGTTGCTTACAGATGTTAAGAAACCAGAAGTCCTGGTTCACTTGATCAAACAACCTGTGATTAACAAACAAATCATGGGCTGTTGATGAGCACATGCAAGAGTGAGCAAACATGCTGATTTTGAAACATCTCACTCCTGAGACTGTTGTGACATCCCAACTCGGCACTGCACGTTGTTGAGGATTAATGAACACAGAGTTTTAACCCACTGTTTGTGGTCAGTCTCATCAGTTCCAGGGTTGAACAAGGGCTGGCATGAACCCTACTGGAATCCGTCCCTCCAAGCATTCACAAGCTTCCTCTTGTGCTTGGCCTGGTCTTCCACAGCCAACCGAGCCGAGTGGAAATCCATGAATGCCTGTGAATTCCTGGTTGCACAACCAGCAACCGCCTTCCACATCAGCTGCACCAGCCCAAATGGCAGCTGCAGGTAGTGCTGCAGGTAGTGCAGAAATGGGATGCGGCTTCCACAATGGTCGCATGGAGCTCATTTCCTGAGAAGCCCCTCGTGACCAGCCTTCTTCAGTGTCAGTTGCAGCTGCTCAAATGGCAGCTCCAGTGTGGGAGAGGGGCACTGTATGTTCAACAGGGACACATACTCTGAGCCCAGGGAATCCAATGGGTTCCCAACCCTAAACAGATCCCTCCTACATCTCTACTTTGGACATCAAAAAAACAATCCAAAGGGGTGGGGGCTCCTGGGTTGTTTCAGAAAGCGGAAATGGCAAGTGCACAGGATACTGCATTCACTGCCATGTGGCCAACTGAGAATTAGACAAACCATGGTTTACTGTTGTGTGTGAACCAGGTGGTAGGCATGCAATGTAAAACCTGATTCAAGCATTGCTATAGGAGTGGGTAGCTGCTAAAACTCACATCTGCATGGTGGAGGACCTCATGCAGTTGTCAGCATGTTTAGATTCCCATTACAATTTTGATGAATGCTGCACTTAATTCCCTAAATTTTTAGTGGCAAAGAAAGAAGTGCTGTGACTGCTGGAATGAGAGGCATGTAAAAACGTCAAAATGCCCTACCATCTGCCCAGGCTTTCCTCTTGTAGATGTCCTCTACTGAATCAGAAATCTTCTGAATAGCATCTTGGATTTTACTTTGTTCCACAGAAGACTGTTCATTGGTTGCAAAATGCCCTTTGATGTGGGTATTCTGCATAATCCTTTCTATCACATTCATCCCTTCATGTATCACTGGTTCCACCATGTTTTTGAAAAACTCAGAATATTTTTGGTAAGAGGCAGATTTCTTTTTATGTTCATCCAGGTTGACATGACTTTCAAACGTTTCTCCAGTTGCAAAGATTTCACCGTCTTCCCAATCAGTCTCAGTTGGTGCGGTCGTTTCTGCAGGTTCTGTCCGAGAACTGAAGTTTGAAGGATTTGGGAGAAATTTGACTCCACAGAGGTCACACTGTGTCTGGTCTATATCTGCTCTTTTAAAGATTCCTGGTGCCATTTCTGAAGACTCCGGTTTTGTACATGCAATCCTTTTCCATCTAACAAGATAGCAGACAAACTGGAAAAGGCGCTGCAACTTCCGCTTGGCAGAAGCTTTTTGCTGTTGCTTCTGCTGCCGTATTGATGCTATATTGGCTAGTGGATCTTCCTTTTCTTCAACATAGATGTCCTTTTCCAAGTCTGTTTCTGGCTCTTCAAAATAGTCCACCTCTCCACCAGTATATGCAAATCTGTCCAGGTCTGCTACTTTGTAATAAATACCTCTGATAACTTTGTTCTCCTCATGTCTTGTGCTCCACGGTGCTTTGGGATCCCACCTCCAACAACAGTCAGCTAAAAATTCTTCATCTCGTTTAAACAGCAGCTCCTTGAGGCCTTCAACAACTTCTTTCACATCAGAGGTCTCACTCATCAGATCCACAATGTGAAGCAACCTTTCTGGCACTTTGGAAGGACACGTCTTCTTCATTTCCATAAGGCTTTCCTTGATGATAGGAAAATGATCAGCTAAAATAGATTTATATTTCCAATTAAGCACTTGATCGGCATTTACTAACATCACTAAGCAAAGCACCACAGTACGCTCAGCTTCTCCTGACACAATGCAGTCTGGGTCCTGAAAAGCATCCAGAAGTACACTGAAATCTTCATAATTACACAGAACATCAGCCAAATATTTCAGATGAAATTTAAATTTCCATATGGCTTCTCTTGTGTCCTCCGGCTTATAGTCCTGTATAATGGAAAAGATTTCTCTGTGTCGCTCTTTCCTTGCAAATAAAAAGTCCCAGAAGTGAAAGAGAGCAATGTAGCTCTTGGGAAGACAAAGAGTCATGCTTCTGCAAAGGCGCATGAGAACAGCACAGCCCAGGATAAACTGAAACTCCAGCAAAGTCACAGTGTTCCCTATGCTTGGAATCAGAGGGCTGATGCATTTCTTCACCAAGACATTCATGAAACGATAAAACAGCCATCTACACTTCTCAGGATTTCTGTGAACGTAGAGTTGGTCCATGGATGCCTGCAGGAGTCGAATGAAACACAGATGGCTGCTTTCAGCATTCCCTGCATATTTGTCAGGTACCAACATACCGTATCTGCCCTCTACACCTTTAGATCTTCCTCTCCCCCTTTCCTCCAGTGTCTTCAGCGCTCTGTTATATGCATCTTCTTCTCTGAGCAGAAACCTCTCAAACACGTCTGGATAATGAGAAGTTAAGGCAAGGATTTGCATTGCCCTCAGCCATAAATCAGTAGATTCTCTTCTGTTTTGGGCAGTCTCATTTTTAAATTCAGACTCGATGTATTCCTTCAGCACCATCCTGCAAGAACTGGATATTGGACAGTCACGCCTGTGAAGACTCAAGGTGTGTTTACATGATGCTGGGCTTTTGGACACCATTCTCAGATGGAAGTGTTTAGGAAAGATGGCATTTATAAGGGATTTGCACAATGCATACTTATCAGCAGTCAACAGTGTGTCAATAGCATTGGGCTCATGAAGCATCTCTTTAGGGAACATCTGCTTGCCTTCTAACAGTAGTTTGTTTATTGCAGCCAGGTGCATTTTACACTGAAATATAGATTTTATCTCATGAAATAACAAAACTCTGTGGAAGTCTTCACAGGTTTCATCCTCGCACTGTAAACCTGCAATGAATCTCATGCACATATTGGGGAAGCTCAGATCAATCAAACGGTGGGCAATAGCATTCAGCCTGCTCAATAAATGCTTTGTCAGTACAGTTTTCATTTCTTCCAGGCTAACAGTGAACTGGTCACTTGTTTTCTTCTCTCTTGGACTGGGATTCTCCATTGAAAACTTTAGAATATATCCACCTTCTTTCTGGGATACCTGGCAAAATTCCTCATCTACCTGCACAATCGCAAAGTATTCAAAGCATGACTTCACCATTTCTTTCTCAGCATTTGTGCCTGCCTTCCGGAAAGCTTTGACAAGCTTCAGAAGTACGTCAATTCCACATGATGCTAATTTCAGGATGGCTTCACTTTTTTCTTCACAGCGAGTTGCCTCAAAGACAGCTTCCACAGCACCAGCATTGTGATTCACTTCCAAAAACATCCAGAAGGCCTTTTCCAATGTATGAAAGTCTTTCTTTAAAACACCCAACAAATATGTTGCCTCTGCATTGACAGACTTCTGTTTTGTTTGCTCACTCAATTCTAAAGCTTCTTCCAAGATGGCTGTTAAGTTTTTCAGTTGATAAAAGCCAGCCCGGCTGAGGCGAGCTGCGGCAAGCAAGCACGATGCTCGGAAATCCATTTGGTTAGTAAGCTTTGCTGCTTCCAGCACAAACCCATGCTGTTTCATCAGCTGTGCAGCCTCCTCGTCTCTGTTCTCTCTCTTCAAAAGGTCCGCTGCTTCAGAAAAGTGCTTGTGCGCTTTCAAGAACACAAGCTGGTCTTCAGTGTCGAGGTGAGAGAGCGCCGCCATCATTTCACTGATCTTGTTTGCACGCAAATGCTTTGCTGCTGCTTCCAAATAGAACTGGTTTGCTGTGTATGCAAGTCTGGGAGACAGCTGCTTGCTCCTTTGGATTCTGAAACCAAGATATATATGCATAAATGTCTACTGGGAAATGAAAATAGATACATGATTCAGCTCCTAGTAACACATGAAACATACTGGAAAGGTCGCTAAACTCCAGCATGGACAAGTAAATAAAAAGTGAGAGAGTCTCTTCATAATTTTACATATGAAATACTCATAATTTTAGTGAAAATTATTTCAATATTTAACAGATTGGTCCTATCATCTTTCCGAACTCCTGCTTGTCCATGTGTTACCCGCAACCAAGCATGAGCGATGAATCAGTGTGACATGTGTGGAAATTCAGTTGCATCTAAGAGTGCCACCAAGACGCTCAATCTGCTAACTCCAATTAAAGCAAAGGAATTTCTCTGTCAGATTTTCCTTTGCATTCATTTCAAAATAAAGGAAACAATTTATCAATCAGCACTTTCCATAGGAACTCTTGTGAATACATAATATGTATGTAAGTGGGCACATGAGCTAAACCATTTACTATTAGAACTCCAAGAGAGTCGAATCCCATAAATGAAAATAGAAATACAATGCTGCAAACTCCTCCCCCATTCTCAAGTACTGATTTTGACTACATACACTAACGTACTTTTGGACATCTGAAAAGATTAGGCCTAAAATTTCCTAGTAATAATCTGTGGAAATAAGCATCACAAATTCCCCCCTTAAAAAAACACCCACACTCATTGTGTGAGCAATCTTTTTTGAAAATCAAGTCAATGCATGTTAGCTTTTATGATCTTCTGCACAGGAAGAATGGGGGATAACATTATGTGTCCAAGACATATAATTTGCTTGCATGATTTTGCAGTGCTGATTTAAAAACAAAAGATACTTGGCATTTAAAAAAACAGCACTTGCACATTTCAATGAATTCTATGTTTACACACTTGGGAAGCTGATTTAAAAACTACTTTTTAAAATGTTTTCTGAAGCTTATTAGCCCCCCTGGATATTTCAAGATGCTATGTTAGCGGCATGAACTTTCCAGCACAAGGAAACTTCAAGTCTGCAAATACTTTTTTGGAAAGTGGAAATGTACGGACGGGATGGAGTACCATTATTTATAAAACATGCTTTTTAAGAAAAAATACACACCGTTCGACAGTCATTGCTGCCTCTTCATATTTTTCATCCTGGCAATACATTCGAAGTGCCAGAACAAACTCCTGGATCTGTTCAAAACACCTGGCTGCATCCATGTAGCACTGTCCTCTTTTATAGAAAAGGGCAGCATCCTTCACCTGCATGATAACAATACATTATGAATGTGTACATCAAACCTGCAATTACTGGCAGCAGGAAATGAATGGGACACTCTGTAGTTCTAGGAAACTGGCTCACAATCTTAATGTTAAGTTCATGTCCACTGCAAAATGAAGTAACAGAAACATAGAAACTGAGTGAGTCAGAAGGACCCTCCTGGGCCATCTTGTCTGACCCCTGGCTCCAGCTCATGACATGTTTACCATGTGCATGTCCAGCCTATCCTTGTACACCTTCACCGATGGGGCTTCAACCACGTCCCATGGAAGCCCATTCCATACCCTCGGGGTCCTAACCGTCAGGAAGTACTTCCTGGCATCCATCCTAAATCTTGCTTCCCTGAGCTTTGCTCCACTGGAACGCATCCTGTCCTCCGCAGCAAAGGAAAAATAACTTGTCTGTGCCAACTGGCCACTCCAAATGTAAATATCACAGACAGGATTTTCATTATCAGCTAGTCTTAGCTCAAGTTAAGATATGGGCAGTTGAGTCAATTCCTGCATTCAGTGGCAAGTCATTGTGTTCATCGTAATCAACGTAAAGAAATCATAATGTATCCATTATGTATCAGTCCATTTGTTAGAATTTGTTGTTTGTGACAGCCCATTCCCACTAAAATATCCCCATATCTTATGGCAGAAAGGAGCCTGTGCATACGCTGTAGCACAAGGATTGGGTTACAACACCGAGTACTCCTCAGACCTGGAGGTGTAGTGGAGCCAAGGTTCACAGAGAAGCAATGCTGGTATTTTTGATGAGCAGAGATGCCCCCTCTGGATCTTCCTGTTCTCTCTGAGCAAATGTTCACAGTGGCTGGGGAAGGGGGATAGGCTGGGTGCCTGTTTTTGCATGGGCAATTAAGACCCATTGCCTTTATAAAAGATCTGTTCCTCGTGGAGATGAAAACCACTCCAACTAGTTTGTCAATATGGATCACCACAGCTGGCCGAAGTATTGGCCTAAGCTCAGGGGCACAACTAGGAGCTACCTGCACCAGCATATACAGCTTATTCTGACTACATTCAGAAAACAGGATCATTCACACTCAAGAGTTGATGATGGGTTCATTGCGGGCTGTTGTTGAAACGTGGGTTATCGTGTTGTGTGGACCCAGTTTGGGAAGTGCAAACAAACCCTCGAGAACCCATGGTTCGCTGTGGTGGTGTTCATCATGGTTAGTTGTCTTGGCTGGGATTAGACAAGGCAATAACCCACATTTTAACAACAAACTCACAGAGAACAACAACCCACTTGCAACTCATGCTCCACTGTTGAGTGTGGGCTATCATGCTGTCTGCTTCCAGTCACCCTGTCTGCTTCCTCATGGCTGTCTGTTAAGAAATATCACCACTTCATGCCCCTCTCTCTACAACACACAAATATTCCCTACTGGTACATGCTGAGCTGCCAGGCTCTCCTGCTGAAAAATATAAAAAGCAGATTACATGAAACAAAGCTGCTGGGCAAAGTACATTGACCTGAACAGTCTCCTAGAGTCACTCCTATCAACTGTTTGGACAGATCACATGGCTTGATTACGCTGTCATCCAACAGAGAGAAACATCAGACTTCTTGCTTTCTGATCAAGTACTAGCATGTTTGGGCAGTAAGGATCCCTTCTCTTTAGAAGAGAAACAGGAGGAAAAACCATATTTACCTTTCCTACTTTTTCACAAAGCTGTGCACAAAGCTTGTACTCTTTGGCATGAATCAGGCATTTAAGTGCCAAATTTGGTTCTCCACATTCCAGGTAGGTTTTCGCCAGGTTCAGGTATTCCATTTGTTTCTCTCTATCAAGAAAAAGCATTGGTAATATACCAACATTATATATTTTTAAAAATAGGAATCAATTGTCAATGGTACTTTACTGTATTATCCATCTTAAAATGTTAAAGAAGAGAAGAATGCTAATAATTCCTCATACAGACAAAGAAGTATAATAAATACAGATTCACTATGCAATCCTATACAAGCTAGGTATACATAGAACTGCTATCTTAATTGCTTCAAAAACTGCATAAATCCTCTGCTTGAATCAAGCTGCAAGCAATTGGCCATAATTGAACTACTATTCATCATGACAATCCTACTGAAAGCAAAAGGACATGGTAAATTTATCCCTGGCTTCAGAATGGACTCGCTGTAGGAATCAGTGAGTGTTTACTTAAAAGGAAATTCCACTGAGTTCAGTAGGGCTTAGTCCCTGCTAAGAGTGCACAGAATCACAGCCTTAATCACAACTAACTTAACTGGAACAGAGCCATCATGGATAATGAGATAAGTTGTTTGATATTCTGTGGTAACCTTCAGGGGGGTTCCAACTAGGCAGGGAAGAGAAACAGAATGAACCCTTCTGTGACTTCCATTTACCAAATTTTAAAGGACATGGTTTAGTAAGAACAAGTAGGGCTGCCCTCCCCAGCCTGGTGTCCTTCAGATCATTTGCACTTCAGCTCTCATTTGCCCCAGGTAGCATGGGCAATGGCCTGGAATTCCAGGCCTTGTAGTCCCAAAAACCTGGAGGGCACCAAGTGAGGAAAGATCACTAAAGATCAGCTAAAACCTAGGGCTCAGATTGCAGTTCAGCCCCAATCCTCCCTCCCTTTTTCAGCTGTATCAAGCTGATAATATAGTCCTGCAGCATGTTCTCCAGGAGGAGGGAGGTTCTGTGCCTCCCTGTATTGCTGCAGAGAACCAACAGCACGATCCCTTGGAATGACAGAAGCCAGCAACATCTGGAAAAGGAGATCCAAACTTGCTTTATATAAAACCTCCCAAAGATATTTTACAGGGTAAAAAATGCACTTACTTGGGGCTGATTTTCTTGGATTTAACTTTAAGCACAGCATCATTTGCCAAGGCCAGTTTTTCCTTTTCAGTCGCTCCTCCTTTTTGATAACATTTTGCAGCCACCTGAAATAAGGATCATCATGTTTGCATGTAGCGTGAAAGTATTAAATTAAATGCTGGACTACAGAACAGGCAAGCTTGCTAACTTTAAAAAGAAATGGCCACCTCTGCTTCTGCACCTTTAGCTGCAAATATCAGTGGCTGCTTCTTCCATGTCAAAGTCTGAGGATTCTGGTTCCCAGGGCCCCTCCTCACCTGATGAGTCCAAATCTGCCTGTTCTTGGAACACATGCCAAGAATAACTGCCCCTTTCATTCCCAACAGGTGCGGAGATGCAGGCCTGAAGACCAAGTCCCTTTTGGTCAGGCATCCTTTTCCTTAAGCTCCAATTCTCTGATAGTTCTCAGCTCTCATGCCATTTCTGCCAACATACATTCTAAAACATTTTAATGCTTCCCCTAATGCTTAGTTAATTGCAGTAAAAGTTTTTAGCTAAAGCAGACCAGTATTTCGGGCATCTTGGTTCTGCCCCTTTTAGTTAGCCCCACCCAGGCCTGCAGTGTAGCCTCCGGGAGATTCTCATTTCAGAAATTTGGTCCTTGGGCTGAAAGGAACATACTCCTACATGCAATGCCCAACCAGATAGTGACTACGTGGGCACCATGTAGTATAATCTTCCTCCATGAATTTGTATAACATCCTTTCAAGCTATTTAGGCCAGTGGTTGTTATCAGATCTCCTGGAAGGAAGATATTCTTGCATTATTTGGGTTTTTTGAACATCTCTAAAATTTTCAGTTCCCAAAGCAGTATGAAAAAGCAACAACTATGCTTCCAAAGGGGTCCAAGATCATTGTTCCCTGCTTAGTTCAGTAAAATAAAAAGTCTGCCTAGAGACTTCTGTATGAAAATGAAATGCTTCATGCTCCAAACTTCCAGCTTGCAAGAGATCCAGACTTTTGTTCTTGCAAAGCTGACGAGGAGTATCCAATGCTGCAACTCTGGTAATGGAAATGAGCTACACAAGTGTAAACTCCCTCTAGCATAATGCCAACACCAATTTCCCCCAGAAAATCTGATGCACTAACAAAAACTATTGAGCATTGCACTAGATATGGCCTGTGGTAGTGGAAAATCAGAGTTGAAGCACTGGGTATTGCCTGCAGTGTTTCTTCACACAGGCGGGTGCGCGCACACACACACCGCCTTCAAAAATCTTTTAGGCAAGTCTGTGAGTTTACCTTCCAACACTGGTGTTTAGCATAATAGTCTCCTTGTGCAACCCACTCTTCAGGAGTTGATGTTTTAACAAACATGCTATCATCCAAGTCTAGAAAAAGAAGTAAGCATGCAAGAACTTGTTCATTTCTTAAAAGGTATCTAACAAACCAATGGCTTCATTTCTGATACACGATAGCTGAACTTTATATGTACTTCCTGCCTTTTTTCTTTTTCAAAGAACTCAAAGAAACTTACAGAATATTCCTCCTCCTGCTTCTTCCCACAGCAACCCTGTGAGGTAGGTTGGGCTGAGAGTTTGTGACTGGCCCAGTGTCACCCAGTTGGCTCCATGACTGAGTGTGGACTGGAACCCAGAACACCTGTGTCCCAGTCCTGTGCTTTTAACTACTATACCAAAATACACATATTGCTAATGCTATCTAAAATTCTTGTGAATACATCTCCACATGAAGCTACCATGTAATACTAAGGGTTATCTATTTATTTCCCTTACAATTTTTTTCAGTGTCAGATGAAATAATAATGAAGATGTCAATATTTGTTTTTGATCATCTCTTTTTATGGAGATATTTATATGGATATTATGCTACAAGCTAATGTATGAATCTGTTGAATCTCTTCTTGTAAATACAAAATCCAATGCACTGACTGGTCTCAATCTCGTCAGATCCTGGTCTTCAAATGAATTCTGGAGGACACAAAACTATTCCCAGGCAAGGACCAAATATCAGTGCTTTGGTCGTTACAGTGCAAAGCACTATTAATTTTATATCTAATATTCCAGTTTGTGACAGGATTATATGTAGGCCTTACCTTTATTTTCATCTGTTTTGACAACCTGAACGTATTCCTGGTTCATGAAATACTGAAACGCAGGTGCGCGCCTGTCCCAGTTTTCATCAAAGATCCACAGATTGACTCTGGCTCTTGTAATAGCGGTATACAGTTGCTTTAGCTCTCCATTAAGCATCTACAGATACAATAAGGATGTGTTATGTACAGTAGACAATCATAAGAAAAATGGTTCAGCTAACACATTTGGATTCGCGTTTCATAAAACACAGTTTGCTTTCTGTTTCTTGCGGTCACACAGATCAAAACACTCCTATTAAAATTTCACTTCATATACCATTTGTTGGCTAGCTGACGTGTAACCTTTGGCTTAAGGTTGTTAAACCACTGGGATTCTCTACTTGTTTATACAATTATTTTCCATGAAGGCTGAGGAAACAGAACAATATTTGGTGGACACATTCAGGTTATCATACTCCATTTGGAGTAAAAAAACTAACACGATCCCTAAGGCCATTTTCAAGCAGGGCAAGAAAGACGGGTGACACAAGGAAAAGACAGAACTTTCTGGAGCACTAAAACTTAGCATAGGCATTTATGGCTCGCTTTTTAAATTAAGGGTCAGTTCCTTGCACTCATTTTAAGAACATGGAGGAAAGACAAAATTATAATGCACTGCCTTAAAAAAGCCTTCTTGAATAGTATGATTCATAGCTGCCTTCTACATTCTCCAAGGGATTCTTCTCCAAGTGACTCATCCTCCATTCACAGCTCAGTTCTACCAAGAGTTATCTAGCCTCAATTTTCACTATTCATGCTTACTCAGACCCTTTCCTCAGACCCTTTCCTCATTTTGCAACTATCTAGCTTATGGGGCTGAAATTTGGTGGACTACCATAAATATTTTGGAAATAATAAAGATGATTTCTTCTGCAAACATTATCATCTTCCTTCTACAACCCCTGCAGCCTTCTTGCACACAGAATCAGGATGGCCATCAATCAAGACAAGAAACAGAACATACTCAGTTGGGGCACCTTGAACCAATTGCTTTTCTCCCTAATGAACATTTCCCAGCTTTTTGCCATTTGGAAATTAATGGAAACCATACCCAGAAGTCAAGGCTTCATAATTTGGCATGTAGCTATCACATTTCTGATCTGAATAGCATCTTTACTCTGGATAAGAGACAATTAAGGGACTGGTTATTTTGGATAGATTCTAGAAAAGACCTGCAATTTATTAAACACTCTAAATTCTCTCAGTGGTTTCCTCCTTTGAAAACAAAACATTACAGAGCTAGATACCTACCCAGATTTCCTCTTTAAGAAACACCTTTACTGAGTTGCAATTTCAAATTATGTCAACCACAGTTTTGGATGAATATTAACAAGGTGTCTCTTGAACACAGATTAGGTACTTGTGGTTTCTATTCTATGATGACATCATTCATTATGTGCTAATTTGTCCTCTACATACTGAACCCCAAGAATGATTTTTGAAATCCTTGCTATCATATGGATACAGGAATGCCTTGACATAAGCAGTCATTTTTCTTTTAAGTGATAGTAACAGTTAAGAGACACATAAAGTTGCTTTGTTTGCTTTGGTAGTAAACAATATCAGGCAGAGAGAATTAGACAAAGTTGTTATAAACTGCACTGGAGATTCAGAGTTAAAATAAAGATGAATGTCTGTTCAAAGTATATTTTCATTTATTTATACACATATTGCCAAAATTCTTATTTTGTTGTTTATGCACATTCATTTGATGTATTTGTCATGATCTTTGACTAACACAATACACTTTTGACTTGAACTGAACTATCCAGTTTAAAAACAGAACCTTGAACTCTAATCCACAAACTGATTTGGATATAAAAGCAGCATGGGGAAAAGGGGGGGGGGCTTACCCAGGGGCATGATCACGATGTTTGCTCTTTTATCTGGTACCCACCTTGTACATTTCTGGGTTTAGAGTAGAATGCTTTCCTGGAGGATCCACATCTTTCTCAAAGGGTGTCTCAATGATCAGTTCATTTTCTTCAGGTAAATGAGAGGGAGGCACAAATGAAGAAATTATTTTCCATTCTTTGTAGGCCTGAAATATAAGAAAACATACAGAAAGTGATACAGCAAGGGGACTACTTCATGTGAGCAGCTCGAACCAGGTTTTTGAAAGCAATAAAGTGGGATGGACTAACATTAGAAAACAAAATAAATAATTGGAAAAGTATTTTACTTTTCACTTTTTATTTTATTTATTTTTAATTTATTTAAAACATTTTTACCCTGTCCTGTATGAAAAAATGTCTCAGGATGGCTTACAATAATTAAAACAATAATAATTGCAATAATAATAATTGCAGTAAGACAGTAATAATTATAATAATTAAGACAAATAACAAAACAATAAATAAATAACATTCATAACCCCAACAAAACAAAACCAAAATGCAACTGCTGAGGAGCACATTCCACAATCTGGGCGCCAACGCAGAGAAGGCCCTCCTCTGGGTAGACACCCTCTTTACCTCCTTTAGGGAGAGTTCCTGGAGCAGGGCCTCTCCTGCCGATCTTAAGGGGCATGAGGGTATATAAGGAAGGAGACATTCCTTCAAGTATCCTGGTCCCAAGCCGTTTAGGGCTTTATAGGTTAGCACCAGCACCTTAAATTGGGCCCAGACTTCAATCGGAAGCCAGTGTAGCTGTTAGAGGACCGGTGTTACATGAGAATAATGACCGGCCTCAGTCAGCAATCTGGAAGCTCTATTTTGTACCAACTGAAGCATCTGGACCATTTTTAAGGGCAGCCCATGTACAGCACGTTGCAATAATCCAACTGGGAATCTACCAGAGCATGTGTCAACGTTGCTAGGCAGTGCTCGTCCAGGTAAGGATGCAGTTGATGGATCAGCTAAAGCTGAAAGTGCTCCTCACCACTGCCATCACCTGGGCCTCCAGGGGCAGCTCTGGGTCAAGGAGCACTCCTAAGCTGCAGACTGTGGAATGCTATTTTAAAACTGTGGAATACTATTATTGAACAGTCTCAGCTGTTCTCTGGCTTCCTATGCTAGCTAAACAAAAAAGTGGGGGAAAGGAGCAAAGTTCTTTCTGTCCCCCTTCTATTCAAAGTTCTTTGGACATATAAGACACCATTTTTGAAGACTATTTAGGTTGCAATCCATTCCAGCACCATTCAGATGGAAAGCAGTGCTGTATCTCCCAGTGTTTCCCCTCAAGTCATAGCTCCCAAATCCTCAAGCCAGCGAGGGAGCAACAAACTCGCTACTCCCCAGTCTCTTCATGGTCTGAACTGGGGGTAAAAGTTCCATCTCAATCTCAAATATGATAATGAGTTCAACCGTAAGCTTTGATGAACTCAAGATGCCAAGAGGTCCCAAAACCAGAACCTTGGGTCAGCATCCCCCAGAGAGTGTCTTCTAGGCTTATTCTAAACCTGAAGATCTGACATTATTGCAACACCCCTTCAATACTAGGAAGCGCATGGGATGGGCGTCATGCTAGGAAGTTATAGCCCACCATGGTGTTCAGAAAAGGAATACAAGCCCATGCTGCTTCGTCACTGAGGCTTTCAATTCTGCCCTAGAGAGAAGCCGACAAACACCAGACTCTTCTATTTTACATACCTCTGAATCGGTGAAAAAGTTGTAAAGGAGCACATCATCAAATTCCAAGCCTTTTGCTTCATAAATTGTTAGCACAAGAGCCAAACTAAGTTCCTCAGGAATTTTTTCCTTTGCCATTTCATTTGCTACGAGTATCACCTACAACAAAATGGAAAATACTAGATCACCATTACCAGTGATTACTAATCAGCTCTGGGGTGACTTTCTTATATGCATTTCTTGGCACCTCTTTACCCAGACTTTTAGAAATTGGTATTTGGTCAATTCATAACCTGCCTTTTTTCTAAGGAGTCTAAGTTGGTGTAGATAATCTTCCTCCTCCTCTGTATTTTAACCTCACAACAACCTTGTGAAGTACATTAGGCTGAGAGTAAGGGAGCTGCAGGGCCAAGTGGAGACTAGAATCTGGGTCACCCAAGACTTGGTCCAAAACTTTCACCATTACACCACCACATTGGCCTCTGAAAATGAATGATGGTTGAGATTCTTGTTCTCTCCTGTAAAGAAGCAGTGTTCTGCATTACTACTAACTGAGCTTTCTATAGTGGTTTTACGTTTTATCTCATGTTTATAATTATGCATGTATCATGTCCTGGAAGCACAAGGATGGGATATACATTTAAATAAATAAATAATCAGAAACAAAGACAGCCAGTATACCTGTTACACAACAAATGAAGAAATAGAACAACAGAAGCTAGAGTCTGCTTCATAGTATATATGGATTAATTGTCGGAAGCCAACTAATGAACTTGAAATAATGATCAGTAAATTGTATGGTCAGGGCAGGAGATGGGGAGAGAATACAGAAGATGCCTTCATCCAGAAGATCCACCTTCTTTGGGGACACAGTGTAGAATAGCTGTCCAGGAATGGCTTTTGTAAGTCCATTTGAAATTAGGGCTGTATGTGCCTCTTTTAAGATTCAGATCTTATAGTTGTAATTCCTGCCTTTGTAGCAACCATAAGGCAAGGCAACTACAATGTGTTCCACTGTGCCCGTAAAGGAAAATTAAGGGCTCAGAGGAATGTTCAATTATACTTGAAAGAATATAATATTTTAATAACATTCTGAAAAAGGCCTTGAAGGCTAGTATTAGATGAATTCAAAGCTGCATGCTGTCATTTCTCAGAGGATAGGTCATCAGGCACCACTAGTCCTGATAGCCATATGCTGTCTGTCTATACCAGCTGCTGGGCACACAACCAAGAGGGTTTCAGATGCATGTCCTACAAGCAGCTGCAGGGCCACTGTGTGAGCAGAAGGCTGTAGCAGAATCTGATCCAGCTGAGCTGTTTTTATGTGTTTCCTTATGAAAGTAGCATTAGAGAGAAGATCATGAGACTGGTGAATTCGGACATTACGTTTAGTACAAAGAGAAGCCAGAAGAGTACGCCAAGGAAAGTTTACCTGATGTGCGCCAAATTCTATTGGCTGTGTTTTTCTTTTGTTACCCCTCAGCAAGATTGCCAGATCACTAACACTGCAAGAGTCCAACACAGTGGGCTTGGGCCCATCAAAAAGGCCTGAGTCCCTGGGTAGTCGATCAAAAGATTCTGGGAAAAAATACTGAAGCAAATCAACAACTCCTGAGGCCAAGCGGAGAATCCCTGAAGGCAAAGAAAAGGCACACACATTCAATCTCTCTCTTTCCTTCTCTAGTAGGAAATGGGCACAGAAGAGGAACCAAGTGCCAGAACAGCAGTTACTTTAAAGCTGTGGCTAGTAGCTGTCCTTTTTAAGTTTTACCCCAGAGTAAACACAGGGGCCTCAGTCTGGATCTTAAACACCCTCTGCTTCCCTTGCTAGCATCCCAATCCAGACTGGACTCTGATTCTACTCTAAAATAAAAATGAAAAAAGATGGAGCTGCAAGACTTAAATGTAAAACAATGTTGTCTTTAGACCTGGAAGTCAGCCATTCTCTGGTTTTAAAAATGCATCTGGAACAGAAAGTTGTTTTAGAGGTCTAAGTTGGTTCCTCAGAGGTACTCAAATATGAAAATATCGAAGGGGTAGAGTAGAAAGAAGAGATGCATGAATCATACATCCTTTTCCCGTATTTCTGATGACTTGCATGAAAGGGATCACAAGCTTTCCTTGGATACACGGGTGCAAAGAAGGGGATGCAACAGGACCAGGCCCTAAGGAAGCAACCCATGTATTTGAGTCGCTTCTAGCGATCAGCCCTGGACATCAGTAGCCATGACTGTTGGGGCAAACCAAGAGGCTCCACCTGCTGCACAAAAGGTATTTCTAAAGAGAGGCTGTTGTTGATAAGATATGTGGAAGATGTTGAGTCCATCTAGCACGGAATGTCCTTACGTGAATTGGCACTCCCAATTCAAGGCCTTTCCCTATCACCTTACCCTTTCCAACTGGGCATGCCAGGGACAAACACAAGAACTTCTGCATCCAGATCAAGTGCACTGTTATTGAGCTATGGTCACCCAAGAGGGGCTTACATGAGTCATCAGCAAATCAAGGGCTCTCGTGTCCATGATTTCCTGCAATAAACGCCCCTTAAGTCTTTTCAGTGGCAATATGAACGGACCTTTATGACTGGCTTATTTGCTTAGACAAAGGTTACTTTTGCTTCCCACTCATTTTATAGGTTCAGTGCCAGAAGCCAGACCTTGCTGAATTAGACCAGAAGCCAACTTCCAATTTGCTATAATCACACTGGTTCTTAGCCTTATTCACAAAACATCCTAAGACCATGTCAGAGAGCTGTCATACGGTTGTATAAGATAAAGTAATAACATACTTTCTCCCAAACCCACATAGAATTAGAAACGGAAGCACTGATTTTGAGCCAAAGAAAGCGTGCTCAGTAAAATATATTTCCAAAGAACACATCCAGGTCTGGAATTGGGCATTTTTTTCCCTAGGTTATTCCCTCGAACATTTTTAAGGCGTTTGAGTATACGACTAGCTTGTTTTTCATTCTGTCATTTCCAACCCCACCTCTTTTCTAAACCATGTAGCTTTTCTTAAAAATATTTCCATACCTGAGTGAGATCTGTAGTTCTGATAAAGTTGATATATCCTTTTCGGTTTTCTAACAGTACACTGTTTCTTATTGTCATCTGAGTTTTTACTGGCATAGTAGAAAAGTGATCTCAAGTCACTGAAACGAAAAGCGACTCCTTTGATGATGCTCTGTGCCGTGTCTCCAGTCAGGAACATTGCATTAGGATCATCGATACATTTCATCAGCAACACCAGCTCTGCCTGAGTAAAATCCTGAATTTCATCCCCATAAAGTTCATGGATGCACCATGGTAGCTCAGTGAGCTTTGAAAGCCGCTGAGACAACTTGTGGAGAACATCTTCCTCATCAAAATAATTCCCTTGTGATCTTATTCGCTGATAATGACAAAAGAGCTGATAAATTTCAGAACGATCTTCTTTGAAGTTTGGGCATCTCTTCCGGCCCAGCTTTTTATATTCTTCCTCTGTAAGTATGCCTTGATGGCTGCTCAGTGCTTCAAATGACCCTTTCAGGAAAGATTTTATTTCTTTCCAAACCAAAGCTGGACTGTAGGGACATTTGCCTTTTACCATCTTTGGCCAGATTTCATTGACAAATACATTGTAAGTCACAAAGACTCGAGGATCACACTCTCTTGTATGACCTTCTGTAGCTTTTTCATCCTCATCATGATCTGCTTCTACATCAAGATCCTCCTCTTCCTCTTGCCAATTTGAGATGACCATTTCTTCTGCAGTGGACCATCCATCAATGGTATGCTTAAGACTTCCATCTTCATTCCGAAGAAAAAATGGCTCAGGCATAGAGGCATCCAGTAAGAGCAGCAACTGTTTGGATGTGAGGAAGAGAGGAAAGTTTTCATCTTTAACATCCTGAAGTTTGTAAACATTTGCTTCCAGTGGTTTGAAGTGACTGGTAGCCTTGGAAGATTTACTAAGCTCAGTGAAGTTCCTCTGGACTTCTTGGCACAGAACATAGTTTTTAGTAATAAATATTTGGTGCAAGTGATCCAGTTTGTCAGATTCTTCCACTGTATATTCCTCATCACTGTCATGTACTAAGTTCATTTCTGAATCCCCCAAATTTGAGGAACACTGTGGAGCTTCCTCTTCTTCATGTTCATTATCTGTACTTAAAGAAGAATCCAGTTCTGAATCAATGGAGGCATAGCTATCTTGTTTTTCTTCATGAACTTCTTCCTGAATGCTCTTGTTTCTCAACTGCATATCGAATTTTAATCTGTGCCATACTTGCCTGACCAGCAATGGACATTCTGCCAACTCTGCTTTCTCCCAGTAACTGTGAAAGTTCTTCCAAAGCCGGTACAAGCAGCATGTAGTCTTTCCTGTCCCACTTCTTCCAATTAAGATTATAGGCTCCAATGGCTTGGGATTCAAGCCAATGATAGCATACTCCAACTCACCCACTCTGAAGGGGTACTCCACAGTGGATGACATGTCACTTATGATGTTAAGGGCCATGTTTGTACTGAAGCTGTGAAATTTCATTATATTGTATTCAGTCTCTACTGCACTTGCTGGGGGAAAGTATTCAGGCAGGACAGCATCTTCTGATTTTTGTGCCTTGGTGTCTTCGACATAAATGCGAGGAATGCGCTTTTGAGTTTTCAAGTTGGAAGACATCAGGCCACCATTTATACCTTTCAGTTTTTTTCTCAAGATGCAAGAAAGCCCTCGATTGTATGCAGTACATATCGTTTCAATGGTCCGGTTGAGTTTGCCATGATCCAGTACAATGTCCCATATCCGAATAATTTCTGTGTAAACTCTTCCAGTCTTTTCCATTGGATGAGTAGACTGGTCATTCTCTATTATCTTTTCTGCATTTTCACTGCAACGAGGAGAAAAGTCTATTGCAAGCTCCCACAGCATCCTTGCTCCTTTGTCTAACTTGGCTTCATAGAGCTGAATGTCCCCTTTCAAGTGTTTCAGCTGCTTTTGTAGCCCCTTGGTCCATTCTCCATTCCCCAGCTGTTGAATGATGCGTATTACCTTATTCTTCATATAGCGACAGATGCTTTTGCTTCCCAACTTCTTCAGTGTTTCAGATGTGCACTCAATTTCCCATGTCATATTATCAAAGTCCTGACCAGGCACCTCAAATTCCTGAAATGGCTCATCACCTTCAGCAGCAGCAGCTTCTTCTCCTCCCTTGGCCTCATCATGGGCCTTATTCTTCTTAGGATCATCTTTGTCTGGGAAAGGATCCTCTTTACCATCATAAGCCAACTCTTCATGGCCGCAAGTCTGTTGGCATTCATTCTCTTTATCTGCAGAGTCAGACACTGTAGACAGTGGTTTTGCGGCCTCAGATGTTACCGAATTCATTTTTGGTGAGACTTCACCCAATACAAGTTTCTGGATTAATTGTGCAATTCCTTGTACAAGACCATCTTGAAGAGTTAATGGCTTATCTAAACACCTAAATGCTGAATCTTTTTCTTCAGCATCTCCAGCTTCTTCCTGCTTATCAGAATCAGTGCTTACTTCTGGAGAATTACCTATTGCTTGGTCTCCATTTGAGCTTTGAGATGAATGTTCAGTTGAATCATGGCTTGAATTTGTTGGTTGCAACTTGTTGCAAGCTGTAATCAACTTGGACAGTTTAGGTGGCTGTCCTGCTGGATCATGTCGATATTTCTTCTTGTTGTCAGCCAGAGCTTCATTCCAAGCTAAAACAATTGGTTCATTCTTCTTTTTTTTGTGACGCACATCTCTACCAGCATTATTTCTTATATTAAAGTTAATGTCAAACTTGGCTAGTAAGCCTAACACTTTCTTGATTTCCTTGGTTGGATTTTTCTGAAAAATAATGTGCATTACTGTATTTCCATTCTTGTCTTGGTGATTGGGATGAAGATATGGATAAATGGATGGGGATGAAACATACAAATCTAGAAGGTATTTCAGGATATCAATTCCCTTGCCATCTAGAGACGAAAAGATAAAGAGAAAAAAAACAAGGTAAGAGGTGGGAAGAAAAAAATACAGAAAGAAAAGGAAAAGGGGGAAAATGTCTCGTGTCTTGTGCTAAAATCTTTGAAAGAGCAGACAAAGTTGCCTCACATACCATCACACCTCAGGTGATGTAGCCCAGTATTATCAATTCTCTTCAGCCTCCTCAGGATTGCCCTGCTGTCTGCCAAAGTTTTAAAAAATATGTGTATAAAATCCTTTTTCTAAAAGTATATTTGTGTTTAAATATCCTTTTAAACAAAGACAGAGTGCTCCTGGGAGTGAATGTATGCAGACCAGGGGTTCAGCCAGCACATTATGAATCTTCCCTGTTCTCTTTCTAACACTACCACTGACTTTCCATTACAGACCATAGTGCTGACCTTCTACTGGTGAAGGATAAAATAAATGGCAAGGGAAGGGTGCAGGGACTTTGATCAATTATGCTTGCTAAAGTTTATAAATGATTTCACCAACAACTAGCTGCAAAATCTCCCTACGTCCAGGGCTTACCTTTCTTATCAGAACAAATGCACAGTGCAGCATGCAGAGGAGTATCACCGTCCGTAATAGATAGAAAACGCGGATCAGCCCCGGACTTCAGCAGCAAACAGGCCAGTGTGAAGTCATTCTTTTTTAAGCATTTCTGAAGTGGATGCCCAGAGCTCGTTCCGGTTCCCTCAGGCGACGCTTTGGAAAAAATAAGCATAAGCCCAGCTTTACAAGGGGATGCAACTGAGCCTGGGGATAATGATCTACAAAAGCTTCATTCAAAGCAACATTAATTCCAGTGATTATCAAATGCTGGTTTCATCCGTAACAGCTTCTGTGATGCTCTAGCAGAATTATCTTTGTGAGCATATAAAAGCAAGGGCAGTTCTCAGAGCACAGCACAAAGCTATGAGACGTGCATGCAGGACTTTCATTCTCCCTTCTGGTCTTAACGAAAAATACCTCTTGAGATGGATGTAGAGTAAGAAAGGGATCTAAGGCAGAGTTGCTGCACCTCTTTGAGGCTGAGGGCGACATTCCATTTTGGAGAAAGGACTGCAATGGACAGACCGAAGGCAAACAGGGACAGGGCAAAGGGGGCTGGCCCAAGATATTAAAAATACTAGGCTAATTGAGCTTTAAGCTTTTTTAAAGCTTAAGAGCTTTTCTATATGTTACTCTCTGTGTACTTTTGGTTTTGTTGCAGCATTGAGATCCAAGTTCTACACAAGCTCTTCCTTTCCTACTTTTTTGCTATACAGCCTCTAGGTGGAGCTGTGCTATGGTTGGAATAGCACCACTACACCAAGGACAAATATCTTTTCAATGTTTATTTTCCCTGTTGTAATTTAATACCTTATTTTCCTTGATCTTCTAAAAATGTGTGAAAGTGCTCTGAAAAAACCAGAAGAGAAACTGGAGAATTGCTCTATCCTTTCAAAAGCCCATGAATATCATTTTAAAGGAATCCCATGCACACAATAAATGCCTCATATAGAAAAGCCCTTTGGAAAGGCATTTCAACCTTTCAGAATGGGAAGAAATAATGCAGACATAGGGAAACCACCATATAATTGGCTGCAAAGAAAAAGGGAGTTGTGGCCATCTGGAGATCCCTAGACACAGACTGGGCCTACAGGTGTCTGTGTCAGGCCCCAGGGCTGGGATGTGAGCAGGCCGAGACAAGGCAAGAGCAACAGAGGCACCAAGACCAGGGCAACAGAATTTCAGGCAAGACAGGGTCCAAAAGCAGGGCTTAATGGCAAGTGCAAATCACAGTCACAGTACAAGCTGAGTCAGGAACCAGAAGAATGCATGAGGACAAAATAAGGATGTGGTCAGGAACAAGCTAAGGGTCAAAAACCAGGACAAGAGAGGTGCAGGTACCTTGGAGAGAATAACAGGACAGGAAACATGGTACAGCAGGATACCCAGCAAGGAAATATACATGGGACAACAGGAACCAGATGTAGCAGGGTCAGGCGAGAAGCAGGAGCTGAACCACAGTTTGCAGGAAGCCCTGCATTATTGAGGGAACAAGATGAGGATACATGCAAGAAGCAGGACAAAGATCAAGCAAGAAGCAGACACAACAGCAAGGCAATATGGAACCAGGAGCAAAAATCTGCTGCAGGATGCAAGCAGAGCAGCAAACAAAGGGGCCCGCACTGCTGAACCCAATTCTGGAGGAAAGAGCTTGCTGTTATGTAGCTCTTCCTTCAGGACTCCCAGCAGGTGCTTGTCAGTAGACTAAGACCTCCAGCAGGGCCTGGGGCAGATCCTGCAAATATGGTGGTGGTCGCTCTGGTTCTGGCATTCAGGGTCGACACCCCAGCTCAGAGAGACAGTGTGTGACCTAAGCCCAGATATGGTGGCAGAGAGAAAGCAGCACAGGGAAAGGCATCCCCTTCTCGCCATGGGTATTCAGAAGGAGGGTGCCGGTATGGAAAGGCTACACCTTGAGCGGCTTCGGAAGAGTGTGTGCAAAACTGGATGTACTTCAGTGGGACCAAAGTGGGGGATAAAGTCCTGGGCTACAGTACAGCCCTCCTCGTTATCTTTGTATAACAATCCTTGCTAGACTTCTGTCCTAAAATGGCTAGAGGCATCACATCAAAGCTGCTCCTGCCCTAGCACTACTTTGCACAGAAAAGCAGCACAACAAAGCTGTTCACAGTATCAGTGCCAGATTATACCTACTCAGGGAAAAAAGCATCTCTGTCCTGATGCTGTTCAGGCGATCCCTACTCACGTAGGTTTATATCTTATGACTTAACAATGCCATGGCTTTTCCAAGCCACAGCTCAGCATACCCAAAAGGAAATACAAGGTTATTATGGAAAATCATTTGTGATGTTGGCAAGGCAGTTGCTTTAAGTCCAGAATAGGGCCTTATCACTTAGCATATTTCATATCTGTGAATATTCACCTCCTCGGTCTATCAAGGATTTTATGAGCTGCTCTCGGAATTCATTCTCTCTATCTAGATGGTTCAAGACAGTGCCGATGTCAAGGTCGGAGAGATCGCAGTTTGGAAGAAGCCTGTCTCCTGGTGGCATCTCCCCAGTGGCTGTTTGGGTCAGCAGCAGCAGAACTTCATGCCACATTTTTTTCTCCAGCAGTAGCTTTATGAAGCTGCTGGCACAGGCAGGAGGAACATCACAGGCAATTTCGCTGGGAATTTCTGCATAAAACAAAAGTAAGTAGTCTAGTACATTCTGCAAAGGAGAGTCCACCGCAGATGCATGTCTTAAACACAAACTACCTGCCCAGCCCGCAATTTATGAGTGTTTTATTCTGCCTTAGTGGTGACTGCTACAACAGCTTTCACTACTGCCCTAGTGGTGCGAGCACTGCTTGTGCAAATGGCACTCTGCAAAGCTTACTTCAAAAACCATGGGCCCTCGACTGTGCCTGGGTGCCAGAAGATACTCCATATTCTTACCTCTGAGATTAGAGGCAGAGCTCTCCCCCCCACCCCCATTCCTCCACTTGTAGGTGGTGTGGAAAGAACCATGTCAGGCACCTCTCCAGAGTAGGTAACTCTATCTCAAAGAGGGTGAAAAGGAGGCATTTTGTGAGTAAAGGAGACCCGGGGATGAGATATCCTGGCACTTCCTTAGCCTCCTTCCCCCAAACTCCAAAGTGCTCCTGCTAGGCAACCAAAATTGGTCATCTAACAAGGACACAGAGTAGGAAGTAGAAGGAGACTGTTGCTCTTCCTGATGCTGGATGTCTGCAAGTCTCCACATTTTTATTTTCTTCTGGATAGGACTGGGCTCTAAGTCAATCAAGTCTCATTGATTTCAATTAAACTACTCAGAAAAAGTAGATCCGACTCAAGGTTTTTCCTTCTTTAATAAATTCTGTAGCCTTAAACTCTCCAGTAATGTATACAGCTGAGTTGCAATTTGTTGTTCCAAAAGGTAATAAAATTTGATGATAAAAACTTTTCACCCACCCTATTTTTTCATGGTCCTGCCTATCTCCAGGTAGCACCCTAAGGTCTTCCCCTCCAGCTTCTCATGAAATGATTAGTATTAAGAAGCAAGTATGATCATACTATGTCATAACTCTTATTTGTTGCAGACTTTTCTATCATCATGTCAAATACAAACATGAGCTAACTCCCCAATGCAGTTAAAACAATATCATACAAAATATGCAAGTTTACGACAAGCTCAAGCCAACATTTCTTTAAACAGGAGAAAAGATCAAGGGAGAAATTTTAACTGTCAATTCATGAAGGTGGGAACAAGGCAGTGAGACAACATCATTGGTTTTTTCATTGGCATCTCAGATCCCTTGGTGGAAAATAAGCTGAGGCCTCTCCAGTTATAAATATATAACTATAACTATATATATATATATATAAAACTATATCAACTATATAACTATATCAACTATAAATCAGACAAGCCCCAGGTACGTCAAACTTCTGGCTAGCACTGAAAGACTATGAGACAAAAGCAACAATGCCTGAAAGCTACTGTCTTCTTTCAATGTATCCAATAATGTGATACAATTAATCTAGTTCTTCCGCACAGCTGTTTACCTTTCACTAGAATTCATTTTTCATTAAAGTTTCAGCTTCTGTTGCCTGGAGGATATTCAAACGGCTTTGTAATGGAGACTTTTTATGTGATATAAGGCTGAAGTAGACAAATACATCTTAAATGGATCTGAATGACAACAGTCATGGTTTTGAGCATTATAAAGCAGATTAGAACAGGTAGACAAAAAATCTCTATTGGGTAATAAACAGGTTTGGGCACATAACCTGGTGTTCTCCAGATTTTCTGGACAATATCTCCTAGAATGCTAACTAGGTTTTATGGGAGTTTCTAAGAGTTTCAGGCTTGCATGGGGGGATAGGTTTCAAGCCCCCCAAGGGATGCCTGAAACCATAGACAGTAGCACACATAGTCAGCCTTCCATATTTGCAGGGGTTAGGGATTCAGGATGCCTGTACAAGTGGAAAAACTGCCAATATCTTTAGGGAAAATTTGAATATCTCTAGGGACTCTGTTAGGGTTGCCACATTCTTTGTCTCAGTACCAGCCAGCCTCATTCACATGTTTGTCTCTCAGTAGGTGCAAAGGTTCTAGAGATACTTGTGGTTTTTCTGTAGAGAGATTCAGTTTTTCCACTTTTTCGGGGAGATTCTGCACCCCTAACCCCCGCGAATGTGGAGGGCCACAATCAACCATGATTAAGTGGAACCATGATAACCAAGACCACAGATATGGGGGTCCTACTGTGCTTCAAATAAATTATCACAGAAAACTCAACAGCCACCCTTTAGAGATGAAGAAGGCTAGCTGATCCTTATACTGGAGGGGACATTCCTGAGATTAGTCATGAGTGTTTTGTTATTAGGCTTCTATTGGGTTAATTCATTTGAAAAGGTACGAAAATATGGAAATCTACTAAAAACCAAAGGGAGCATCACTGCCAACTCAGAACTAACATTTTCTTGCAGGAATGTTTATTTTAATAATTATGTCACTTATTACTGTACCTTTTACTGTATGCAGCAGCCTGAGAAGCTCCTTTATGCTTTTATGTGTCAAAGATTTGATGCTACGTGCTCTATTTTCCATGCAGCAAAACTGTGAGAACTGCTCAAAAGCATTCTGAAGCAAAGCAGCAGCATCTTCAGGAGTTTTGTTCTCAGTCTGCCCTGTGTTGAACAACATGAAAATGCACGGTTGTTATATTTATTTGTGGTCTGAAGAAGAGGATTGCTCATGATGAGAAGAAGAAGCACTTTTAGGTTGGGTGCTGATCTGGAATGCCTTTCCTGTGATTCTTGAGTCTTGAAATGTTTGTGAATAGAGCTATCAGTGTGGTTTGCCCTGAAGTGCTCCCTCTTTAAGACCTGACAAAGGAATCTTGATATAATATTTGGATATTATATCTTCCATGAAAACTAAGATGGCCCCAGAAAGCGTACCGTATATACTGGTGTACAGGATGATCCTTTAAACCGAACATAGCAAAGCAAAAATTAGGGGTCATCTTATATCCCTAACACATATAAACAGCCCAAAATACTGACCTCATCTTATAGGGTAATCACCTCATATGCTTATACACACACACACACACACACACACACACACACACATGATTATTTTTCTGACTCATACTTCCTGGTTGCTTGTTCCACATGTTATTACTTTAATATCAAGATGTAAGATGACCTCTGAAATTGAAAATAGTGCAGCAAATATTGGGAGTTGTCTTATATGCCCAACATATAACACCAGTAAAACAGCCCAAGATATCAACTTCATCTTAGATGAGAGTTGCCTTATATGCCCATATATAGGGTAAGTGACCCATCATCTTTCCCTCCACTCCAGAGGAACTGGGCAAGCCTTTCACTGTGTTAGAAGGAAACACAGGAAAAAAAGAACAGTAGTTTGGAGGTAGACTGCAAGAGACCCACATCAACTGGGTTTGCACAACACAGTGGCCAGGATCACACCATCACCAGGGAAATAAGCCACTGTGGCTTCTTTTCTCCACCCCAGACAAGCCTGCCACACCTTGAGTGATTTGCCTATTACCTCAAGGTGCATGGCTTGCCATGTTTTGAGGTCTACAAGCAGTAGCGGCTTCCCAACCACAGCAGAACCCATGGCTTGAGATAGGGTCCTGGGTGCCCCCTGCCATACCCCCTGTGCTGTGAGGGTAATTAGGCCAATAATGTGATGCAGGACCGGTCTGGGCAGGGACAAGAAGCCAGTGTTGCTTCTTTTCCCCAATAATCCTGCAAACCTGGCCAATAAGCCTTGGGGGCTCACAAGCAGGAGCGGCTCGTCCTGTTTTCTGAACTCAGCCAGAATGGCTTCTGCGTGGCTAACAAATCATGCTGCTGGGTTCAGGCAAAATGCACTACTCTGTGTAAGAATGTTCTGGCGCTAACGGTTCCTTGAAGTATCCATTGGACCAGCACATGCAGCAAATTTCCGTTCATGTCTAACCTTTAAATATCTCTAAATAAACCAAACATCATAGAAATGCCATAATCTTCTAATGAATTTCCATCTACATTTGACAATTATATGTATGTGAATATTCATCACAAATATGGCTAAAGTCTCCAGTTACCTCATTCCAAGGATTCCTGGGCACACACATGCACTTGGGAGTTTTCACTGCTCAGAGAATTGGGGTGTAAGAACATAATTTTCTTACATAAAATAACTTTTAAAATAAAAAAGTTATTTTTTAAAATAAAATAATTTTAAATAATTTTATTTAAAAGTTATTTTAATTGTTAATTTATTGATTGTATTTATTGGGTTTTTATGTACATGCCGAGATGTTTCCGGTTTTTTAAGTCTAATTATATAATTGTTTGTTTATATTGTAAGCCGCCCTGAGGCATTTTGCGAATGGGGCAGCATAGAAATGGTTTAAATAAATAAATAATGATACTAAGGCTAATTCTACAGGAAGTCAACCATAAGCAGTCCAACATTTCTACCTCCAACAACCAAACACAATTAATTCTTTAGATCAAGTTTTCAAACTATCTACACCCAGGAATACTTTCCATACCAACTTAAGTGCTATAGAAAGTCTGCACATTGCAGAGAATTCTGGGAAACATGTTAGGATCCCTTCATATGGAGCACTGATGGGTTTCACCATTGCTCCTTATGAACCAGGAACAGGACCCAGATCACATTCCAAGTCTTCTCAAATGCACATTTTAGATTGTCAGTGCACAAGCTTCTTTCGGGAAAGTTTGCTTTACTGTTAAGTTTCCAAATTTTCCATTTCCAAAAAATGCTGTTTGAAAGCTCCATGTTCTAATGAAACAGTTTAGAACCTCATGTCCAGAGAGGTCCCAATTCAGATTTCAGGGGTTTCCATATCATCCTCAACTGTTTCTGGACTTTTGTGCAGTTTCCCGTTTCTAAAAGGTGAAATGTTTTTCCTAAGACTTTATGGCATTATGAACTTGAAGCCAAAATATATTACTATTTCTGTTAATATATTACTATTTATTTCTGCCCCACACCCATTTGCTTCTGGCCCACCCACCATTGGAATCCAGCCTTCAAATTGGAATTCATCCCTTAGGATGAAAAAGATTTAGAACCTCTCTTCTAATGCAACTATGGAACAAAGATATTATCCATGACAACCACAAGAATATAGCTATGGAGACCAATCCAGTTCACAAAGTATTTCTGTAAGGAGGTGCCAGCATCACTGTCAAAGCTCAGCAACAGCTGGACAAAGGCCTTGGTCTGTATATGCTGGTACCACCTCTGCAATGATGTGGATAGGAAGAACAGCACAGCAATTTCGTGTTGCCAAGACACTCCATTTCCAAATCAACAAAAGCACTCTATCAAAGCATAACATGAAACAATGGGTAAGAGGATACACAGGAAATTACCACTCAAAATAAGGGGGATGCTTAATCCTGCTGCCCAGTCCTTGAACCACAGTTCTGACTTATGTCTGAAACAGGCTATAGACTCCTGCATATCTAAGAGCCTGTGTTCATCAGGAGATGGATATTATTGAACTGAACAAGCAGCCCCATGAAGTACCTGGGGACTCCTCTGGAGATGGCACATGTTGGCTTATGTGCTTGCTGATTATATCCACAGCCTTGAACTTCTTGTGTCTTTTTAAGATATCCACAGCAGACCTTGACTGTGCATCACAGATCTGTGGATTCACCCCAGCTTTCAGAAGCATCACCACATCTTCTATCTGATCTAAAACATAAGGCAAAGAAAGATCACATGAAAGGAGGTGTGGCAGAGAGTTTAGAGTGTTGGACCAGGGCTCTAGGAGATCCAAGTTCTAGTTCCCAGTCATCCATGAAGCTCACTGAGTGACTTGGGAGACTCATACCTTCAGCCTAAGCTTCTTCACAGGGTTATCGTTGTGAGGGTGAAATGCAGGGGAAGAGAACTTAACCCATGGGTGCCCCATAAGAGGAAGAAAGGCAGGGTATAGATGTGATGGTGTGATCTTCTTAATTTAATCCATTACTAGCTGCACTTCAAAATTTAATGGAAAGAAGCAAATAGCACCAGCTCAACCACATGGCAGTTTTCAAAATGGCCCAATCTCATCTAACCCTTGAATATCTGATTGTGACAATCCACATGTGCAAGCAATACCAAGCCAAACCAATCTTTTATCTCCTCCTGGCTGTACAACCAGAAATAACCAGGAACTGTGGAAGACTCCAAGGCTTTCTGGAAAGTGAGAGGAAAAGAGCTAGAACCAACTTAGAAAGATGGTCTAATGGTGCCATCTTATGCATGCTTACAAATGAAAAAAAAGTCTACAACTCCCAGGCAGCCATAGTGGAATAGACAGTTATTTCTTCACTGCCACCTGGTGGACTACATAAAGTAGAAAACAACAGCACTATGCTACATGGCTGCCATTTGAACATCAAAGTCTGATAGAAAGATTAGCTTCCTTTGCAAACTGTGATAGCAAAGGGGCATAGTCTGCTCTGTGAGAAGAAAGGAAGTTGTACAAACCAGCTAACTCAGCTCTTCCCGCTGTGAGATACACTGCTGACTCCAAGGAGTAGTTTTCTCTTCATGGTTTCTGTCACTAAAATAGCCTTGTTATCATTAAACTTTGTAACTTATTTGTTGGCCCGGTCAACTCACTGTAATTGAGAAGGTGGTAAAGCATGGAGGGAAACCGAAAGCTAAGTGAGACTTCAAGGGATTTAAAAGGCAGCAGAGTTTCAGTCATTACTGTAAATATATTACAGAAAGGGAAAACAGCTTTACCAATTAACCATAAAAATTTGGGAATGAAAACAACATTAGAAAATGCATTTGTCTAAAGCCAACATTTCCTTCTTTGGTAGAACCCAGCTTTCAGCCCATTCCAGTCCAGTGGCAGGAGAGTTCTAACCCTCTTGTGTGCAGCTCAGCTTCTTCAGTCCTTGGAAAGGAGTTTCAGTCCTCTCCAGTCTTCTCTTTATTGAATTCTTCAGATATGGTTTTTTTCCCCTTCTGAACTCTCCAACAACACTGTAACACTAACTCTGCTCTTGCTTGCTTCATTCATATATGCTACTTTAGCTTCCATGTTCTGATTAACTCTTGCCACACAGAAGCTTGTTCAGTTTCTCTTTCCTAACTTTCTTCTCCTAACCCTTAAGTTTATGATTCCTGTACTGACCTCTTGAACCTCCTGTCAAGGAGGGTTTCTGAACAGAAAGCAACTAAGAACCAAAGAAATGACTGAACGGCTTTATTCCTTCACATGCACACAACTCAAAGTACATCTGCATGAAAATTCACTGAACTCTCTGTTAAAAGCACATTGGTTCTTGCATTTGAGCCTTAGAATGGTCTAGGATTTGGTAAGAACCAATTAACCTGGGATAACACCAGGAATTAAATGAGGCAGAGTAACTTATTAGCTGAGATATTTCAAGAAATAAGATATTTCACACTCAAGAGTATGAGCCTGAATTATTGTTGAACCATGGGTTATCATATTGTTTGAACCTTGCTGCAATAAGAACCATGGTTTGTTAACCGCCAACACAAAAACAGAACTCATGGTTTGGTGCTGGGTTGTTAAGTGTAGGCAGCAAAAACAAACCATGATTAATCAAACTATCAAATGCAATTGTGGCTGGAATTCAGACAACAGGACAACCCACATTTCAACAGAAACATAGAGTTCAATGACAAGTCATACTCAACCCATAGGCAGTCCTTGAGTCTGAACTGTGTTATTCAAATAGTTAGGCTACCACAATACTATATAAGTTAACAGAATTCTTTGCCAAAACATGTTGTTGTTGTTGCAGGTACATATATAGCCTGTCTTTCTTCTATTGCGGAACTCAAGGCAGCATACAAGAGCAGCTTTTACCCAGCTAGTGATCAGACCAACTTAGCTTCAACCAGTTAACCCATGTCTATTCTAAGGTTCCCAAACCATGTGCCTCTTTCCGCATTGAAAGAAAAGGACACTCCAGTAGTTCCACATTAATTGGCCGGGAAGATATTTAGCTAGTGCCCTCTAACTTGTAGGAGCTCCAAGGAAATATGTTCTTTGTTACTGCTTCCTAGGTTTGTATAAGCTTCTCTTGGAAGACTAGCAAAGCCAGTTTGTCTTCCAGGGAAAAAAAGAAAAAAAAAACCAACAACTACTTTTCATCTGGGCAACATTTCTCCAGTTTGTTAAGAACCAAGCTTTCTTAAAGAAGACAACTGTTTTTTATCTGACACAGGTAATTGTTTTAAGGACTTGCTTCTTAAATATAGTTATCTACCTTAAGTCTTTAGGGGTAAGAAAGGCTAAAGTGAAAGCAAACAATTTTACATCACAGACAGTAACATGATGCTAAATGGACAACAGACAGTGGTTTTGCACTCAACTTACTTTTTATAGAATATCCATTGGAGTGGGACGCTACAACATGGAGAACGGTTGACCCATCTTCATTTTGTTGGTTGATAAGATCCTTCAGTTCAGGCTTATGAACAAGTAACCACCTGAAAAGGTAGCTTCCTTCTGAATAATTTAAAACGCAAAAACATGCACCTTTAATTTAAGCAATTTGCTTAAGTTATGCCATGTCTAACAAAAAGTTCAAATGGATCTACATACTGTAGACCCACTGACATGAATGGGACTTAATCCGGACTCTACGCAGAGCTAATATTCGATGCCACTCATGGTTCTTTCCTTGGCTTTAGCTAGTCTATGCATAATGTTTAAGGCTATGATGGCCAACCATTTTGTTCTATGTGCCAGCAATCAAGTCCAAAATGTGAATTAGTATCACTCAAGTATCATTATAATATCTGTTCAGCTTTTCTGAACTTTATGGTTAGTTTTGCCTACAGTCTAAAGACATCCGAGTCTACTCAGCTGAGAACAGCAACTGACTTTATACTGTGGGCATTCAGTCCAGTGCAACAAACCCATGTTTCCAGTCCAAAAAGTTAGCCATCTCAAGTTGTAGGGCTTCAATATACAATATACTCAACACACCCTACTGATAGGATCCTAGTTGCTTTAGCTACAAAAGATCTTACATTTCTGAATTACCTGTAGCATTATTTAGGCTGCCACTTGGTTTGAGAATTGTTTTATAAGACACTTACTTGCTTTAATACAAAGGATAATAACAGCATGAAGGGGATAGGCTCCAATACTTCTTATGTCGGCTCCGATGGATATCAGCCATTCCACTAGCTTGGGTATCCTTTCCATCTTTTCATATTGACCAAAAAGAACATATTTCTGGTTGAAGAGAAACAGAATATATATTTGGTGTCATACAGATCCAGCTCACACTTCACAGCAGGGTTGCTGAACACTGGAAGGGCAGAGATAAGCAAAGCATAGGAGCCAGCCACTTGTTATTGCCAGCATTAATTGACAAACTGTTGCCAATTAAAATTGCTTTGTGGCATCCAAACACTGAAGCTAAAGGTTCTTTAGGTGTCAAACAGCCAAGAATTAACCCAACAATAAACCATGTTTTTTCCTGAGTTAACTGAAAGCAAAAACTGAGTGCATGGGGAACAGTGTACTTGGTGCTTCTCTTGTCCTCAGACATTGCTGGGTTAAACAGTCCAGGAATTGTTTCTGTGGTATCTGAACCAGACCACAACCTCCATCTTCTGTCAATACCATAATATGGAATGAACAAAAAAGGGATGTGGTCAAGGTGTATGTTACTGTAGCAGATCTACTACCAAACCTCACATGGTTCTCTCCCTGCCAACCACATTCAGAGATACAGAGAAGCAACAGCTGCATTCAATTGCTAATAGAAGAATACTCAAAATAATTCTGCAGATTGCAAGCAGCTCCACTGAATTGCACTCTTCGTCTTGTCAGCATATTGGTGACTTATGATATCAGGTGATATCAATGCTCAAGTGAAACTCATTTCCATTCTCCTGATCCCAGGTAAACCATTTCCACCAAAAAGATTTCAACTAACCTCAAACAGATCTTTCAGTGATACATTAGTTACTCTCAGTTTCTTTGGCAACCTGTTCTTCTCAGAAGACAACAGTAGGCATGACTAGAATGGAAAAAATATTTTTTCTGAATGTATAATCTTTAAATATTAACCTTCCTATGCATTTAGATAGCAAGTCTTTTTCAAATCTCTGTGATGCCTGTGTGTGCAAAACCCAGGAAAAAATGAGAAACTAGTTTCATTCTGCAGTTCTATGCAAGCAGGACTGTAAATTACAAAAGCTGAATGCCCTCAATTCTGCTTGTGAAAACCCCAGTATTACTGCTATGCTTTCTGAGAGCAATGATCTCAGAAAGAGAGGGACAGACAACTGAGTCGAGTAGTGCATCCACAGTAGTATTCCACAACAGGAGAGAGTGCACATTTATGTTTTTCTTTATTTCCAGTACTTCTATAATCAATTCCACACCCAAATGGATTCTGGAGTGGTGAATGATATGTGATTAAAACAAACAGAATAAAAACAATATGTAAAACATATAAAAATAATATTTAGGCCATGGCTAGTCAGCGGAAGGGGCTTCCCAGATTGTCTTTAACAGGCAGCAAAAGCAGCAGAATGCTGCTGTCCGCCTGACATCCCAAGTCAGGGAAGTTCATAAAAACAGGATCACTACACTGAAGGTCTTTCTGCTGTTGGACTCCACTTGGGCCAAGGGTCCATGTGGAGGCACCAGGAGAGTGTCCTTTGATGATCTCAGTGACCTAATGATCTCAGGTTGGTAAAGAAAAAGCGACTGTCTCAGGTGCCTCATCCCAAGTTGCTCAGGGCTTTGTACCCTACATACTAAAACCTTGAAACTGGCCCATTAGCATGTCAGTGAGCCATGCAGTTCCTTCAGCAAAGCAGCTGCATACTGAAAAGACCACAGCTGAGCAGCTGCATTTTGCACTGACTCCAGTTTCCAGAACAGCCTTAAGAGCAGCCCTCCATGGAGTGCATTGCAGGAGTCCAGCCCTGAGGTTACCAGTGGTCCTGTGGCCAAGCTATCCCTGACCAGGGCAGGCTGTAGGTGGTGTATTCTCCTTTTGAGTACCCCTAGGACCCCATTCTCTAGGATGTGCTTTCTGGAGACAGGGAAGTTTCTTCCCTATCCATCATCCTTTTCATTGGTTGGCACGTCTCTCCTGACATCAAGGGGTCAAGAGTCAGGCTCTCCCATGTCCCCTCCCTGCAGTTGTAAATCATGACTATTCTCAATGTCCACCTGAACACCTGGGGAGGGTGCCCTTCTTCCATTTCAACATTTGAGGACTCTGGTTCCCTGGGCCCTTGTCATCTGATGAGTCCATATTTGCCAGGCCTTGGAAAGCATGCCAGGAATAACTGCTCCTTTCATTCCCAACATTACCTAAGCAACCACAAATAACCTCACAATTAGAGAAGAAATACAATCATCAGGAAAGTGCATTCTACTCAGTTACATAAATATTTGAGTTCTTCTCTCTTTCCCATCTTTAATATGCATGAACAAAAAGCATGAATGCTACCCAGGAATTGTGTTAAGCATACAAATTAAGAAAGCACATCTCCCATTCCTGCCAGTTCATTCCGAACAGAAACAGGACTTTGTAATCACAGGACTGGAATGCTGAAGCAGAGAGATTCCAGAATCCATGATCATTTCCCTGATGACTTGCTCAAATTTATTGAGAAGCCAGCCTGAGCTTGAGAGAGGCAGAATACCAATGTTTAAAAGGCTGAGATGCCTACCTGCCAGAATCCTTTCCTGGCCAGCTTTTCAATCACCTGTTGCCAAACTGATAAACTGTAATAATCATTCACAAGTTGTTTACAGATGGATACAAACTGTAGGCTAATTGTCTTTTCATCTAAAGGGTAGGAAAATGAAATAAATGCATTTATTCATTGGATAAGTCACAGCCTTTCACCTTCATCATTTTCCAATATGGGAAATTCAGAAGGGGAAATGCAACAATAAGAATTAGCACAAACAGATTAAGTTACAGAATGTTTGGGTAATTTGTGGTGCTCCAGATGTTTTGGCCTACAACTCCCATGAGCCCTTGCCAGTGGCTATCCCAACTAGGGCTGATGGGAGCTTGGGTACAAGGGCCTAAGTCTCAAACAGCCCTTCCCTGAAATAGTATATTTCTAGCTATCTTTCAATTATCTCTCTCAGTGATGCACAGATAAGCAGGCATATACAATAAGCAGGACTTATTCAGTTGCTACTTAGGCCTGGTGTATACAAGCAGCTGAATGAAGTGGCAAGAGGCGGGGACATGATCATAGAATGCCGCAGGTGACTGGAAGGGCTTCAGGGACAGAACTCCCTGTAAGTGAAAAACAAGCACAGCAGGGAGAAAAGTTATGCTGGTGATTTGCAAGGTGATTTTGATGGAGGGGTGAATCGGAATAGATGATTACCAGCCTACAGACTGAAATGGTACGCATCATTTCACTGCCTCAGCCTTCTGCTAAGTTACTCTGCTGCATGTGTATGCCAGGCCTTCCCTGACCTGGTAAAGAGTGGGAGCAAGTCTTCACTGAACAAACCCTCATCTTGTCTTTTTCCCTGCATATGACAGAGTGTCACAGTCCAGATATAGCCATGTACAACAAAGCATACACAGGGCAGTTGAGAGCATGTGTGTAAATACATCCCTGTTAGGTATCATACATCCAAAATCGCACACTCTGTGAAGCTGCTTCTTCACAGTTCTCTCCCATTCTGGATCAGGACAGAGACTGTGTTCGCCCATCCAAATAGCACTGCAGACATTTTATCATCCACAAATGGGCTAAAGCCAAAAAGTTTGCAAAGGTGACAGAATATTGGTGACTGAACATAATGTTTTACTACATTTGTCATTGGTCCCTAGATCTACCATGAGCTAATGTCTAATAAAACGATCTAACAGTCTAATGAAAATATAATATTTCAGGTCACTTACTGTTAACACATGAAAAGACACCAACAATAAAATCCGAAACTTGACCCACATCTGATGACATACCGAGGACTTTCAACCCTTCACAGAACATTCCAGCTGCCTCGTCACAAGAGCTAACCTTGTCACTATTTTGTGACCATTTAATCAGTGAATAGCCGGCTCTGTAGTACCCCTAGAAAGATCACAAGAGAAGCATTATTCTACTTTACAAAAACATAACAGCTTAACAGAGCCAAGTATTTCACAATAACAATGAAATGGCTTCCTAAAGAGAAGGGAAGACTTGAGCAGTAAATAGAATTAAATGGCAGTGTTTAGAAGGAAACACTTTTACACCAAACATAATGTATTTGCATCTAAATAAGTGGGCAGTTCAAGCACTGCACTCCCCAATCACTGAACTCAGAGGCTTCTGAGCATTCAGAGCAGGAAAAGTACAGAAGGCAACCTCAATTCTGTGCCCCCAATTCTGGATTTCAGCTAGATGGCCAATTTCAATTTTCTAGTGGAGACACTTCAGAGGAGGACAGAAAGGGGCTCAAATGCCACTCCAACACAACACTTGTGAAACCATCATTCCTGGTGGCTGAATACTTCAGATTGTAATGCACTAGCCCTGTGCAAGGCAACGTTTTCAAAACTCCAGGTACCATCATAACTCTTAAATGCCTGAGGTTTTTCTATGACTCCTCGTACCAGCCTGATATTTTTCTATGACTCCTGCAGAGCAACACTGCTCCAATTGGCAGCTACTATGTAAATAAATCTGTTAAAGCAAGCTGTCTTTAAATAAAGGCCACACATGTACCAAAACATTTTCCCAATATGATAAAGGCCAAGGATCAAATTCAAATTTTGATTGCATAAATTTTACCATATTCTTCTTACAAATGTTCTATTTATTGGCAAAGCTGCACAATGTTTCATAGCACTGGAACTTGTTTTTTTAAAGGCCTACAAGACAAAAAATCTTGAGGGTGTACCTTAACGTAAGTTGGATCCCAGTTGAGGCTGTCACATGCCGAATAAAAGGCTTCTTTCCACTTATGTAAGTTGTAAAAGGCATTTGATCGATTGCACATTAAAACAGCCATGTCTCGGTGGTGAGAAACCCTAACAGAAGAAGATTTTAAATGTAATTGCTTAACATTTAAAATAAACAAAACAAGACTAAAAACACATAGATTATGGAATTGAAGAAAAGGTAAAGTATAAGGCTTAGGAAAGGTCAGCATAAACTGGGAACTGAGACAATAAAAAGCAATGCAAGAAAGGGGCCTCTGAAGAAATTTCATGGAGCTTAAAACCCAGAAGGAATGAATAATCTGGTAGGAGGAAGAGAATGATATTGTAAGGCTGACCAAAAGACAGGAAAAAATGCCATATCAAAGGCAGTGGCTGAAAATGTGGAAACCATGGGTGGTGGATTATGCAGTAGAGAAAATGGAAAGTTGGATTACAGCCATCTTAAGGGTGTCAGGGGAGGCAGGAGGGTGTTCCCAAAAACAGAGTAAACATGCCAAAGGACTGAATTTCATGCACTCGATTTGCAGTAACTGGCATATAATTTGGCAGCAGGCTCCTCCTTAAGTATCAAAGTATTTGCTGAGCAAAACGAAACAAATTTTACCTATGGAATGTTAGAAAGCCAAATCAAATTATGCCCAAGATATACTAAGCACATCAAGAAACATCTCAGTACATCTTATGTGGCCTAGGCCTCAAAGTTCCAATAAGCTAAGGATAGTTCTTTTTATGGAAAGAGTGGGCAAAGAGATTTTTAAAACCCTTCTTCCCTCTAGCTTTAGAGAAGCTGTCCTTTATCTCTGTGTCTGTAAGAGGCAGTTGATGCTTGTTCCTGGCTTTGGAATGTATGGTATGCTGATCAAGGAGCCACAACACCTCATACAGCAGTTCCCCATGGCATATTTCCATGTAGCTTTTAGTGTAAGTTTTAGAACATAGAGAGTCAAGTCAGACCACATCCACCACAATGTTTTCGGCATTGACTTACAACAAGTCTCCAAGGATACACGTAATATCCTTTCTCAGCCTTACCCAGAAATACTTGGGACAAACAGAAGACATTCTGCATGTAGCATATACACTCTATCACTGCATGCACACCTTCTCCAGCTCCTCCTCTGTACTACTACATATCTCACGTACTACACTGTCTTGAAAAAATAACTATGTTCTACAGTAAAGCTACCTAATATTCTGCCATGGTTGCTTTTCTATGGAGACAGGCTAAAGAAGCAATTAGCCACTGACTTACTTGTCTATGGTGGTAAGAAAATCACAATAACTCCCACGAGCTGCCATAATCTTACACCAGGTAGAGTGGTCGTATGCTTTGTCCAATACTGGGGGTCCTACGGATGGCCAATGCAACTATTCCTGCTCTACACAGACTCTGTTTTTTGGTCAAAATCTGGCTTTCTTGGAACTGCTAGTGAGAAATACATCTAACAATCAAATAAGCTTTGGGTAAATAACCTGCTCACTAGACTTCAGTAACATAATAAAAGAAAGAGCACGTCTAGAAGTTATCACTGGCCAGTTCATAATTATTTAAATAAAAGCTTACCCACTTGTTTGGTATGAAAATAACAGAGCACGCATTGCTTCATCATACTTTTTGATGGCTAGAGAATAATTTCCATTTCTGAAGTCTTGATTTCCATGTGTTTTCACTATCTCTGCATAACTGATGGGATCGCCAAAGTTGAAGGGATCCATTCTGACAAAGCGAGGGAAAAAGTATTATAGTATAATGGCTTTTCCCATCTCAAGTTACTAGAATATTGTAGTTAATTCACAAAGGATTCTACATGCATTTAAAGGCCAATAAATGCTTGTACAATCAATGGATTAGCACCCTGATACAACATAGAAGCAAGCAGGATTTCCATAGCAAAGCAGTTTTTCATAATAAGAAACCAAACATGTAGGAAACATATTAATTGCATTTGTCAATTATTGCTTTCAAAAGAAAGCATTTCTTCCTCAGGGAAAAGAACAATTCTAATGTTGAGGAATCAATAGAATAACTGATGGTGAGAGAAGCTCCAGTGGTGAATTCCTTTGTCTGATGTTCAGTAAAAGCCAAGCACACAATCTGGAGTGTAAGGACCGCTTCATACTGTTCCAACTTTGAAGAGGCTGCATTATCAGGCAAAAAGCATGAGGGATTGTGTAGCTCAGTTGTGCTATACAGAGCAGGCATTTTCAGGGTGGGGTAATAAGCAGGAAACAGGGCTTGGATGCTTGGTTGCAGACCAGCCATGCTTCTGTTACACTGGTGCCATCAAACTGCAGAAACGAAATCTAGCCGCAACGGATTCAGTGCCTACCATGCCATACCATGCCGTTTAGATTACCATGCTTCTGCTTAGGATAAGATCATCCAGATATACTTGTGTATTTAGGGCACTTCCCTAAAGAGATCATTTGCTCTTTGGTGCTAATGATAGCTAAATAGATGGTTGGGATCGTATGTGACAATTACAATAAATGGTCACTATACTTCACTGCTGTTTGTTCCCAAATCACTAGCAGGTCAATATGAGGGCAAGCAAAGTATTGTGATTTCAGGATGATCTTAACAGAACTAGGAAGCAGCAGAAGCTTCATGGAAGTTACCAGTCTGAATAAATATTTTATTGACTCTCTAGTCCATGCTTACCTATTTTAGCCATGGAAAAATGCTTTTGTAAAGTCTCTCATTTTTCAGGTAAACAGGTAGAAGCCTGCTTTAAACTCTCAAACAGCCACAAAATGAAAGAGAATTAGTGCTTCTCTATAGGATGCATTTAATCTGGTGCTTTATCAATGCTTTCTCTTCTGTTTTCTTCCTGTGATGAAGAATGTCCTCTGAAATTAAGTTTCTTTTTTATTTTGGAGTTTTTCTCTCTTTCTATATGCTCCATTACACAACACGTTTGAACTGTGGCATAGAGCAGAAGTTAGATTTTATACAAGGCTTTCCTAGTGAATAATGGCATCATCATGAAAAGTGCTGCATTATCCTTGCTCTTTAAAAAGCTGGAAAAATAGCTGGAAAATACAGGAGAGGCCCTGGAAGGATGCCAATGTTGTGGAAAGAGCAGGCAGGCTTTTGTGAGATCATGCTGTTGTTCTTGTTGTCCCCTGCTGTCAAGTCATCTCTGACTGAGTTCCTTCCCAAATGTCCTGTCCTTAACAGCCCAGTTCAGCTTGTGAAGTCAAGGCTGTGGTTTCCTTTATTGTATAAGTTCTTTGCATAGTCAGTCTTCCTCCTCTTCTTCTGCCATTGATTTTCCCTAGCATGATGGTCTTCTCCAAGGAGCTGCCTTCTTGTGATACGCCAGAAGTACAACAGCTTCAGTTTCATCAGCAAGAATGCACAGAAATGTTTCACAAGCGCACAACAAATCACAAATGTACAAAAACGCCTTGCAGGGAAAAGCCTTTAGTTTGGTTTCAGAACCCATTTTAGAGATCAGGTAGGGCCCTTCTGCCTTTGACTTGGCTTCTAAAGGCTCTCTGGTACATCAGGGAGATTTTGACATGAGACCTTTTCCTAAAACGTGTGTGATGAGATTTGTGCAGGTTGCACCAATCACCTTTCTAAACATCTGAATAATCTCTATTGCTCTTACGACAGCACTAAAGTCTACACAACAAAATGGAGTCAAATACCATGGCTCAAGTAGCTGAGGACTTACAGAAATACTGAGCAGCCCAGTTATGTTAAAAAGGATGGCTAACTCCCAGGGATTAGGATACCATGTGGCTGAGAACTGGGAAGAGTCATTTATTCCCACCATACATACACATGCTATTTCAAGCATTATCTAAAAAACAAATTTATGTTGATTTCCTCCTTCAAAAGAAGACTAGCAGGAAATGAGTGTTTTTTTCTTCAAAATTTCGACAAAATCATTTGCATGCAATAACAAATGTTTCCATTAGAATGTTGCTAGTGATATTATACAGATTTTGTGGTTTTGTTCTCACACAAGGCTCCTTGCTAGCTTGTCTCCAAAAAGAGATCCCTAAAAAGGATCCAGGTTCTAATTCATTTTAGTCATAAATTCGTGAGATTGCTATTATGTAATCCATACCTTTTTGCCTACAACATCTGGGGAATAAAGTTTTGCGCTGAATTTTTAAATTGCTAGTCTGTCCTGTTTTTTAATGCGCAATTTTATCTTTCATTCTTTTGCTTGTTCCTTTTTATAACTGTACATTGCCATGATCATTTCACTGATGGACAGCCTAAGCATCTTTAAAATTACTTGATATATTAAATAAATTAACAGAGCAGCAAATATCTGTGCTGGAATAATGTCAATTCCGCACAAAAGGACACTGGGCAGGTAGACACAAGACACTGAAGCCACCATGAGAATAAACCAGGGTGGCTGGAGCTTTCATAGAAGACCCCATGGTGCTCCCAGCAGACATCTGGCCTCACGGAGGGGTGTTCTTTACCCTGGTCCTTCAGTCCAGTGTCTTTCATGAGCAGACCCCATCTAGTTCCACACCCTGCTCCGGTTCTGTTTGTTGCTGTTATTTCCCCTTTTTTCCCTCTGAAGCCTCAAACAGGGTCAAGAGGGTTGTTTTGGCTTCTACAAGCATGTTTTTTATTTAAGCGAATGTGGATGACCAAAATTCACTGCAGAGAACAACTTGCAGTACCCAGGCCTTCTTGCTCATGTTTCTCAGCCAACAGAACCTCCTATTTGATGGCAAGCTGCTTTGGAAAATGAGGCCACGTTCAAAAGCAGTTTGTGATAAGGTGCAGAGGCTTGCTCAAAGGAAAAACATGCCACGAGGAGCAAACAGGAACCTACATGCACACCAAAGATGGCTCTAGATCTTGGCCACATATTTTCATGATTCATTCGGCTTCTGCTACTTATGGGGAGGCGGACTTACAATTATATAACTATAACTATAAATCCTGCTTTATTCTCCCCACCACCACTGCCCCACAATGAAAATCCTCAAGAATTTAATGAGTCATCAACCACATACCTAAATGAACGCAGAACCCCTTGTCTCATACAATAATGATTCTAGCCTAAATTTGGACCAAACACTTTCTTTTTAAAGCAAAGAATACATAAAAGTTCAAGGGACACAGCCACCATTCTTTCAGAAAAGGGCTGGACAAAGCAGCAATGAGGATAAGATTGGAAGTACAGTTATTGGTCATGGAGAGGAAGTTGTATTAGAAGGTATCAACTCCATACTAATAACCGCTGGAAAGAGACTAACAAGCCTATGGACATGTCTTTTGACTCACAACAGCAAAATCGTTTTCTTACAATTTGGGGGCCTTTTGAAAACATATATTCTAACAAGTCACCTGCAAAGATATCAAGGCAACTGGGCAAGAAGAACCAGCTTAAGTCACACAACAGTATAAGCTTATCTTCCTCATGTTAATAGTAGGAAACAGTTAACTTTGTTTTATTGCAGGCTTGTTAGTTTACTGAAAAGGTCAGTGTGACAGAAGTTTCTCTATGGCAATCTAAATTAAAGCAATAAAGACAACAGTGAAGTTTACCAAAATGTCTGTGCTTTAGATAAGAACAGCCTGCTTGCAAAATTGAAGCTTGGAGCTTTCATGTCAATATTCAGAAATATTCAATCCCTTGAGAATCTGAGAGATGGTTACTAACATTGTTTGGCTTCACCACTTATTTTCCAATGTAAACCGTTTCTCCTGCTTAATTATTGGCAAGAAAATCCCTATTTCACAATAATGCAGGGATTTCTGGTTTCTTCTAGTACAGAACAAAATGCTAACAAAATTATTAAAGGAACGGTTATTTCCCCTTTCTAATTTTCCAGTTACTTCCTACTGATTATACAAAATGGAAACAATGCATCCCAAGTTCATATCAGTGCAATATGAAGAGATCTTACAGGGTTAAAACTGAAACTTTTCAGAAATAAACATTCTAAGGAGCTCCAAGAGAAGGCTTTCATTATGCAATTGTTCTACCTCATTTTACTGATGCCCCAAAAAGTACCATTTTAAATTTGTAACCCTCTAATGGCGTTTCTAATTCTTCTTCCTTACAAAATAAAAGTCCATCATGGCAGAAAAAAAATTGAGTAGCTGCTTTTTGATCAGTAACACTACAACCCGGATGCCAGGAAGCACTTCCTGACAGTCAGGACCCCGAGGGTGTGGAATGGGCTTCCACAAGAGGTTGTTGAGGCCCCATCGGTGCAGGTGTTCAAGGACAGGCTGGACGTCCACATGGTGGGCATGTCGTGAGTGGAGCCAGCTGGTGCCGGAGGTCAGACTAGATGGCCCGGGAGGCCCCTTCTGACTCGCTCTGTTTTCTATGTTTCTAACCTATCTATGTGGAAGCACTCTAAACCCTTTCAGCTTCTCACATGCTAAAATACTGGTCTGTGTGGCCATTAGAAGGGCTTTTTGGAAATAAGTTTAATATTCTTAAAGAGCTAACACAAAGTTTCAGTTCTGGGAAAGCTATGCCTAGAAAGAAAATACATAAACATAGAGCAGAAGAACCAAAGAACATACACAGAGACTTTTGCTTGTGTTCAACAAACACAAAAACACATTCCCAGTGGGGGACAGGGGAAAAGAGAAAGTATTTGTTCTTATGTGTCATCAAGTCATCTCCAACTTACAGTAACCTATGAATGCCCTCTAAAATGATTTTATTTTATTATATGGTGATACTGAATTTGCACAGGCTTCCCAGAGAGCCTGTGGCTAATTCGGTGGCATATAAATCTAATAGATAAATAAATAAAATGTCATGTCCTATAAATCCCCGCTTAGCTCCTGTAAATGCAAGGCTGTGGCTTCCCTTTACAGAATTGGTCCATTAACATTCAAGGAGAGTTCAAGAGTACTCCAAAAATTATTAAATAAACAATATCTGACAAGAAATTCAGAAGGGGTAAGTTTCAATCTACCCTATTTTGCTGAAGTAGGGACAGTGTGGCAAGCAATGCTTTTTGACAGTGGTGGTCTCCTAGCTTTATAGACAAAAGAACTATGCATGCCTTCTTCCTTTTCCTTTGTAATGAATTTTCTATTATAAGAAAAATGACTGAAGTGGCAGTGGGAATGCATGAGGGAAATCTTCAAATAAGGCAGGCAGACTACAGGAAAAACTTTCACTACAAGTAGCAAAAAAGTGAGAAAGGCCAACACACATACACAGTTTGTGTGGAGTCTAACAGTAAAACGCTTTCAGAAACCAGAGAAAAAAACATGACGGCACCCTGACAGTGAGAACAGGCTTTGGCCCATCAAAAAGTATGCCATATCAGTCTTCTAAAGAGGCAGACTTATTTTAATTTTTAACTTCCAGAGGGGTAACCATGTTAGCCTTTGCAGCAAATAAATAAATTTAATTTTTTTAAAAAAAAATTAAGTTGTGGGACACCTTGAAGTCTAACACATTTATTCTGGCATAGTTTTTCATGCACACACCCGATGAACTAGACAGTGCTCACAAATTCCTGGGCCAGAATCTGTCAGAAGATTTCTTCATGTATTTTTAAAAAGTGCCGTTTCATACTTTTGAAGTGTTTTTAACATCCTATCAGCTTCTCTGTTCTTAATACACTCACGAGTTGGCAAAACAGCAACCCACTGAAGTCCCAAGGGAATGAGATTGTAAGTACCTGGTCTGGGCAGGACTCCTGGTTTCTTTTCCGATCTGCAAGACAAATCTTCCTGAGCAACCAATCTATGGGTCACCTCATCAAAATCAGTCAGACAAATAAGACTTCGTCATCAACTTAGTTGTTTTCTTTGGGAGGCTAGGTATAAAAAGCAGATTTGCCATGATGATTATTATCCAGTAATGACCTAGGCCTTCCTAGGGAAGTGCAAAGAATCCCTAGCACTTTCCCCCTCCCAGACAGAAGAATTTTCTTCCATTCTATGGCGCTTTATTGTCAATAAGGCAATCCCAGAAACATTTCATCTGGTCAAGGTTTCCTGCTTTCCTAACACTGGAGACAAGCTTTGCTCTCTTCGAATTCCTTTAATCTCCTTACTCGCAGTAACGACCATAAACTTGTTCACAAGCAGACTTCTTTCTTTCTTCTCCAACTCCAATCCTAAGTCTCTTTCAGCCCGATCCTATGAATCTATTCCCCTAAATTAAACCTACAGCTGTTAAATTCAATGAAGCTACATCCCCAAAAGTGTGCTTAAGTTTACAGCCTGCAAATATCTACAATCCTACTCAGAAGAAAGCCCCTTCGGGTTCAAAGGGAGTTACCCCCAGGTAACTGCATAAGGATTGCATCCTAAGTCTCAATGATCTCCTCCAGCACTTAAATTCCAACGTAAGAGCAGGAAGGGTTGGAACTTCTGCAACAAGATTTAAAAGGAGGTGGGGGAAACTCACTGGGACGGCTCGAGGAAAGTTCTCTACCCCGTTGCAACTGAGCCAACACGACCACCCCGGAGCAGCAGCTGCTTCCTTCTTCTGGTCAACACGCACACCCTTGCTGCCGCCCTCCTACGTGCGCTGAGGCCAACTCCGCAGGAGGCTTGCAAAGGCAGCGGCAAGCGAAGCTTCCCGCGGCCCTGCGGTGCAAGCGCCCGCCGGCGGCGGCGGCTGCCTGGCGGTGGCCCCTCAATGCAGCGCGAGTTTACGTCGGCTGCTTCGCTGCCGTGCATGCAAGCGGGAGCCGCCGCCGCCGCGCCGCAGCAGCACTAAGTCGCGCTCCCAGCCCGCCCCGCGACGTCATTTCGGGGAAAAGCAGGCGGGGCCTCGTCCGCGCCGAGGGTCTCCCCGTTTGCTGGCGTCCCTCGATGGAGCCTCTCCGCCGGAAAACGAAACTGAACAGAGCTTTCTTTTCCAGCCGCGCTAATGCTGCCACGCTGGCTCTGCGCTTCCGCCTAGCTGCTCTGGTGCACGTAACGCAGCCTCGGAGAGGCCGAAAAGAAAGCGACAGGTTGACGCTGGGAGCGAGCTATCCGTTCGCCTAGCTACATGTCTTTCTTTGAGGTATACTGAGCCTTCTTTCCGCCAAGGTTTCCTGGTTCGCAGTTCTCTATTTGCAGTATTTTCTGTAAGATGCGAATGCAGCCTGAATGAGGATTTGGGGTTTAAACAGCTTTGTATTCCCTGCCCCTTATGCTCTCAATTCCTGGTTTGCATGGAAAGACAACCCAGACTACCACATGAATCGTGGGCTGTCGTTGCATGCGGACCCTACAGTATGATTTAACTATGGATTGTTACCCACAGAGAATGCAGAGTTTAAAACCCAACAACAAACCATGGGTCCTCTTCCTGAGTTAACATATGCAACTATGAAGAGATGCCATTCAGTGGCAACCTATCATTCAACAACCATTTATGATCTAGAATATCACTGCTTGCAAACCCTTGTTGAATCCAGGTGAAGTGTCTGGCCAGAGTCACCTGGAGCAGGCCTCAATTTATTCGCAATATTTATATACCTCTTTTAATTGGAGTAAATCCCAAAGTTTGTAAAACGATGAAGACAAAAAGTCTGCAGGTACATCAAGATGGCTTATAGCCAGGAGAAAACCAAAGCAAATGTTTTCAATAAATGCCTAAAATATAGCAGTGTGGAGGCCTGACCTCCTTTGTGCTCCATGGGACTTAAATGTAAGCTTGCACTGTCAGGTGAACTTGCTTATTTCAAGTGGGAACTAAGTGCAGCCTAGAAGTTCTAACTTAGCTTGGAATCATGGAGTTGGAGGAGACTTTTGAGGCCACCTAGTCCTGGGGTGCCCAATGTGGTAACCATGGTCAACAGTGTGTATTTACACAGCACCTCCCCCCCCCATGTTATCTGCCCCATTTTGATTTTTTTTAAAGTAGTTTTCTTAACTCTGAGGCTGGTGTGGTACTGGCCTCAAATGCCAACTTTGTTTCCAAGAGTGGCTTCATGGTCCCCAGATACATTCTTAGAAACTTAAAGTGTTGAACCAGGGCCAGACCTCTGCATTTTGAAGCATACACAGCCACCTAGAAAGCAGATATGCTTTCTATGCCATTGACCATCTTCACTGCTTTTCTCTGAATATGTTCCAGCTATAGTCTTCTTAAAAGAATGCCACAAAAGCTTCTCAAAAGGTTTCCCATTCCCTGTACTTGGTATCTCCGTTACAAATAAAAAACCTGGAACTTCAATGAAGTTCAACTACCTCATTTTCCTGTACTTAGATTCAAGAAGATGTTGTGGTCTAGAACTCTAGATGTTCACCATCCTGCTACATTGGTGTTGAGGGTAGCAACAGACACACTAACAGTGAGGAAAGATGGGAAAGAGATACTTATAGCTATATGCTGCCTTTTTTTCCTTTCAAGGAAGTCAAGCTGGCTTGCACAAGCCTCCTCCCAATTTATCCTAACAACAGCCCTGTGAGGCAGGTTAGTCTGAGAGTCTGTGACAGGCCCAAAGTCACTCAGTAAGTCCCATGGCTGAGTGGAGACTAGAACCTGGACCACCCAGATCCTCTAATCACTATACCACACTGCTTTCAAATGTTGCTGTCTCTTTAATAGGCTTCATCCATCTTTCTTCCTCTTTCACAAGTAAGGTAAAGGTAAGGGTTTCCCCTTGACATTAAGTCCAGTCATACCTGGCTCTAGGGGGCAGTGCTCATCTCCGTTTCCTAGCTGAGAGCCAGTGTTTGTCTGCAGTTTCCATAGGCATGTGGCCGGCATGACTAAACACCGAAGTGCACGGAACGCTGTTACCTGCCCACCAAAGTGGTGCCTTTTTATCTACTTGCATTTGCATGCTTTCGAACTGCAAGGTTGGCAGGAGCTGGGACGGAGCAACGGGAACTCACTCCATTGTGCAGATTCGAACCGGCGACCTTTCGATCAACCAGTCCAGCAGCACAGCGGTTTAAACCACTGCGCTACCTGCAGTCTCTCTCACAAGTACACATTGTTTTAATATTAAGCTCAATTTTCTGTGACTAGATACTAGTTTTCAGCCATACTATTAAAACTGTATTTGTCAGTTAGGTGTTATTCTCTGAGTGGTGTCTACTGAGAACATTGTTATGATTTCTTGATGGCTATTTTTATTTCGTGTTTATTTACTCATCAGCAGAAGCTTTTATGTAGCTTGCAGGAGGAGTGAACAAACTGTATGAGTCAATATTGTCACAACATTGATTTACCTTATTGGGGGATGGGTTGCAGTTGTTAGCTTGTCAGTTTATTTATTATTTCATTTCAATACTGTCCACCAGCCAGAAAGGCTCTTTTGGTGATTTGGTTATCCAAAAGAAAAAGTGCTACAAGGGAGCATAACCACAGCCCAGACAAAATGGGGGTGGGGGGTGGGCTGGAGTTCTAATTCTTTTCCCATAGTATTACAAGCTGGACCATCTTTTGCTGTTTCCAAATTGAAATAAGTGCAGACTTCCTAGTAGAATGTGCAAATAAAGCTATAAATTTTAGTAAGCAGATCAATCAAAACTTTCAGAGAAGAAGAATTTTAGGGTGCAGTTCCATGAAAGTGGGGACAGAAAAATATCCTCCAGCTTCCAGAATTCTGTAATACTGGGAAGTGACTTTCTTTTTGTTTTTGTCTCAACTTGCATAGGATTACATCTGTAATCACCAAGGGTGATTTTTTAAAGAAGTCAAATTGCAATTTTAGGGTTAGTAATAGCATTTGTTGGGAATGACCAAAGGAAAGCATGAGCAGAGTCATTTTGTTTAGAGACACTAGAAATTATCAGAAAGGAATAACTTTAGTCTGCTGACCCCTTATATTTAGTTCACAGAACTAGTTTTAATCAGTTCAGTCTTAACATGTGCCTTGCTTAGTTCCTTTCTGATTTATATCCAGATTTATCTCTGCCCAGGAAGAAGCAGATGTTCCTGGGTGAGGTGATTGGAAGTCTATAAGTGAACCTGACAGCCAAGTGTCATTTTGTAGCCTCAAAAGAACAAATAGTCTTGATCATTTTGCTACCATCTGGTGTACCTGGGTGTTTCCCTCCTAGCTCCATAGGTAATGACTTTTTCATGTAAGATGCTGTCAGTCATCGAGAAATATGGGGTTTCATATGCTGCAGGCTTCTTGAACCACTGGCAGCTTTTTGAGAGATCTTGAGTTGCCATTTTACAAAATGGACCAGTCTCCAGGACTCCCCCAGTTTCTGGGACTCATATTCACCACTCCAGATTTGGTTTGGATGGCTGGCGGTAAATTAAATAAAATGGATAACTATCTGATGCAGAACACAACTCTGCTTCTGTATGGAAGTGAAACATAAAAAGGCAATAGTTAATGTGAGCAGCTGTTTTCACAGACTACATGGGGAAAGTGAATTGATATGTTATGAGGCCAGTTCACCTGTTTGCAGGCAGAGCAATCCCATGTGAGCATAAACTATAGATTTAGCTTTGCAAAAATATTGAGAGAGTTCTTGCCAATCTTGGCAGAGGAATCCAAGAGGAATCCTCACTGATGCATAAACAGCCTGGCTTCCTGGTTTAACAAATAGCCTGCTAAAAAGAAACGAAACTTAATCTTATCTCCACTCTTTCAATGAAACTAAGTTCTCAGTATTTTTAAACAGTTTCTGATGAAAGTGAAAGGAAGAGGTACTGCAACTGGATCTGGTTTACACCGGCACTCTGCAATTTCTCATAATGTTTGCTTAATGCCTCATATTTGTAAACACATCCCCCCTTCTTCCGTTTCTTCTTTCGTTTCATTCTTTTTACTGATGATGTGCAAGACACGTTCCTGCATCAGAGGAAATGTGATGCTGCAATAAAAGAGTTAGACTTTAAGCCTTCTCTTTTGCTGCAACAAACTAACACAGCTACCCAGCTGTTACGTGTCTTAAATGTTATTTGCCTTGCAGGATCAGGAAGGAAAAAGCAGATGAAGATCAAATAATGTAATGAGCATGGACAAAAAGCATTAAATGCATCATCCAAAAAAGTCAGACTTTCCATCTTTCAATAAGCCCCACCCACAACTCTTGAACTCTTGTTCTTTTGGATCCAGTTCATTACTGCCACATAACAGATCTATAAATTCAATCGGACAGAGGAAGCACAATACCCCTTTTTTCAGTGAGCCTATTTTCTCACTGCCTTCTCCTTCTCCTCTTTCTTTTGCTTGTTACCAGTCACTCACCAAGCAGAGGAGAAGTAGGCAGTGGTATCTGCTGCACCATCTCACCACCTCCAGAGCCTGTCCCAGAGTGAAAAGCAGGAGGATAAGCAGGTTGCAGTAGTGAAGAAGAGGACCAACTCCAGGGGCCTGTGCTCAGTGGGCCACTGCTGGGGTGCAGGTCCTCAGCAGGTGCCCAGCCATGCCTTCATCATCCATGATCCCAAGAGGATCCAATGGAAGCATCTCCAATTACCTGCTCAAGATAGAATATACATTTTAGCACAGTACCCAAAACACTCTCATTTAGCATTTTCCTTCCAAGAACCTGATGTTCAGAATCTATCCTGTTTTAAACCATACATGTAGGTTTTATCAGAAGATTTAATGAATTGAGTTTTTGAACAAGACCCTGTCAAGAAACAGTGAACATGGATGTTGAGTACAATCCAAAATACATTTACTGTTTATTCAGACATACAGGAAATATATGCAGTATGTAACTGGCCCCCTCCTTCATGGATCACTGCCTTGTCATGGCGAAGGGACTTGCATAGCTCAATAAAGCGATGAGCTATGCCGTGCAGGGTCACCCAAGATGGACAGGTCATAGCAGAGAGCTCTGACAAAACGTGACCCACTGGAGAAGGAAATGGCAACCCACTTCAGTATCTTTGCCATGAAAACCCCATGGACAGTACCAAAAGGCAAAAAGATATGACGCTGGAAGATGAGCCCATCAGGTCGGAAGGTGTCCAGTGTGCTGCTGGGGAAGAGCAGAGGGCTGGTACTAGTAGCGCCAGAAAGAATGAAGCGACTGGGTCAAAGCCGAAAGGACACTCAGTTGCTGATGTGGTGAAAGGAGAGTCCGATGCTGCAAAGATCTATACTCCATAGGAACCTGGAATGTAAGATCTATGAATCAAGGTAAGCTGCACGTGGTCAAAAAAGAGATGGCAAGACTGAACATGGACATCTTAGGAATCAGCGAACTAAAATGGACAGGAGTGGGGGAATTTAATTCAGATGACCATCAGGTATACTACTGCGGGCAAGAATCCTTCAAAAGAAATGGAGTGGCCTTCATAGTCAATAAAAGAGTAGGAAAAGCAGTACTGGGATACAACCTTCAAAATGACAGAATGATCTCAGTTCGAATCCAAGGCAAACCATTCAACATCACAGTAGTCCAAGTCTATGCCCCAACCACTGGTGCTGAAAAGGCTGAAGTTGACCAGTTCTATGAAGGCCTACAACACCTTCTAGAATTAACTCCAAAAAATGATGTCCTTATCATCAGGGGGGTTTGGAATGCTAAAGTAGGAAGCCAAAAGATAACTGGAATAACAGGCAAGTTTGGCCTTGGAGTACAAAATGAAGCAGGGCACAGGCTGGTAGAATTTTGTCAAGAGAATACGATGGTCATAGCAAACACTCTTTTCCAACAACCCAAGAGACGACTCTACACATGGACATCACCAGACGGTCAACACAGAAATCAGATTGACTATGTGCTCTGCAGCCAAAGATGGAGAAGCTCTATACAGTCAGTAAAAACTAGACCAGGAGCTGACTGTGGCTCAGATCATGAGCTTTTGGTTGCAAAATTTAGGCTTAAGTTGAAGAAAGTAGGGAAAAGCACTAGGCCACTCAGGCATGACCTAAAACATATCCCTAGAGGTGACAAATAGATTTAAGGAATTAGATCTGATAGAGTGCCTGAAGAACTATGGATGGAGGTTCGCAACATTGTACAAGAGGCAGCAACTAAAACCGTCACAAAGAAAAAGAAATGCAAGAAAGCAAAATGGCTGTCTGAGGAAGCTTTACAAATAGCTGAGGAAAGAAGGGAAGTGAAAGGCAAGGGAGAAAGAGAAAGATACAAACAATTGAATGCAGAATTCCAGAGAACAGCTAGAAGAGATAAGAATGCCTTCTTAAATGAACAGTGCAAAGAAATAGAAGAAAACAATAGAATAGGGAGGACCAGAGATCTCTTCAAGAAAATTGGAGATATGAAGGGAAAATTTCATGCAAAGAAGGGCATGATAAAGGACCAAAATGGCAGGGACCTAACAGAAGCAGAAGAGATTAAGAAGAGGTGGCAAGATTACACAGAAGAACTATACAAGAAAGAGCTTAATGTCCCTGATAACCACGATAGGGTGGTCACTGACCTTGAGCCACACATCCTGGAATGTGAAGTCAAATGGGCCTTAGGAAGTCTGAGCAACAACAAAGCTAGTGGAGGCGACAGTATTCCAGTTGAGCTATTCAAAATCCTAAAAGACGATGCAGTAAAAGTGCTCCACTCAATATGCCAGCAAATTTGGAAAAATCAACAGTGGCCACAGGATTGGAAAAGGTTAGTTTACATTCCGATCCCAAAGAAGGGCAATGCCAAAGAATGTTCAAACTACTGCACCACTGCACTCATTTCACATGCTAGCAAAGTTATGCTCAAAATCCTACAAGCTATGCTCCAGCAGTATGTGGATCGAGAACTACCAGAAGTACAGGCAGGTTTCGAAGAGGGAGAGGAACTAGAGATCAAATTGCCAACCTACGCTGGATCATGGAGATAGCTAGGGAGTTCCAGAAAAACATCTACTTCTGCTTCATTGACTATGCTAAAGCCTTTGATTGTGTGGATCACAACAAATTGTGGCAAGTTCTTAAAGAGATGGGAGTGCCAGACCAACTTATTTGTGTCTTGAGAAACCTATATACGGGTCAGGAAGCAACAGTGAGAACTGGACACGGAACCACTGATTGGTTCAAAACTGAGAAAGGAGTTTGGCAAGGCTGTATACTGTCGCCCTGCCTATTTAACTTATAGGCAGAGTACATCATGTGAATCACAAGTTGGAATTAAGATTGCTGGGAGAAATATCAACAACCTCAGATATGCAGATGATACCACTCTGATGGCAGAAAGTGAAGAGGAACTAAAGAGCCTCTTGATGTGGGTGAAGGAGGAGAGTGCAAAAGTTGGCTTGAAACTCAACATTAAGAAAACTAAGATCATGGCATCCGGTCCTCTCACTTCCTGGCAAATAGATGGGGAAGAAATGGAGCTAGTGAAAGATTTTATTTTCCTGGGCTCCAAGATCACCGCAGATGGGGACTGCAGCCAAGAAATTAAAAGACACTTGCTCCTGGGGAGGAAAGCTATGGCAAATCTAGACAGCATACTAAAAAGCAGAGACATCATCCTGCCAACAAAAGTGCGTATAGTCAAGGGTATGGTTTTCCCAGTTGCAATGTATGGCTGTGAAAGCTGGACCATAAGGAAGGCTGAGCGCAAAAGGATTGAGGCCTTTGAATTGTGGTGCTGGAGGAGACTCCTGCGAGTCCCTTGGACCGCAAGGTGATCAAACCGGTCAGTCCTAGAGGAGATCAACCCTGACTGCTCTTTAGAAGGCCAGATACTGAAGATGAAACTCAAATACTTTGGCCACCTAATGAGAAGGAAGGACTCCCAGGAGAAGAGTCTAATGCTGGGAACAATAGATGGCAACAGAACAAGCAGACGGCAGAGGATGAGGTGGCTAGATGGAGTCACTGAGGCAGTTGGTATGAGCTTGGGTGGACTCCAGGAGATGGTGGAGGACAGGAGGGCCTGGAGGAATGTTGTCCATGGGGTCGCGATGGGTTGGACGGGTCGGACACAACTAACAACAACAACTGGCCCCTGAAGGGATTACAAGATGGAGTTTGTACAGGATGCTTTTATAATGTATCCCTTACATACACTGTTTTTGGGTGGGGGATATCATGTAGATGGTTCACTAGAGCCACATGAGGGCAAAACAAAAGGGTGGAATGGGTTAAGATAAAAGACACAAAAGAGAGAACTTTCAGGACAAGCATCCCTTAGCATCTCTACTGTGTAAGTGGGAAGCAGGACTTGCAACATGGTTCCTGATCAGATCAGGAATCCCATCTTAAGTCTAAAACTGTCCTTACAGTGTCAGATTTTCTGCAGCCATATTATGGCAGAGTTTTTGCCCAATTACTCCTAACAACCCATTGTTTTAAGAGAAAGCCTACTGATTCCTCATGGCCTGTTTTCAGCAGCAGAATTTAAATTAGGATTTTAAATATGGATTTTAACTTGTTTTATCTATGTTGTAAGCCGCCCCGAGGCTTCGGCGAATGGGGCGGCATAAAAATGTTTTAATAAATAAATAAATAAATAAATAAATTGTTCGCAACAACAATTCAAATGTAACAAGACCACATGGGCTTCTATTTCACCAAAAATCTATAAAGAAAATTTCAATTCTTGGGCTTCTATTTCACCAAAAATCTATAAAGAAAATTTCAACTTCTGGGCACCAGAAATGGAAAGATTAAGTTATTCCCCCACAAAACTGGAACACAAGGATTATTCTACTAATGTACAAAAATGGTGATAAACTTACCAGGTAACTAGAGAACAACCCGGGTACTTGACATATCCTTTAAATTTTTTCCAGAGATATGTTGTTTAAGTGGAGGAGTTGTTCTGAGAAAAGAAAAGAAAAATGCAAAAGTCTGAGTAAGGACTGAGCTCTAAGGTTCAAATAAAGAAGTAGATTACATCTAATTGGAAATTCAGAATTAGCATGCATGGATTGTTCTGTAAGTTTCATAAATATGCAAAATAGTATAGTTTTATATGCTAAGTCATATATGATATATTTTGCACTGATAAAACAGAAGAATAACTTTTGGTTTGATAAGAGATTAAGCATTGCATATATTTTATTTCCTTCCCCTCAAATATAATACTTACACTGTTTTCTGCTATGACTTCAACATTTTTCAAGAAAAAATGTCCTTAAAATCCCAGCATACCCTACCTAGCTACTGACTGGGGCATGCTGGGAATTCTAGGACTTTTGTCTCTGTATAACACACATAGGATTGAATCTGAACTGATTGATTTTGATCCTAAGTGGAACAGGAACCATACTAAAAGTCAGGCAAAGTCTCAGAAGAATACTAGATATGAACAGCTTTATTGGGAGATCTAAAAATCCCAACATTTTTAAAAATCGTATCACATTCTTCAAGGGCCAAAGGATTATTGTAGCAGTTCATTCAGTGCCTGCTGCTTTCACTTTGAGGCTTTCCTCTTGAGGCTTTGCCAACACTTTTTGGCTCCCAGCCATAGTGGTCCTACTGATTTCCTGTCCTAAAGTGAAACAGACAAAAATAGAACAAAGATTGTTCTCTGTTGTAAAATGTATTTATCTTCATACTAGTACTGGGGCAAGATCTGGTCTTCAAAGACAATGCCTATCTAGGCTTATCTAGTCAATATTTCTAGAAGTAGATTCTTGTTCTTCTGAATGTTTATATTTATGATGTTAAAACAGTCTTTAGATGCTCTGTTCCCCTCACACCCAAATTATTAAATCCTTGTATTTATATCTTGATGTATACAGACACCATGCTTTTGTCCCAGTCAAAGTTATGGGAGAGAGGATTACTGACAAATGTATGGGGCAGAACTAAGCACACCAACTTAGAACTAAGATCCATTGGGTTCAATGAAGCTTACTCCCAGGTCAGTCTGCATCAGTCACATGCACCAAGCACTCATCTGGTAGTAAGCGCCACTGACTCCTTTGGCATCGACATCCAAGTAATTGGGCTGCTGGTCCTATTGCAGGCTATGTATTTGAAACATATTTCTGAAAACAACAAAGAACATTATACGTAACTGGAATGATTTCCATGGAATGAGAGCCAGTGTGGTGTAGTGGTTAAGAGCATGAGACTGGGACTCAGATGATCTGGGTTCTAGTCCCCGCTCAGCCATGGAGCCAACTGGGTGACTTTGGGCCAGTCACAGACTCTCAGCCCAACCTACCTCACAGGGTTGTTGTTGTGGGGATAAGATGGAGGAGATGTAAGCTGCCTTGAGCCCTTTGTAGGAAAAAGGCAGGATATAAATCGAAAAATCGAAATCAAATGATTTTTGAAACTGGTTAACTGAGTACAACAAAACTAAATAAATTAGGGAATGTTAACTATATAGTGCTTTCACTTTCATTTCATAAAAACTGAAACAAATTTATCAAACATGAAAGCTGTCTGTGCAAAGATTTTGGTCTAATGTGCTATTGAACTGACCAAAGTTGCACTTTTGAACATTTAGAATCAAAATAGCCACAGAAATCTATCAGAGAACCCTTGTTGGATTTCTAGAAAAGCAGACTTGGGAACAAAGACTTGAGAAGATTCACAAATCCCTGCTTCTATGCCATATGTCACATTTGCCAAAAGGCAACGAGCATGCAGTCCATTGAGTGCTATGGAAATTTGCAGGGAGGACTTTCCAATGGATTATTCTTGCAAACATGACTACTTGAAACACTCAATTTTTGTAATGTGTTTGATGGTTCTTGGGTAATATAATAGTATGAAATGTAAATGATTATTTTAAAGGAAAAGCTGAAAGCAGAGTCTATGCTATGGCGTATGCTGCAGTTTCACATACAACAAATGGACTGATTAAGTAATTCCAGACTTCAGCCTTGAATGGTGCTGAAATATATGCAGTTTATCCAAACAAGATAGTCTCCTGTACAGGAAAAGTTCTGTGTTTACCTTGAAGTTTCTGCCTAGCATAGTCCCAATTCTTTTCTATTCAGAGGGAGAACAAAATTTCTAGCACTTTAAGCATCTTGTAAGGCAAGTCTTTTAAGATGTAAAAGCTGGGTAGTGAAGAAAGCACACTGGGGGAAAAGGATACATTTGAGCATGGTACTGGAGGGGAACTTCGTGAATACTCTGGACCGACAGAAAAACAAACAACTGGGTCCTAGAGCAAATCAAATAGGAACTTCCTTTATTAGCAAAAATGACAAATTGGAGGTTGCCATACTTTGGGCCAATCATGAGAAAATAAAACTCCCTGGAGAAGAAGACCATGCTAGGCAAAGTCAAAGGCAGAAGAAGAAAAGGAAGACCAAATATGAGATGGACTAACTTCATTAGGAGAGTCACAGACTTGAATTTGGACGAGCTGAGCAGGACTGTCATGGATAGGTCATTTCGCAGGGCTTTCATTGGTTATTGGAGATAATGTGGCGGCACTCAGCCGCAGGACATGGTCAGTGCAATCCTAAACATGTTACATTACATGAGGCACCAGACTAAGAAATATCCTGCTCTGCTCGAGGAATGACTCCTGTATGGAATGCATCTTCAGCCCAGAAAGGAAAGCAGAAAACACAGCAGAAAATACAAACACTTTTTTTTTAAATGACGGGTACCTAAAGTCTGGAGAAATAATGCAAGTGCTCACTTGCTGTCTGCATCTGCCCATCATTCCCCCAGAATATGTGAAATGATGCCATGTATCAGCGCGAATGGCACAGCGAGCAACTACTCCCTTGCTGCAAGTCCTCAGGCATCCTTTGAAGCATGTTTTAAGTCCACTGATGCAGCCTGCACCTGCTGTTTTCAAGCAGGCACACACACAAAAGGAAGGAAGCCCAAATACCAGATCAGCCTCCAGTCCGGTATGCAAACAGTTCTTTGATTAAATTAAAGTTTATCAATTGGCCCCTATAGTACCCATCCTAGAATTCTGAAAGAGCTCAGTGACTTTCTTACAACAATATGCAATTAGTCCCTAAGATACGCTTCTGAACTGGAAAAAATGCAGAGAGGGGCCACTGAAATGATTGAGGGGTTGGATCAGTCCCCTATGAAGAATGTCCTCAAGAGCTAAGTCTATTAGCTTTGAAAAAAAGGTGAGTAAGGGGGAGACATGATAGAGGTGTTTAGAATTATGCATGGTGTGCAGAAAGAGAGGGAGGAATGCTAGAGAAATCCTATAGTACTGGAACCCAGAGTGATCCCATGAAGCTCCTTGGTGAGAGATTTAGGACAGAAAAAAAGAAATGCTTCTTCACACAAACTATGGAATTCACTGCCACTGGAAGTAGTAATGGCCACTATAGGACAAAATGAGCTAAAGTTCCTCCATAATATGGTTGCAGAGAGCCTGAAACTGACAAGAACTGGGCAAGATGGGCATCCGGATCTGGTCAGGAAACTATGTGCTTATTCCTGATTCCAGTATACACATGTCTGCCCTGAAACCTCTTCCTCATTTGTCCCTTGTCTTAATCCAACCAAGCTTTGTTTCCACTATCATGTGCATCTAGCAACCTGCTTACCTGATCTATCCAAACTGTATCTGCCTATATTATAAAAGCCCCTTTATACAGCACATTTCCTTTTTGACCCTTGTGGGTTACCTTCCTGTTGCATGTACACTTGAATAAACTGCAATGTTCTTTTGATGGCACACCCTCAGTGTCTCTCTCTGGCTTTTGTCACCACCAATTTTGACAGCTTTAATGGGGGATTGGACCAGTTCATGGAGAAGAATGCTGTCAGTGGCTATGTGCTACCTCTGATATCAGAGACAGTATCCCTATGTACACCAGTTGCTGCAGGGATCAGTTGTATATATCCTGCTTGAGGGATCTTGTGGGCAAGTGATTTGCCACCCTGCCTAATTCAGCATGGCTTTTCTCATGTTCTTAAAGATTAGTTCAAAAGAAAGGCAGTGCTACTAATATTCCTTAGTCTCGAACCGAGAAAAGCAGACATAGAAGAAACAGAAAGGAAGAAAACAGTAACAAGGCCAAATCTCAAAGGAAAAATGGATAAAAGTCAACACGGAATAAATTCCTGTAGCTCTCCTTATAAAATGTCATAATCACTTCACTTGTTAGTGGAGTGTCATACTAGGAACAAGGTCAGCCAGATTTGCATCTCCACTCAACCATAAAACTCACTCCATGACTGTGGACCACTCAGTGACCATGCTCAGCCTAACCTTCTTTACAGGGTTGTTGTGAGGATAAAAATCCAGGGAAGATCGTGCATCCTGCTTTGAATTCCTTGGAGGAAGGGTAGATGATATACACAGATAGAACTAGTCAGAGATAGGATCCATTTGGATACTGGAGCTTTTCCACCCTTTGTACCTCGCCAGAACGTCTCTCGGGAAAATATAAATCTGGCAGTATGTTTTCCTGCTATCATCAAAGGGCTCACAGCATCACTTTTCATATCAGCGTCTTCTCATAACAGACCAAGCATGTTGTGGTTTTCCCATCTACTGTGGAGTCTGACTGTGTTCTTTGAGGTCCCTTATCAAGTACAGTGTTTCTTATTCTGCTGGCAGGATTTCAAACCAGCTGCCAACTTTGTCTCAGCAAAAGTTACAAGCTGCTTGCACAGAGCAGCTCACTTCTGTAGCTGTCATCCAAATTAAGCCATCATGGCTTTCTCCTGCCAGGAAAGCTCTTGTATACCCAAATGTATTGAACTTTAATTACATTCTGACTTATAATGATATTCTTGATAATGCTGAAAGATTGAAATCAAACCAAGAACCTCAAGGGTATTGATTTTTCTTGGTGGCTCCAAGTGCAAATACAATCAAGGCATACTAAAGATTATAAAATGTATGGATTTTATAAAGAACAGACAATGTTTGATCAAATAATTCTAAAATCAGATGAAAAAATTATTAAAAGATTGTATAGCTTTCTCTTAGATATGAAAATGGAAGACGAACAAGTTAAGGAAACTATGATATCATGGGCACAAAATTTTGGATGTAATATTAAGTTGCAGAAATGGCAAAAGTTGTGGGAAAGAAATAATAAGATAACTTTGGCAACCTCATATAAAGAGTTTTTATGTTTGTTGTGTTCAATATTTCCTCAGGTCCACAGGGCCAGATTAATAGAGGGGACTCTTGTTATTTTTTATTTTTAATATTTGTATGAAATATTAAGTTTAATATTGTCAATATTTTATTGTGTTTATGAACTTAAAGAAATGAAAGCATGTTGTATAAATGCTATAGTATGTTTTGTATTATAAAAGATTGTTTTCTAATGGGTAGATATTGTACCCAGATAGGTACTATGCAAATAAAATATTCAAGAGATACAAGGTAGTATAGGGAATATTCTGTATATAAATCATGTTTTCTTTATGCTAGAGATGATGTGTTATAACTGTGTGCAGATACATACACAGTAAATATTTTGCTGCAAGTAACCTACAGATCAGAGATGAGTACTTTTGTAAACATGTAGAGTATGGTTGCTGGAAAGCTATATATCAAGATTTTTAAAAAGTGGTAGCTTATCAAATCAAATGTATGCACCCACAATATAGCCCTGTTTTCCAAACACTTATGCCACAAATAATCTGGATGTGTAAATTTGCAACAGTATCCAAGCTGACCCTTCTATCCCCACCTATTTTCTGCTTGCCCACAATGGATTGTCTGGCACTTATTTGTATTTTAAGATAAAAATACTGATACAAATAAAGCCTGGAAGAAAGCTGGCGGGATCCCAATCAAAGGGTCTATTCATGCGGAATTATTAACTCATGATTTACCAGGACTGTGTGACACCATATGTAGCCTCTGATCAGAAGATATTTAATGGCATGCAAATCCCTAGGTTAATTGTGGGTTAAACAATCCACAGTTAACCTACAATTAGATCTTATGTTACTGTTTTTTTTAACCTATATATGTAAATAAATAAATGTAACATCTGCTTTTGCATGCCACAAAAAAATCTCTAATTGGAGGCTGCGTATTTTAAAAAGTGGTGGCACATACTGCAGCAAACCAAGTCAATGCAGTAAGCTTACATAATTGTCTGAAATGCTGGTTAAGAACAAATGAACAAATGGCTTCCATTCCAGAGAAAACAACTAGTGTGGAAGGAGTATTAATTAAATGTCAGTCCAACTATCACCAACACTCCCACAGTCTCTGTGGCTATCCTCCAAAAAGCTGGATTCCTTCTTGGGTACTTGGTCCCAAAAGTATGGTTATTGTAAACAACGCCTTTTGAGGAATATTATAGCTCAGAAGTAATATTTCTGGCGGAAAATCAGCATGAGCTCAATCTGAAAAAGAGTGCATTTACACTCAGCTGGTTTTTCTTCCAAATAAAAAATAGCTGTCCTGATGGTACAATCCCATGCCTGTTTGGACAGACCTCGCCATATAAACACACACAGGATTGCACACTCAAATACATTTAAAAAGCAACACTGACACCGTTGCATCCTATGACTTCTGTCACAAAACAAACATGCTTCAAGGTGTGTATAAACGTACTCGACTTTTCGCTCCATCCGCAAAGCAAAACAGATCCACCGGAGTTCCCGCCGCCCACCATGGAAGGAAGATGGTGACACTTTTCGAGACTACATTTCCCAGCATGGCATCGTCTCCTCGATTGCTTCCGTTGACCCTTTGCCTAGGCAGCTACTTGAGATTGAGCCCTGGTTTGGGGCTGAGAGGAAGCAATTTTCATAAGCGGACGTTTTTTGTAATTTGGTCCTGGAAAGAGGGAGAATAATTTTTACAGCAGCATTTTAATCCTTCATTTAACCCACTGTGTCGCTTACGACTGACGGGCATGGTTTGTTAGTTTTAAAAAAATTAAACTTTGGGGCAATGCAGTAGAGTGTAGACGCACGGGGAAGGCACGTCTGCAGTTTTCCTAATTCCAGATTGCAATTCAAGAAAGTGTAATCAGCTGCTTTTAGCGCTGCTACGACCAACTTCAAACCCTGTCCTCGAGCATAACATTATAACATTTTCTCCAGATCAGGAGTAAAAACAAACGACACCGGCGGTTATAATACTCAACCACAGGCTGCCTCCTTTTCTCTTTCGCATGGCACACGTGCAATATAGCGATACTATGATTGCATCTGCACTGGCATTCCCTAGAAGGTTTTTAAATGTCCATAAATAAAAAGAAACCACAATTTCCACATCAAATCAATCCTGGGAACTAGGAACTGCGAGTATGCCTGTTTTTGCCGCCACCTTTTGATGGGACATGGAAATACGCTGCTGCTCAAATCACCAGCTGGTTAAAAAAAGAAATCAAGATTCCCATCCATTCATTAGACGTTCTACCTTCTACCGCGCACGAACTATAGATCAGCCACTCTATCATTCTAACTTCTATGTCCTTTCCCTTTCGACGGAAAAGCGTCTAATGGGCGGAGACAACTGTAGTTGATTGACGTCGTTACGATCCAATCCGCGACGTGTTTGGGCTTTGGCGTCGGACGGCCCAGGGTTTTGGCGCGAGATGCTTCCTTTCGCCGCTTAGCTGCTGCCTTCTTGGGGACTGGACTGTGGGTGTGAAGTGGACGAGCGACCCGTAAGGGACCCTCTAGAAGGGCCGGTCTCCCGTCACGGCTGGAGCTATCGTGTTTCCGTCTGCTTTTAACGCCATTATCCTTCGGTCATGCGGCTTCCTCACCGTCGTACCTGCTCAAGCATTGCCACCAATTTCGTTCAGCCTTAGTGAGCCCCTTCCTCTTGTGAATATCCCCGCCCTCTGGGCCCCATCCCGTAATTTGGCATTACCTGAAGAGATCGTTTCTTCCACCACCACTCGCTTCCCTACTGTCGCAGAACCTGGTGCTTAGTCGGCCGGCATGGCTCTGATGGCTGGTGTGATCCGCCGGCTGGATGAGACCGTGGTGAACCGTATCGCAGCTGGAGAGGTCATCCAGAGGCCCGCCAACGCCATCAAGGAGATGGTGGAGAACTGGTAATGTTCCCTGCTGGTGCCTGGGAAGGGAAGTGGCCATAGAGATACATACGACTTGGCAGTAGAAAGCAATCCCTTCGGTGCGTGCAATGGGAGTAGATAGCATTCCCTAGGGTTTCTGCTGCAGTGGTCCACTGGTCCCAGCCTTTCCGTTTGCCTTCTGTGTTGGGCACCTTGAGCACTGGAAGGGTGAATGTGGGATATATTTCGGATACTAAGTTTTCTTGCTTCCCTGGGGCACACTTGAAAAACGGTATTACTTATTGTTGGGGCATATTGCAATTATTTGCAGGTTGCGTTTCAGGTTACAAATACTGCCAAGATGACTTATGGCTAACATAAAATGAATACATTTGCAATAAAAAAGTATTAACTAATTAAAAAACAAAGGAATCAAGGTCCTTTCCATAGGGCGTTTGATGGTGGATGGCCATGGGGACAGGGTGAATCCAGCTGGAGCAGGAAGAGTTTGGTATTACTTTTCTCCCAAGCTCCCTTCCACTGAGAAGTTAATAGTAGATGGCCCTGCAGAATACAGGAGAAGGAAAATGCAGCTGAGGTCAACTTCACCTGCCTCTCTTCATTCTTATTTCTTCAGTGTATTAATATTTTGTTATGGCTATGTGGCAGAAGTGTTTGACTGTGAGAACATTTTAAGATACAGTACCTTGAAATTCATGCACAAGTAGAAGGATGAGATGGTATGTAATCTCATGATTGGTAAGGAAAAGAGGAATAGAGAAAATGTCTCTGTTATGGTACTAAAAACTGTAAATAGTACAGAAGTATATAATTACTGATGTACAGAAGCTTGTTCTATTCAGGTAAGTATTGTGTAAACACATTATTATTTATTACCTTTGTATAAAAGCCACCCCATTAGCATTCTGCTCTCTGGGTGACCATTACACTAAAAGTAAATAATAGCATTAATAAAATAATGCAGTTAAAAATTACAATAAATTTACACAGCAAGACACAGTATATTATGCTGTCACAATTATGACTTATCACAAGTTGCTTTCTAAAATAGCTCACTCAGAGCATTGAGAATTGAGAGAAACCGTAATATGCATTTGTTGTAATACCTTGAACATCACTTTGCTTTCATGGAAAACAAGCACAATGGTCATGTAGTTAGCATCTCCTTTCCAGGGGACTGGTATTTGTATTGATTGTTCTCACTCTCTGGACCATTGTTTTGTTTTCCATATTTGTTGGCATATCGCCACAGCTTGGAATAGTTGTATCAATACCTCATCTATTCTGAATGCTTTGTGCCCTCTAAGGGTTTTCAGAGCTGCTTTCATTTCACTTTCTAATAGTTCAGGTTCTTCCTCATAGACTTCCACTTTGAAGGCATCTGCCTTTTTTATCTCTTCAGTATACTTGCATATATTATTCTACCTTCTCTCTTTTCTCCTGATCAGATAGTATAGTCCTCTGTTTATCTTTCTGCGTTCATAATTCAGATTTGATTTTTTCTTTGATTTCTTGGATTTTCTGAAATAAGTTTCTTGTTTTTTTTTCCTTTGGCTATTTTCTTCCATTTCTTTACCCCTGTTATTGTAATTTGTCTCTATATGATAGTCAGCTGAAAGGCTGCATTCAGGGTTTGACTCAATTTCTGTTAATTTTGCTTTTTGCCTATTTTTAGCAATTTTGTTTATTTAGTCATCCATCTAGGCCTTTTCTACCTTTTTGCTGCAGGAATTATCTTTTGAAGTTGTGCTTAATGACTTTGGTTTCAGTCCACAGTTCCTTAGGTTCACAGTCAGTTGAGTTGAGTAATTCAAATCTGTTCTTTATATGGAGTCCATGAAAAGTTATTTAAATTACATTTTGGCACTATGCTTCTTTTAGTGGTCCTCTTCAGCTTTAGTTTGATTGTTGATCTTAATAGTGCATAATCACTACCACAGTCTGCTTCTGGTCATGTTTTGGCCACACAAATACAGATCTTCATCTCCAAATTCCAATTATGTAGTCTGTTTGATTTCTGTAGTAGCCATCTGATGTTGTCCATGCGTACAGTTATCTGATTGATTGGCTGAAATATGTATTTGCGGTCAAGAAATAGTTGTTTTTACAGAATTATGTGAGTTGTTCTGCTTCATTTCTGACCTCCAGGTTAAATTCTCACACCATTTAATCCTGTTCTGTGTCCTATTTTTATGTGCTAGTGACCTATGATTATGTGTGCCTTGTTTTGATGTTTTTATTTCTTCATTGTCTGTTTGAGCATAGAATTGAATGATGGTTATGTTTATAGGGTTCTTTCCAAGAATTCTGATTGATATTATTTCATCAGATTTGCATTATAGGTCCTTACTGCCTTTGCTACTACTTTCCTCAGTATTAGAACCATTCTATTTCTTTCTGAGTTTGTCATTTCCAGAGCAAAGTTGGGGTATACCTAAGTTGGGTGTACGTAAGAGAAATTGCAGTGCAATTTTAAGTTTCCTTAGGGGAGTATCTGACGTGATACATAGAGTAAAAATGAATGACACTAATGTCACAAGCAAATTAAGTTCCATTTATTTCACTGGATTTATTCTACATAGGAATAGCTTTAATTTCTATCCATGGGCATCTGTTCTCATAAGTAGAATGATACTTCTTCTCTAGTAAGTGTATTTAGGATTTAGTCTTGGGTCACAGCAAGCACACACTGAACACCAATCTTCCATTCTATTTTAAGATAAATTAGTGTTTCTTTTGCAATGTTCATTATATTAGACTAAAAACTACAAGATGAGAATTGGAATTTCAGACTATATTTGTGCTCTAAAACCTTTGAAGCATTTAAAAACCATTAAAAACCTGCTAGAATGTTTTCTTGGGCTGATTGCTTAGACATCATAATTTCATTTTCTTTGCTTAAATAAATTGGCTCACATACAATTAACTGAAGTCTGTGTTTTTTAAAAAAAACTTAAATGGAAAGAAAAGCTGAATGCATGGAATTTCCTATATAGATTAAATACATGTTGATGTTAGACAGATTAGGAATAGAAATAGAATTGAAACTTCATTATATGTTTCTAGAAACTGAAATTTGTTTCTTGTACTTCCAGCTTGGATGCCAGCGCAACCAGCATCCAGGTGACAGTGAAGGATGGTGGTTTGAAATTTATTCAGGTCCAAGATAATGGATGTGGAATTCGTGTAAGTAAATCTAATTAACTCTCCAGCATTCCAAAATTCTTTGAAAAACCACTGACTTGTTTCCTTCCTTCCTTCCTTCCTTCTTTCTTCTGCAGAAGGAAGACTTGGATATTGTGTGTGAGAGGTTTACTACAAGTAAACTGCAGACCTTTGAAGATCTAGCTAGCATTTCCACATATGGGTTTAGAGGTGAGGTATGTTGCTGTGATGTGTACAATCACATATTAGCTGTTTTCCATAAATAGTTTTATATATATATTCATGTTGCTTGTCAGGATCCATAAACTGTGTAAGATGATATGTGTAACTGTGTGAGCTGAAACTCCTGTGAGCTGTTGTTTTGTCCTTGACATAGGTAAGCTGCCAATCAATAGTGTACAGCTTCTCAGAGTTTAAAATGATATAGTTGCTTACATTCAAACATGCTGAAATTCCTCTGACAGCTACCAATGTACTGCCAGGCTCAATTCAAGCAGTTTAAGTCAGAATTTTTCAAGAATTCTCTCCTCCTATGTTTTCAATGATAGGAGGGTGTGAATTCGTAATGTACACATGGAACTACCTGTGGATCATTAAAAGTGAGGATCACAGAGGTAGCTGTTTTATATGTGATCTACAGGTATTCCATGCCCTGTTTCCTCCATGGGAATAATGTATGGGAAATTCATAATGGAAGTTATTGTGAGTTGTCATAATGCCAATGTTTACTGAGTTCAGGGTCTATTCAGATGTAGTATGTGAGTGCATAATAGTTTACATATTACTTATGTTTAAATGAATTATATATCTAGCCAAGTATTATGTGGACAGTTATTACAAGTTGCTTTCTGTGGTAGATTGCACTGAAAATTGAGGGAAAATTCTAGGTATTTGGCATGTATCTTCTGTGCACTTAATAAATTTCAGAAGCCAGTTTTCTCTCCATTGGTTAAGGATGCAGGCTTAAATAGATAAGAATCTCTTAATCTGATAGAACTCATTCATGGGGAAGTGTTTAATGTACATATCTTAAACTTAAATTTCCATGGTCTTTTTTTCACACAATGTGTATGGGCTCTAAGAGCTCCTTTATGAACGTCTTGCCTTGAGCAACTTAAAAGAACTTTGACAATACGGTTGAAATATCCTAATCAGTTACTTTTAATCAAAATCAAAGTATTCTCTTTGGTTTATTTTTGAATATAGGATTTATGCATTCATATAGTTTCACGCAAGAAAGAAATTGTTTAGAAATTATGTCTATATTTTCAAATATATATTTTAATATAGTTAGATATATATATTGCATAAAATCCAAAAGGAAGGGAAATCAGTTTCAACTCTAGTTGATTTGTGATTTGATTCCTTTGCACTTAATTAATGTGTGCTTATTACTTTTGCCTGGAAGTATCTTTTCCAGAACTAAGATATGTGGAGAAGAAATTCCTTGTCCTCTGGCTGAAGGAATAAGGAAAGAAAATTTTAAACTTCTTTACAGGAATATTCTGCTACTTCCACATGTTTTGAATTGGCTATTAAACCACAGTTTAAAATAACATTGTCTCAATTAAGAAAACCTTTCTTGGACAGATTTTCTGTGCCTTCTCCAGGACTGGAAATGAGAATTGGAGTATATTATTACTGAATGTTTATTTTGCTCCAGCACAGAATCAGGGGCTGTATTTGACATTTAATTTGGCTTATTCAGCTTAACATGTTTTTTTTTCCCATCCCAGGCATTGGCTAGCATAAGTCATGTTGCCCATGTTACTATTACATCTAAAACAGCAGATGGAAAGTGTGCTTACAGGTATGCATAGTCAATCTTTAGCTGTGGCAAACCTTTAGGATATAAGTAAAGACTGTTGTTAGATATATTTGGTTTCAGGAAGAATTACCTTCAAGAAAAATAAAAACCAATACATTCCAAGTACCCCTTTTGTTTAGAAAAGTAGTGGGAAGAAAGTTGTAGAAATAAGGGTGGGGGGTTTGCCTGGCTTCATGCTTCAATTAGACCCTACTGCAGGTTAGTGTCTGAGCTGGCCCAGCTCTCACCAAAGGTACGACTTAACCCAGAAGCCACCATTTCTCAGCCTTTGCACCCACATTTTCAATAAGAAACCTACTTTATAGGAATGTTAAAAAGATTTTTGAGGTAATGCATGTGAAGTGCTTCAGACACTATAAAGTGTTTTAACAATGCTAAGTATTATTATTTATGCCATATTGCAAAGTCCTTAGTCAAGTATGCCAAGTAGAATTCTTACATTTCCATACAAAGAATATATTGACAATTGGTGTAGTTAGTGGATATGCTTTTTGTCATTGTCACTGCATTGCTCATGCTTTATGAAACAGGACTTTCCTTAAATTAGTCAAATAATATTGTGTTCATGTTGGCAGTTAAATGTTTTAAGACCAGGATGTACATAGCTACTTGAGTATACCCCAAGAAGCTTAGAACTTGCATTTCCAAAACAGCAAAATTCCATTTTGTCTTCAAAACTAGTTCTGAAAATGAGCAGGCTTTTCAAAAGCAGTCTAGGATATGACTTGTAGCTCTGCTGTTCAAAGCAAAATTCAGAAGTTGCATCTTGGGTATGGCTAAGCGGGATCCTCGAGCTAAGTCTGCACTGGCATATGTCTATTCTTGTCTGTTATATCTGAGAAACTTCTGACCCAAGGCATTATTTCTATGTTTAGAGGGGGAAATGGTTGCCTGTTCTGAGCCCATTCAGATTTTTAACATGCAATCTCTACTTTAGTAGTTTAGTAGTTAAGAGCTTTAATCAAACTTCCACACTGCTGGAATTTCATTTTTCTTTTTAACCCAGTTTTTCCATACCTTATGATATAACAGTTTGTGAACTAAGTAGTCAAACTGTATATTAAAGTTAAGTCAATTGAAAGCACTACACTAAAGAAAACTTTTTTACAATAAGAAATTGTATTTAATTGTCTTATATGTTTGTAAATAATTCATTGGCTAAATGGCATGTAAAATATCATTCTGCCTAGTTTATTTTTTTGAATATCAATTTCTCTGCTTTTTGGACTTGTTTGAAACCATGCAGCCATAAATTAATAAATGTTAGCTTAATGTAATTGCATATGAAGACATGTGAAAACAAACTATTAGAGGCTTCTGAACTGTTTTCAAAGTGAGCAGCAATTAATATTAAACTTTTTTATTATTACTTAATTTCTATACTGCCCTATAGCCAAAGCTCACCCATAAATTGTCACAGTGTGCACAATGCGAAAAAGTATTGCACACTATTCTGGATTTGTTCTCAATTGTGAGGCAAATTTTACCGCATAGGAGGCATAATGTTCCATGACTGCTCCATTAAAACTGTTGAGCTGAGCCCATATATCGAACCTTGCTGAAATATGTCGATTGGAATCCTGTGTACAGTTCTCCAAGTCTACAGAATTCTGTGGGAACTTAACTAAGAGTCCCTAGCTCAGTGTAGTAATGAACTTGTAATCAGAACAGAGAACAATGGGGTAACTTACTAGAACATTAGAAAATGCAACACAGAAAGATATATAAGGTGTAGCACAAAAGGAGCTATGATTCTGAAGTAGCTATTCTGATAGACGCATCAGAAATATTAGCTTAATAATGGTAGCTAAAATGGTAACGGAAAAAGGTGATACTGAAGAGGTTGAACCATCTTCAAGTAACCAACCTAACAGTAACTATTTTTCAGCACTGTACAATCAGCACTATGCATACATAACCAGAAGAGGTCACTCATTGTCTCATTGGTGCAAAGAAAACTGCTTTTAATGTAACAGACATCTCTCTGTTGTTTTGGGGGATCAATGGTGTGGGGGAGGCCATTCCTTTCTTGGTTTCTTCTTGATTTCCTACTCCCACGTCATTTAGGATTCCTCTGCTAGTCTCTTCTTTGGGGGTACAAAGAAGCTAATTGTGGTAAGATGACATGTCCTTGTTTATTGGATCTGAAAAAATAATTTGTTGTCCTGCTTCTTTTAGTCTATTAGAATGTTATGGTGGCGGTGAAAGTTCCTAAAGTCCTGCTGATTTTGGGGGGGAAATTCTTGTTGTACCATTTGATAGCTGATCTGACCAGTTAGCCCTTTTCTCCCCCCACCCCACCCCGTTCCCTCTTCTTTCCCTTTAGGGCCAGCTATTCTGATGGAAAATTGAAGACTGCCCCCAAACCTTGTGCTGGAAATCAGGGGACTCAGATCACGGTAGTTTATTTGCTATTAAATCTTTTGTGCAACTGGAGCAGACACATTCCCAGTTAGTCTTTTTCTCTAGCTTTTCTCTCTCAATAGGCAGGGTTGGTGGTACTAATCTCTGCTATAGGTCTTTAGGTACTTTGTAATGGCTTGCCTTTTTTTATTTAAATTAGAGTTTCAGGCCTTAATTTACCTTGAAGTTTAGGTCAGGGCTTCTGCCTTTCTTGCACCATTTAAGGGTGCAGTTCTATGAGTTACAGTCTGGTAGGTCAGAAGCCTCCAGCTACTTGTGGACAGAGTAATACTATCTATGGTCCCAAGAGGGAAGGATGGGAGAAGCAGCACCGACAATTCTTGCCTCTCTGGCTCCCTGCCACACTATATGAGCCTTTAGTGTAGGTATACTTGTGGGGTTGTGGCTGGCATGGCCATATGAAACATCATATCCTGGCCTCTCCCTCCCCACAAGGAAAAGTGGCTGGATTTTGGAGTTGTCCTTCAGAGCTTATACAGGGTTCATGCAGGGTGGGGATCCTCAGAAGAAACCTGTGGGCCTTGAGATGTTCACACGAGTCCATAGGATTGCTTTCATGAGAAATATGACCAATAAGCAAAGATTTAAATTTAGAAAGAAGAATTTAAATCAATGTTTTTATATCAAAAGTAAATTTGAGTGCTACTTCCTCAATAAAACATCAAGCTTCTTAAAGAGCATCTTAAATGTTGAAACAGTCTGTCTGTGCATTGTTTTGTAGCATTGACCGGTTCTCTTGCAATAGCGCTATTCATAATAGATGAGTGTTTGCATTAAAAATGGGACCTCTCTATATCTCTCTTGTGTTTCTCTTACACTGAATAAATTATTGAATTCTTTATTGCTTTTAGGACTAAACAGTTCTTTTGTAGAGCCTCGCTCAATAGCACAGTGCATATGTAAATCCATTAAAATAGTGACTATGATGGTATTTAGCTTAGCAGAAAACTGGAAAACATTTAATAAGTTAGAGGAAGAGCTTCAGTCCTCAAATATAAACTGCATTTTTTCATGGGAACTGTATCAGCATTTAATGCCGAGATCTCATAGTAAATGTGTTCTGGGAAAACAAGTCACATGTTTCAATATCAACAGAACACCACACAATAACTGTCAAATGATGTGAGTTAAAAATCCACATTTCTTTGTTGTTTAGGCTGATACATCAAACAAACCCGAATATATTGAAGGTCTTACAAAATGATGTTTAGAAACATCTTTTCACACCAAGTGTGCATTTGTCTGCCTATATATATCTGTGCATATACTGATGTATAGTAAAAGCGTACTGACATTATGATATCTATTGAAATATGTGATCACTGCAGCCAGAATTTGCTGTGCCGTATACTGGAAAGTAGCAGCTGCACCACAGGCTAATGAATGGGAAAACACATAGCATGAATACATAGCTGTGCCTCACTGTAAAATTACATTTGAATCAAAGGTAGACAACACTATTGCACTGGCTCACCTTTTATTGATACTTACAAAAAGAAGGCATATATACCTTCCAGCGTATGTGTTATGTATAGTAATGATTTATTGTAAGCCATCCTGAGACGTTTTATCAGGAAGGACGGGGTAAAAACGTTTTAAATAAATAAATAAATAAATAAATAAATAACATCGACATTTTAAAATAAAAAATATTTTTATATTTGTAATTTAACTGGAAAAGTCATATAGATATGAGTGTTTCATTTAGATTGTGTTCCTCTTGCTGTTTGTAGCATTCAGATGCTTTTCTTCTTGAGCTGTCAATGGAGAAGACCTTTAAGTAGTGTAGACGAATCATACATACACCGTGTGCTGGCTGTAGCTTTCGTTCTTCTGCCTGAACAAAAATATAGAATGACCTATATTTGTGTTTTCATTTTTTTTATGTTTTACACTGCCTCTTTGGTTCTTTCTGCAGATTGAGGATCTATTTTACAATGTAGCCACCAGGAGAAAAGCCTTAAAAAACCCTAGTGAAGAATATGCAAAAATACTGGAAGTTGTCGGGAGGTAATGCTTTTTTTTCCTTTCCGAAAAGGGAGGGGAAAGCTCCAGCTTTTATTATCTGCATGCCCTATTTCATGTTTGTTCGGTACATTTTTCTACTCATTTTTCTACAGCCAAGAATGATATCTTTGATGAATTAGGAACCTAAAATAGCAAGAGAGGTGCCTTCATGTCTAAGGCAGTATATTGACACAAATACACTTGGACCGTATTTCTGAGCTTGAGAAGTATCTCACTAAACCCAGTTGAACCTTCACATATTTGTGTTATCTAATACTTGCATGACAGTTGAGGAAGGACTCCAGAATTGTTTGTGCAAATCTTTGAAAAAGATTAAGAGACAGAGGGAGCAGGAGGGCTAATTGCATTATTCTTATCAGCAGGATGAGGTTCTTCTTCTCCCAGGGTAGTAAAGCCAACAAAAGAAATGATTAAGCATTTCTCAGAATGTTGCTGCAAAATTTCAAAATTTTACCAGAACCTTGAGGCTGCCTCATATTTCCTTCTCTATTTCATTTACAGGCTGCTAAACCAAACGTGTGCCATCACTTCACACTGCTTCTGGAGGCAGGGAAGATTGAGCTTAAATCCAAAGCTGGGCAAATGGACTCCCCTGCCCTCTCTTTCCTGTAGTTTTCCGTGCCCACCCCCACCCCTCAAAAAAAATCTGCTCTGAAGAGTCATTGAACCCTTTGGAGCAGATCTGGGGGGCTACAGGAAGAATGGAAAATTGTTTACACCAGCAGTTTTCATTATGTTGGTGGAAGGACACCATTGGATTCATGTCTTAGAGCATGATGGTATTATGGGACCCACTTGATTTTATTGCAAATTACCAGGAGAGCAAGGAAAGAAGTAGCTACATAGTCGTGTTGTGTTCAGTGGCAGCTATGTGGTTTTCCTAACTTCTGAGGGGATGGGCATAGAAAGGAGAAAAAGAGGAAGAGGAGCCCATTTGCGGAGCACTCACCCTTACCATCAATTTTTAGTTTAAAAACAAAGATGTTTCTATACTTTTCACTAGAGTTTTTGCCATGTGTGCTTGAGAATCTTGCATTCACTGTTCTACATATATATAGTGTGTGTATGTGTATTTTTCAGGTATGCTGTTTACAACTCAGGCACCAGTTTTTCAGTTAAAAAGGTGAGTATAACTTTTTCTGCTTAGGTATTGCAGCAAATAAAAAAAAAGGAAGAAGTTGTAGTCAAATGTAGAAACATTTAAGCATTCAGATTTTAAAAGATGCATTTAACTAAAAAAAGTAACTCAGTCTTTAGTTTTAAATACAAAATCTGGAAAATCAGCTAATATTGTGATTGTGCCCATTTTTTTTTTCAAATGTGCACTGCTATGCATATACTGAAAGCCTTTGGCCTTGTTGTCCACTCCTACATGCTATTCCAATTTTTAAAGAACCTGCTGCCCTCCAGATGCCTTGGAATGCAGTTCCCATAATCCTTGACCCCCTAACCATCTGGAAGGCACCAGGTTGCCTACTCTTGGGCTGGCAAGCATGTGTTCAGGACCAAGACTTTCCAAGGGCCAAGCCATTGCAACAACAAGGTAAATAGAGCTGAGCTTGCGTTTTAGGACAATGTGAGTTTGTGCTGCCATATGATGCAGTGACCCCATTTCTAGATGCTGTGTAGAAAAGGCATAAAGGAATTCTTTGGCACACAGTTGGGCAGAGAAGGAACTTGGCTGGTACCTGGAAGCAGTTCACGTCAGCATAATCCCTGTGTGCCTGCTAGCATTATTTTTGGTCTGTCAGCTATCTCTGCATTATGGATCTCTTAAAATACATAGGGCAACCTTTAATTCTGACTGGAGTTTGTATGTATGCCAGGCCTGTGGAACCAGCTTGACCCTAAGGGCTACCTGTGATGCCTGATTGTGACTGTATGTGTGCATATATGCCAGTACACACACGTTGCAGCAACTTACATTGCTTAATTTTCTGTAGATAATACATCAAAGTATTGGTAAATTGAAGTTTACTGTCTTTTGCTTTTAGCAAGGTGATACTGTAGCAGATATCAGAACACTGTTGAATGCTACAACTGTAGACAATATTCGGTCCATCTTTGGAAATGCAGTTAGCAGGTAAACTATGCAATGTAATTTCTAAACTGTTTGAGATTAGCTTTTGACATTGCCACACAAAACATCTTTGATTAGCCGTACTGTCCTACATGCTATGGAATGGGAGCAATCTTTGAAGATATATTTAATAGGACCAAGAAAGATACTGAAACATCATTGAGGTACATGGCTGTTTCATTATGTTTTTTGAAGAGGATGCTTTTTCATAAATCTTAATCTTCACCAGATGAGCTTTCATCCTAGGCAGGAATTCAGTAAGGCTAAATGTAAGCTCCAGGTAGTACCCAGGACAGCTCCAAGAGAATCTTAACAACAGCGAAGATTCCTTTGAGCAACTCAGCCTTAAGCAGAGCTGCAGTTGTACTGAATGGCTGGCTTCAGCTCCCTGTGTCAACAGCCAATGACTTTGAAACTCTGGCTCCACTGAGGCAAAGTCCCTTATGCTAGCAAAGCGACCCTCCCTTGCACAGGAGTTTCTCAGACAACTAAGTTTTCTAGAGCTGGTCGTGTGGGCGGTTCTTTCTCCCTCACTGACATCTTCTCCAAATGTATGCTCTGCTGCCCTCAAGATGGGGAGTCAGACTCTGGACCCATGACAGATGATTTTAAAAGATCAGACTGCAAAATAATGCCCACTGTTTTCCCAACCCAAAGTTCTACATATATTCTGTTCCCTTCTATATGCATATTTGGAGAGGGTAATGCAGCATGTTATCTTTTCCAAACAGTCTGTATTAATTGTAAATAGAGCTCTTGAATTTAAGTTACTGATCATAAACAAATACAAAGCTTTATGTTTCCATTCTCCCTGCTGTTCAGAATTTTAAAAAAACAAAGGGGCAGTTCTGTGCCCCATGGAGTCCAAGAATTGGACACAGAGAAGGGAAATGGAGGAAGGCTATATAACTTAAGTGTGTAGGCTAAGTTACAGAAGGAGATTATGCCAAAAGCTGAAAAGAAAAGACACCTTTTGCAAAAGTATTTGAATGAAGGCAGAGAAGATGTTGGGAATAACAAAATAAATATCTTAAAATAATATTTAAAGACAATGACTGTTTAAAACACTGTGAACTGTCCTCAGTCACTTGAGGTTTCCAGAACAATCTCTCTTCCATAATTGCATGGACAGCATAAAAAGCCTACACAGAACAGTGTACTACGTGTTCTCTAGGATTCCTGCCAATATTGGCAGAAAGGTCAATGTGAGATTGTGTCTAAAATTAGAAATGGCCATTTCAGCTCTAGGGCTGAGTAGTCAGTGCTCATGCCATGCTAGCAGAAGCAGGACTGAACAGAGCTAACTGTGACTGCAGAATAGTTTATTCACTACAGACCACAGCTGTAAAACTCTCACCTTTTTTCCTATAAAGCCTCTTGCGTTGATGATCCGATGTTAGTTTCTAGATGAGAGCATGTAAATCTGCAAACAACAACAACGAACTCCAGTGTTAAGTCTGTTCTAGGATGTATTAAATATATCCATCTTAAAAGGGAGAAGAAATAGCTAAAATACTAAGTCAGTATTCTAGTGAGACATCACTTGGTCTATCATTGTACTTTGATTTTTAACTGTAAGGATAGGCTTGGTTCAGAAATCATCCAAATGACAGTTTGATATCCTAAGCTGTCTAGTGTGGATGGAGTTAACCCTGATTTCTTGAGTTGATAAATAATGGAGATCTGTCCTTTTTCTGAAATTAAAATGGATGCTTTGTTCTTAAGTGTACAAGGGGAGAAGGCTCATGCGGAGACTAATGCAGGTTCATTGATCAAAATTTAAATGGTGGTTTAACCTCCCCCAACCTTGTGCCTTCCAGACACATTTGGACTGCAACACCTAGAATTCCCAGTCAGTGGCCCTGCTGGATGGGAATTCTGGGAGTTGTGGTCCAAATGCCCCTGAAGGCTACCAGGTTGGGGAAGGCTGGTTTAGATAATCATCCATAGAGTAGACTTTTCTGTGAAAAAGGAGTTGGGCGTGGGGGCATGAATAGGATAGGTCCTGATAACTCTACACTAGCAAATACATTACAGTAAAGAGTGAACTAATTCTGATGTTCTAAGATGTGAGAACTGACCAGTTTAAGAGGACACATCTGTTAAAGAGGACTTCTTTTGTGAACAATGAAATTTAGCTAATCCCTGCATAGTGATGTCTTGGCTATCGCAGCAAAGCAATCTGTAGTAAGAGTGCTTTTACAAATTACATTGCAAATTGAGAAAAGGTTGTACAATACCAAGCATTCCCCACCCACCCTGTACCTAGAAGTAGTACCTACTGAAAACAATGGATGTCTGAGATTGCACTGCAAAGCAGCGTACATACCTTCTGTTGCTCTCCATCTTTTATCAGGGCTCAGTCCTGTGGCCTCTCAGTGTTGTCTGGGGGTGGCACATGCGTGACATTATTTGGTTCTCCAAGATCTTGCCATCTCAGAGGTGGGACTCTGATAACCAGGGCCCCAGCCAACTGCTTTTGTAGCTGGCACAGAAAGAACCATGCTAGCTGCCTCCTTGAGGATTCAACTGCACTTTAGAGGTGGGAAAAAATATGCTGCAGGGACAGAGGAAGCAGGTAGAGAAGGAGGTTCCATTTCTTGTTAACACCATAGCATCTTTCTCTTCCACTTGGTGGCATTTCAGCCCTCTAAATAAATATGCAGCACATAGCACATTGATGGTGAAGATCACTGTGCCTCTGTCCATGCATTGGGTACACGTGAGCCTGTGAGATCAGAGGTTAAATGCATCTGAAGTGGAAGACATGGGATTGATTAAATGACAAAAAGCGAGTATTGAACTAATATATGAATCTAAAGCTTACAATGAGCTGCTTGTGTCTAAAAAAGTGATTCTTTGGAGCAAGGGAAGAAATTAATTACTTTCAAATGTCTCTAGAGAGTTGATTGAAGTGGGCTGTGAAGATGCAACTCTGGCTTTTAAAATGAAAGGTTATGTGACCAATGCAAACTATTCAGTGAAGAAATGCACCTTTTTGCTTTTCATAAACCGTAAGTACAAAAGTATGTATAAAATATGATAGTTTTGGAGTTGTAACGAGACATTACATTTCCAGACTCTGATTAAGACCCTTTTCCTTAAAAGGGGTATGCTGAATACTGCTGCCCATGAGCCATTATCCAAGACTATGAGAAACAGGTCTATTTCTTGGTTTCCAGGATCAATTTTCTGGATTGTGACTTGGAGTTGTTTGTAATGAAGCATCTGTGATTCAATTCAAAATCTCAATATATGTTTATTATATATTTGTTGATTTGTATCCTGCCTTTCTACAATGAAAATCTCACTCATATTAGCTTACAACCAGATAATTAACTTGATTAAAACAGTAATAAAACAAATACATGACAAGCACAACAGGAGAAAAAGCAGGACCCAACTTAAAAGACCTGCTTGCAAACACATGAAATTCTGCTGTTGGCATGTGCTTCACATTTTGCTTTATTAGTGAGATTACTTTCAGACCTGCATTTGCAAGGGTCTGGCGAGTAGAACTGAGCGTGTCTGGCACCCACTGCTCACATGGGTGCTGTGCCATTGCAGTCGTGCTGCTGCTACTATTAATACTGTGATAACTCCTCAGCACTATGGGGGAAACCCTTTTGGTGTTGATTATTCCTATATTAAATAGTAGGCTCTCTAAGGCTGTACTACTTGCATTTTCTTTCTGGTGTCCTACTACTGGAATATGCTGGAATCAGCAGCCACCCTAGCTTTCTTAGTGAAAATGTACAGTATTTTTCCAATATATTCATACAAGAGGGATCAGTATAGGGTTTTGTAAAAGCTGGTACTTGAAAAACAGTGATTAAGTTTAGATAATAAACTGTAATGCTTCTGTTTACAATTTGCCACAGTTAAAAGTCATAATTCTAACCAGGTTTAATCATAGTTTAGAAAGAAAGCAAACAAGGATTGCAATCCATAGTCTGAAATTGGCTTATTTTAATAAACCATAGTTAATACTTAGTCACAGTTTACCTTGGTTTGAACTTCTTAATAAACAGTTGTTAATTAAATACAGAGACCAAACCTTCTGTCTCCTCTTATGAGCAATGCCAGGGGAGAAGATGGAGGAGTAGAGGCTGAGACTTGTTCACCTAGCACTAAACCACGTGTTGTGTCTAAATCAGGCCATTATATAAAGGGAAAACAGTGAGACTAGAAGCACTGCATTCAAGTGGTTGGAAGGAAATTGCCCCCTGTCCAGTGTTCATGAGCCACTGCTTATTCTCAGTAAGTAGACTCTAGCTAAAAAACCCTTCACCTGAGGCTTCTCATTGTGCATTCAGATAATGTGAGTATCATGTTCTGGTTGAAGTAGGAAAGAAACTAATTCATTCTTCACACTCTCACCAGATAATCCTTTTACATACATGGTAGCTACAGTTAAAGCTCTTAATCCAGAGAAAGTGAAGTGCACTTAAGTGTCATTAAAATAGAGGGACTTTGGTTCCAAGAGAATGGGTGAGAATCCTCCTGGATGAAACCAAAGGCTTATCTAATCTTACATTCTGTTCCCAAAGTTGTTAACCAAATCGACCATTAGAAAGACATGGAATATGCACCTTTTTGCTCATGTTTCCAAGCAGCGTATATTCCAAGGAATGCTGCCTCTAATACAGAAGGCAATATATAGCCATTGTAATGAGTAGCAATTGAAAGCATTGTCCTGTCTATTTTAAAAATATGCATGTAGAAAATATACTTAAGATCAGTTGTCAGTTGTGTGGAATTAGTGGCAATGCTCTTGAAAAGGATTCTATCTGAGAACAATAATGTTTATGCTTTTAAAATTTGCCAGTTGGCTACATGAATAAAAATCTGAAGGTCTACATTTGATCAGGACTGGGTATAAACATATTATTATAAAGTAAGTAATGTAGACCACTGCACTTGTGTTTTCTCCTTTTTATGTTTATTTTTCCCCAGATCGACTGGTGGAGTCAAGCGCTTTGCGAAAAGCCATAGAAACAGTATATGCAGCTTACTTACCCAAAAACATGCACCCTTTTTTATATATAAGGTAACACAGCTTTACTCAGTTTGGTGAGACTAAGAGAAAAGGGTGGTTGTCTTTCTTTCTCATGATCCCAAGAATTTTTTGGATGTCCTACACCAGTGATAGATGTCAGTAATGGACTAGATGAGTCCAACTAACAAACTAAACATAAGTATGGGCAAAACAGATTCTTCAGACTGAACCCTTCTCTCTGATTTGTATCTTCAGTTGATGTTGAAAGTAGTTGCACATCCTTTGAAAACTCTATCACAGTTTGAAGGTGCTTCCAGAACTGGCTTAGATCTGTTCTCTTGCATCTCAGGTTTGACCCTGAGTACTTTTGCAGAATTGTTTGCCAAATGCATTTCTTCCTGGTCCTGCGATGCTGATCCCTCCCCTAGTCACCTCTTATTTTGATTTTTGTAGCATGCCCTATGGTTGGGTGCCTTTGAAGATAATTTAGAAGCTTCAGAAGGTTGCAGCTAGACCTTCTGGGCATAGCGGGGAATATCGCAGCCATGCCCCAGCTTTGTAAAATACACAGGCTGCCTGCTAGTTTCCAAACACAGCTCCAACAGTTGCTTTTGCCCTAAAAAAGCCCAAATGGCTTGGGAAAAACTCACCTGAAGGTCCTTCTTCCTATGTATAATCTTGCTTAAGGACTCTGAGTTGCTCTAATGTGACTGAGATATTTTGTCATTTACAAGTTTTGTTTCATGTTGCTTGTTCATATATTTTGCTGTTCTTTTATTGTACTCTATGAGATCCTGGGGCAAAAAATCAGAAGACAGAGTGCCTGTAACACCCATGCTGAAAATATATTTTGCTGAGCCTGTCATTGATTAACCTGTTCTTGGTGTTCTCCAAATGCTCTGTAGCCTTGAAATAGCACCCCAGAATGTAGATGTGAATGTGCATCCCACAAAGCATGAAGTACATTTCCTTCACGAAGACAGCATCTTGGAGCGTGTACAGCAACACATAGAGAGCAAGTTGTTGGGTTCTAACTCATCAAGGATGTATTTCACTCAGGTGGGTGCATTCTTCAGCCACAAAAGAGCGTTCAGTCCTTGTTTTAGCATTGCTTATATTACTTGTATGAATGAATATGTTGCATTCAAGACCTGGATTTATTCTGTCCCAAATAAGCTGATACCCCATGCAGGATAATTTGTCAGGTTAGTGGATTAGCAATGCAAAATAGTACTCATATTAACTCCAGCGACAATTTCTTTTCACTTAGTTCCCATGGTTGGGCACACATTGTACTTGATTTTGCCCTGCAGTTTTTCTGAAAAAGTGAAGATTGCTAAGGTAATCAAAACATTGTTGGAAGTCTCTTGCTGCAAATCTGTTCAATTTCTAGCAAAAAAGACTAACATTTACTTTGACTCAGTTGTTTGGATTCAGATTTAGGGATGTGAAACTGAAGTAATGGAAACAAGTGTCCGCACATCTTCACATCAGCCCTTGCAACCACCTGAAAATGAGTTTCAGGGGTTTGGGGAAGCCTACTAACTGAGGTGAGGAGTAGAGACAAGGGGCTGACAATTTTTGGGACAAGCAGGGACACCTTCAATGTGTTGATCCTTCTTCCTGTATCCAATGTATTAAAATTCTGATCAAAGAGTTAGTAAATGGTTATAGCCATTGAGGAATTGCATTGGGTTGGGTTTGCATTGGGGAAGTCCAGTTCTGCTGCACAAAGCAAGTTTTTCTGGGCTCTGATGGTGTTAGGTGAATGAATTTGCCACAGTATTATTTATTTATTTATACCTTTTATATGCCATTACCACATGCCTCGGCATATCGGGACGGCTCACAATGTACAATTAAAAACAATAAAAAATAATAAAATCCATAAAATTATATAAAAACAAAAAACAAAGAAGCGACGGTTAACAATAAAATATTAATTTTTAAAACAGCAATTAAATAAAAGGTTTTAACCTGGCGCCGAAAAGAATATAAACTCGGTGCCAGGCGCACCTTTCCAGGGAGCGTATTCCATAATCTGTAATTTGTATACCAAAGAGAATTATTTTCAGAATAAGTGGATAGAGGTAGAAGAGATTAGATTTTTCATTCTGATGGTTGCATTTGGTATGAAGTAAATCTGCAGCCTTTGAACAATTAAAATACTTCTGATTAATTGAGAATAGATGATTGTTTTTAATACAAGTTCTTAGATGGGAAGCGTCATCTTAAGAGGTAGAATACATGTGCTTATAACTTTCAAGTCTTCATTGTTAGGAGACACAAACTGCATTTCAGAGTCTGGTCACTTCTGAAATAGAAGTCATTGTGCTTGATTTTATGTGTTTTTTTAGCTACTTCATTTAGCTAAGTCATGTGAGAGTTTGCAGCTCTATAATAACTTTGGATTTGTCTATAATCCCTGAGTTGTGTCTGTTCTAGCTGCACCCAGGACTAAATCCCTCTCCAAAAAAAACGGTTTGGAGAGATGTGTACTGTTGCAGTGCTGTTGAATTGTTTCTCTTCTTTCACCCATATCTTCAAAAAAGACATTGCTACCAGGTGTGACTGCCCCGTCTGCTGATGTTGCTAAATCAGCCAGTTCTTCAGTTAGTCAAGGGACAGACAAGGTTTATGCCCATCAGATGGTTCGTACTGATTCCCGGGACCAGAAACTGGATGCTTTTCTTCAGCCAGTTAATAAATCCAAAACTTTTGGATCTCCTGCTGTGGCAACAGAGGACAAAAGCAAGGAGCAGAGTTGCAAGGAGACTGGGCTGCAAGATGTTGAGATGGAAGAATGCAGTGACTTGACTTTAGGAGCGGAAGTTATGGAGACAGCAGACAAGTTGGTGGAAAGCCAACCTATGTCTCTTGAAACTATATCTGCACGGTAAGAGGGATCTTTTCAGAATATTTCTGGATTGTCTCCATTTTATAACTAAAGCAGAGATCTTGTCCACCTTTCTTTCCCGCCCACAGTAATCAGTAATCCAGACTTTGGCTTCTCTTGTCTTTGGCACAGTTTTTTTAAGGCTGGATTTGAGTTGGATTATGAAGTACTGGCCTTACTGATTTAATAAATATAAATCCTGCCTTTCATAAAATTAATAAATAAAAAATAATAATATAGTATCCTCCTTAACACAATAGAAATCCTTAACACCCTAGAAACATTAAAAACAACAGCAGAAAAAAACACCTAAAACCAATTACAGAGTAAATAGTCTGGTAAAATTAGTTACTAAAGTAACAAATTTGAAGATTAAAGGCTGATAGAAAATTCTAAAAAGATTTTCAGCCATCATCAGGGGCCAAGGGGGCCAAATGGATTTTTGGTGGGGAGTGCTATACTATTGAGAAGGCCAGGTCCCCCACAAAGAGGAAGATGGAACAGATGAGTGAGTCTCAAATCAGTGAGAGGGCAAGTGAGTATTAGAGAATTCAGTTATTCATCCCAAATTGTAAAGGGCATTAAGATCATAATTAGCACTGGGTCTAGGAACACATTTGGGAGCTGGCATAGATGTTTCAGTGAGGAAGCAGTACATTGCCACTATGTGGCTTATCTTGGCAGCGTCACTATTTTTGGAAGCAGGCAGCCCCACGCAAAGCATTTTGCAGGAGACCAGATGTGATAGAACTGGAGCACTTGTTATGGAAAACTCCAAGAAGAGGTATACCTAACACACTTGCCAATACCAAGCAAGAGCAGCCCCAGCTATCAGTGGCACTTGCAGAGATAAGGCTGGTTCTGAAAGTAGCTCAGCACCCTTTTCTGTTTGGGACCAGACTTTCCTGATGGTGTTTGGACACCTAAAGCTTGAGGGCCAAAATGTTTTTCTGTTACATGCAGACTTTTCTTAGCAGGTGAAAAACATGTTTAAAGTTCTTACTTTACTTGTGAATGCATCAGAATGCATCCTTTCTCATCTGCCTTGCAGAAAGAGACAGCGAGCAGATTGTGATGTGGAAGTGGAAGAAGATGCAAGACAGGAAATGACTGCTGCTTGCACTCCAAAGAGGAGAATTATTAACTTAACGAGTGTATTGACCCTGCAAGAAGAAATCAGTGACCAGGCACATGCAAGTGAGCATATTGCTTATCTGCTTTCACAGCTGTGCTTTCCATGCTGCTTTAGAGCCTTTGGCTTTCTAAAACAACTGGTAGGAGAGGAATGGTTAGCTACAGCCAAAACTTGAATATTTTATGCATTGCATTAATATGTGAAGTGGCCCAGAGCACTGAGTTAAGATCACTTGTTAACTAAGGTATTTGGAAGGAGGTCAGAGTCAACAGTATGCATTTCTACATACACAACAGCAGATTTAGTTTATACCTACTTTGCATGCTAACATACACCTCATCCAAAAGCTCATTTACCAAAATTATTTAGAGGTTCCCAGACTTGCTATATGCTCCTTTTTTAATGCTCTGAATAATTCATAGAGCATTAACTAGCATCCAGGGCTAATGGCTTGTAAAACATAGCCTGAAAAAGCAGCTGTCTATATGTGTCCTTTGGCTACAGATGTAGGAGTAAAGATGTTCTGAGGAAGGGTTCCGGTTGTCCTTGGAGACTAGACTGCGGTGTTGTGATGACGCTGGTTCAGAAATGGGGGCTGGTGAAGTAGGCGTTGATTGAGAGCACTGTCGGTTGCTTTTTATGAGCAGTTGTGCAAGCAGTCAGAATCAAGCCCACATCTGCTCTCAGGTCCACCAAATATTTATTTTGAAAGAAGCAAAATAGCTCACACATTATTGATGCAAGTGGTTTTCTCTCAGCTGCTGTTTTATTTTTCAGAGCAAAATTTTTGCCTGATAGAAGTAGCTGAAGCTGAACTTATATTCACTTATTCAGCTACAGTAAGATGTAGAAACACATGGCATCCATTATTCTCTCCATTGGTGCCTCTTACCAGTTGGAATTGGCTACTTAGGTCATCTCTATTTTTATTTATTGTATTTATATCCTGACTTTTCCTGTAAGGAACCTAAGGCAATTTATATAATCCTCTCCCTTTTCTTCATTTTTTTCTTCACAACAATCCTGTGATGTCAGTTAAGCTGACAGTTGGTGGTTGGCTTGAAATCACCCAGGATAATTCATGGCTGAATGGGGATTCACATCTGGGTTTCCCAAGACCCAGTGCAGCTCTCTAACCTCTACATCGTACTAGCTACTAGTCCAAATAGCTGGACTGCCACCAATATTAAATGATCAAGGCTTAATGTTAAAGCTTTTGTTGCAAAATTTGACAGGGCCAGGTGAATAAGTTAAAGAGTTAAAATGAAATTGTTGGATTTAAGCAGTTCTTATTCCAAGCCCCATTACTTTGGGCAAACATGCCAGTGTGGTGTAGTGGTTAAGAGCATGGGACTGGGACTCAGACGATCTGGGTTCTAGTCCCCGCTCAGCCATGGAGCCAACTGGGTGACTTTGGGCCAGTCTCAGACTCTCAGCCCAACCTACCTCACAGGGTTGTTGTTGTGGGGATAAGATGGAGGAGGAGATGTAAGCTGCCTTGAGCCCTTTGTAGGAAAAAGGCAGGATATAAATCAGTCGATCAATCAATAAACACACATGTTTCTGGCGATGGTTTTCATAAGATTTGGGTGCAAATACAGTGCTCATAATAACCAAGCACTAACAATCTGAAGTAATTATAGCGATCCTGGCTTGAGTAATAATTTTTTAAAAATCCTGCTCCAACTGGTGTGCAAATTGCCAAAATATTTTTTGGAGAAGACAATGTGTAGAGTAAGTATGCCCTGTAAACCTTGAAGTTCCAACTCAGTGCTCTTGAAAATTAATATAAGCAGGAGTGTGTGGGTCTACTGGACAAAGTTCATAGAAGGGAAACAATATAGAAATTTAAGAACAGCATTTTTCCCCCCTATATTTTCCTGGGAAAAAGTAGAGTTACTAGAAATGGTTTGCAGCTAGCATTTGAAGTCCACAGTACTTTAGTCATTTGTTAATGAAGTTGCTGAGTTTTTAAAGATTTCTGATGCAGCTGGTTTGTTCCAGGCCTTCAGGAGATGCTACGTGATCATTCCTTTGTGGGATGTGTCAGTCCTCAGTGGGCACTGGTGCAGCATCAGACAAAACTGTATCTTCTCAATACTACAAAACTCAGGTAAGCATATGTTCGTTGCAACAAAAATGCTGTTGACAGATTCAGTAATAACCAGCAATGGGTGCATTATTCCAAGTTGAGTTCTAGCAATGGACAACCAGAAACCCACAAATACTCTGTAAGCAGAATAGGAACAGAATTGTAAAGCCCCACTCATGTTCTTCAGCAACTGGCATTGATGGGCACCTGATACAGGAAGTAACCTACAGCCAGTGTGGTTTGTAGCCACTGATACATATCTTCCATTAATGGGTCTTTAAAAATTTATCCTGAAGCACCTTCAGTGAGATGTTGAACCTGGTTCTTGCCTGTCGTTGGCCTAAGACAAAAATCTAACTGCAACACCATGCTGGCTCTTCTATGGGAGTGAAACCATGATTCTTCAGAAGCTATACAACATTGGCTGGATTCCAGCCAACTGAGAAATGCTGAACCTGGAAAGGCTGCAAGCTAGTGACATAGAGTTTGTGGAAGAACTAGAGGGAGATGTGAAAGGCAAAGATGAGTGCAGTCTATTCCTAGGTTAGCAAGGAAAAGATAGAAGGTACCTGAAGGTGGTGTAGATGCAATCTCTGTCTGGTTTAGGCTAGCTTCACCCTGTAGTTTGTTGTCACAGTAACAACCAATCTAGGATGAAAGACAGGAATAAGAGCACTTTTCTTGCCTTATTGACTCCACTATAATCAGGTTTACCTTTACAAGGTCCTACTTTTAAACACTCCATACAATGATGTTTATAATGTCCCAGTGGTTCTCAAGGATCATAGTTAATCATTTTCTACCTTTTAACACTGAATTAATCTGTTCCAGTACTGGGAAACTTGGTATTTATCAAATATTTTAATCATATCAGCTGTACTCTTGAAGAATGGATACTCCCTATTCATTACTAAAAATAACTGATTTATTTAGTTATTTAGTAGTGGGATTCCATATCAAGATTTTCCATTCAGATCCCATTATATAGTAGAGAATGTGCATAAAATAAACTGATTTTTCTTCCTTTCTCAAGTCAAGAAATGTTCTACCAGATACTTATTTATGACTTCGGAAACTTTGGCGTTTTAAGATTGTCAGTAAGTATACATTTCTTGAATCTGAGTTAGATATTTCAGTACTCACAAAAGAGCTGTTTCTTTTTCCAGTACTTTGAAGAAGGGGTGAAAAACTAACTTAAATCACTCATTCTTGCTTTGTACCACCTTAAAAATTATGGTGGTAACTGCTAATCATATATAGCTTGTGTATTTTTAAGGGAGTGGCTCTCCTCTTAGCCCCTCCCTGGTTGAACACTGGTTTTGTTCTGAGAGCCAATGTGACATGGTGGTTAGACTGTTGCACTGGGATTCAGGAGATCCAGTTTCTAGTCCCCACTTGGCCATGGAGCTCACTGGGTGACTTTGGGCCAGTCACAGGCTCTCAGCCCACATCACAGGATGGGTGTTGTTAAGAGAAAATGGAGCTGCCCTGAATACCTCACAAAAAGTAAAAGGGCCAGATATAAATGCAGTGTCGTAATAATAATAGTAATAATGATGTTAATGACAATAATGGCTTCACTTGTAACCCCATTTACCTCGGTTTCTCCAATTTCCGGAGAATGTCAGCTTAGGCATGAGCTCTACCTAACTTCTAATGGAGTGAAGTCGGAGGTAAAAAATGCATTTTGTTTCTCAGTCACTTCTCTATCCTGCCTTAGTACTCCTTTAAACTATTCAGCCAATGGGCCAACTGTTCCCATGCTGATAATGTCCTTAGCAATATTAGCTATACTTTTTTATACAATATACTCTTTTTTTAAAACTTTCCTTGCTGTGTGTGAACCTTTTGTTCTCCTTGGGCAGCAGTTTCCTTTTTTGAAAGAACCCATCATTGCTTCCTTGACACTGCTGGTTAACCATGCTTGATAACCAGTTGTTAGAGACTTTAAAGCATTAGCCTGAAAACTGCTATATATGGAGTCCCACTCCATTAGAAAAATGTCTTATCATTGCATGCAAAATGTCCTAGTTACGCTGGCAGTCTTTTAGGTATTTCTGTAAATCATGCATCTTGGATGCATGAATAGGAAGGAATTTTTATGAGGTGTTTTGCTCTGTTTTGTTTTTGTTTTGTTTTGTTTGGATTAATCTAGGAACCAGCTCCTCTTTATGATTTAGCCATGTTAGCCTTGGAGAATGCTGAAAGTGGTTGGACAGAAGAAGATGGTCCAAAGGAAGGTCTTGCTGAATATATTGTTGATTTTCTAAAAAAGAAGAGTGAAATGCTGAAAGACTATTTCTCCCTTGAAATTGATGACGTAACTATCATTGTTGTAACATGAGGTTTTTTTTTTTAAACTATTAGCTACTGTATAGCACATTTTGCAATATCTATGAGAGCATAGCACAAGAAACAATAAGGCAGAAAGGAAAATATAAGCAAGATTTTATAAAGAATCACTACCCCAAAAGCTGAGAATAGAGGCTTTTTCCCCTTGGAGAATTCTAAGCAGGAACTATGCAGCTTGCTATTCTTATCTGCCTCTTGTTGCCACAATTAATGTGGGGGGGGGATTTTTATTTTTGGTTTAATTTTTTCAGCTGAATTGTAAACAAGCAGACAAGGTTGCTAGCTGCACTGTCTGAATCAGAGGCTGGGTCATTGCACTAACTTAAATCATTTTCTCCAGATTAATGGGGTTGTGCCTCTGTGTGTGTGTGTGTGTGTGTGTGTGTCCGTATGCCTGCCTGCAAGCACATATGTACTCATATTGGTCCATGGGGTGCTAGCCATATTGGTCCATTAAGGGGGAAAAACACGAATGTCACAAACATGCCTAAACATTCTGAGACTTTTTAGTTGGCCTGAAGTATTACCCTGTGGTCTTTAGATAAAGGTGGTCCTATCTTTTATTATGCTATGTAGACATTTCTCTTTACATTTACAAAAGATGCAAATAATTGAATAGACAATTATTATTGTGCTAGTTCCTAGGAACCAACAGTGCAGACAGCAGCAAGCTGACAGCAGGTAGATTGCAAGCTGACAGCAGGTAGATTTTGCAAATGTGTGGCATTAAGAGCAGCTGTATGATGTATGTAGGTGAAAGATTGAACAACAAATTGATGGAAAACCTTTATTTACAGGAAGGAAATCTTACAGGACTACCACTTCTCTTAGATAATTATGTTCCTCCATTGGAAGGGCTACCTGTGTTTGTCCTTCGTTTGGCCACAGAGGTATGTTGACATTTAGCTGGTATTAGCTTCTTCGTATCTTATTTATACAAACAAATACATTTATTCTTTGGTGCCTGTATTCTGTGGTACTGTTCACCTTTATTGGAAAAGCTTTTGGTAAAGGGCTTTTTAAAGGATAGATAGGACCTAAATGAAATGCTGAGAGCCATGACAGATGCAAACTATTTGCTAGTCATATGGAATGGCTATTTTGGGTTTTAAAAATGTGTCTTCCAGCTATCCATCTAGCTTCTGAGACATTAGAAGGGAATGAATGCCGACTAACTTCACAGCTAAAGAAGCTAATTTCTGGTTTTGTAAAGGGAAAGCTGTTTTCCGAGAAGTTAAGTTCTGTACCTGATACCAAAGTCTGTACTGCAGAATCAGACAGATTTGTTTTTGTTCATGTAAATGCTAAAACAGGGTCTGCACTTTTTCTTCTCGGGGTACTTCTATCCATTACACTGTAGAGAGCAGAGCCTAACAATCTATGTATGACATTGTTCTCCAAGCCTTGACTTCAGCTCTGTGTGGGTATGGAAGTAAGGTACTACCTTCTTCAAAGGAGCCCTGTAAAACTGCCCGATACTGTTTAGATTTATGTGGATCATCCATTACTGCATTTTAAAAAACTTGAAAGGTAGTGACTGATCTTCTGCCTTTCATTTAGAAACACATAATGCACAGAATTTGATCCTGGTATCATGAGAATCCCACCCATTAGCTGCTAGGAATTTGGTACAGGAACTCTATAACATAATGGCCTACACTAAGGTCTTTTGAGTATTATGGGCCAGGTACAAATTATTGCCACAATGACTGTATTTTTAATAGTCTGGTTGTGTCAGGTTTTTTTCCCTATGAAATACGAATTACATACCTGTTAAGATGTGGATTTAAATTGGAGATACGTAACTGCTATATAATTTGCATTATTCATATATATACTCTATTATTTCTACACTTAAACCATAGGTGTCTTTTAGTCACAATGAACTGTTTATGTGCTACACAAAATGCATTAAGTGGTTTCCATACATGTTCCCAAATTGTGGAGCACTACTGGTTGGCTATTTTAGCACTTAGATTTCCTCTTGAAATAGAAGCAGTGATATTTCTGCACAACCTATAATTGACAAAGAGAAGAAATCTCTATCCTTATTGTGTATCAAATTGCTACTACCTTATAAAGTTTAGCTTTACAATGAATAATTACAGTAAACCTTGAGCAAAATATTTAAGAATTATTTTCTTTACCAGGTAAACTGGGATGAAGAAAAAGAATGTTTTGAAAGTCTTAGTAAAGAATGTGCCATGTTCTACTCTATTAGAAAACAGTACATAATGGAAGATTCTGATCTTACTGCTCAGCAGGTACCATCTTTATTCATTATCTTTCAGAGAGTAAAATGCACCAAGATTACTTTTAGCCGGAAATTTCCTAACTCTTTTTTTGGAATCCTGTACTGATGAAGTGAGACTGGAGAGGAGTGCTTTGTTGTTTTTCATGTAGACTTGTGGGCGGCACTTCAGGAAAAGGAACTTAAATTCATTTTAAGAATCTTTGGCCTGGCTTGAATGGCATGACAACCCATCAAAGGTGATTAGATACAGCGAGTTCTTGCGTTGTCCAAAGCTAGATTGCTTCCTGTAGTGGGGCTTAATTTTGGGGAACAATCCACCCTCACAACCTATGACCTGTTCCAGGGGGTTGGGGGTTGTACATACCACAATGGATTGTTCTATCATCTACACCTGGAAGAGCAATTTCGTTGTGGGTTGTTGAGGCCAGCCAGTGAAGCATTCGACAAGACAGGCCAAAACCCGTTTGTCATCTTTGCAGCTCAGAATGTTTGCAGATGGACAGAATGTCGGATGGACACTGAACCTGATCACGCATGGCTACTCTTTCTGTTCACGGTCTCACCAATGTCTGTTCCTTCACCAGTGCCCAAGTGGCACTTAAGAACAACCATCACTGGTTTGCCAGCTTTTTATTTTTTCCAGTCCCAGAATTATATTAGTTTTCCTCACCTCAGAGATGGGACTGAGACAACGGTTGCCACAAGGTTAGGTGGGATCTTTGATTGCTATTCCAGGACCATATATATGGAGAAGGGAGGTGTGTGCGGTCAGAAGAAAAGTACTAGTCCAGTAAAAATAAGGTTAACTGCAAAATAAATCTTGAAAAGCAAATTAACATAAGAAGAGACACTAAATGTTACCCCCCATGGGAAAAAAATATAACCAGTTATTGGAAATGGCTGAAAAGTGTAACTTATCAGTGTAATTTCTCTGCTTCCAGAGAAATGGGGGAGTTTGTAAGTAAACTTTTTCAATATTTTAACAGCGGAGTTATTTTGTCTATTATTGCAGCAACAATTATGGAAAGTCTTCTGCTTTAAAAGTGCTAATTCTTAAATATCCATTACTGTGTCAACATTAACACTCGCTGATCAGCCACCATCGTAATCTTTTGGCATAGTTATGTCAAGCCCAGCATCTGGGCCCAGGGCCCAAGACACCAGGGTCATGTCAGTGGGGTGCCTCCCCTCATTCTTTTTTTTAATTTCCATCAGTAAGATTTTGCAGCTAACCTTATTTTTTACCAGACCAGGAAAATGAATTGTTTCAAAGGATGGAGTGGTGCACAGAACAGTGGTATTCTGAAAGCCACCAAGATGCTCTTTGTGAGGGCATTTAGTTCAGAAATCCTTCTTGGCTGATATGATTGCTAGCAGAAAAGCCACTTTCAGAGAAGGCTGTCTCAAAGGAACACCATTCAGATACCTAAATGGCATGAGAACCATAGGTTTCCTCCTGGTTAGGAAATTTTACTGACCACTGGGTTAAGAAGACATTAAGCAAGGAACTTTTAAGGTGCAGATCTCCAACTAGAGTTCAGAAGAGTAGATGCCCATCTCTAAAGGAGTGTGTGACTTAAGTGTACACTGAGGGCCTGTGTGCAAAGTCACCTGCAGAAAGTGAAATTTATTAGCCATGCCAGAAGTAGGTATCACTCAGCTTCCCCAAGCACAAGTAGCTAAAGGTTCTCCTCACTGTTTTGTATAAATTAGTAGAGTGATTAACAGGCTACACTGCTAAAGGAAAAACTATCCTGGGCAGAAGACAGGGGAGAAGTGGAGGTAAAGCCACAGTTAATACATGATCCTTGCCTTTCCCAGGAATGTGAGACATTTAAGCCTTTTGGACCATTCATGGCTTCTCGTACATTAAAATAACTGAGCATAAAACATAAGTGGAATGAATTTCTCTCCTATTTTATATCTGATTTGCACTTCTCAAAGCACTGTGTGAACCAAAACAGTTACCTTGCAGCAAAAGCTGATTTAACCTTAACTCTTTTAAAACCCTCCTCGCAGGCTGAAGACTCTGGAACAGGTACAAGATCTTGGAAATGGACAGTGGAACATGTACTTTACAAAGCTTTTAGGACATATCTTTTACCTCCTAAAAGCTTCACAGAAGATGGCAACATCTTGCAGCTTGCTAATCTACCAGACTTGTATAAAGTCTTCGAGAGGTGCTGACCACAGCTGTAAGGTCCACAGCTGTTAACAGCTTGCTTCTTCTGTCACTGCTTTAAAGGTCAATGCACCATAGAAAATGGGTGTTAGATTAACTCTGTATAAAAGTGACTGTACTTAAGGTCAGAAAACAGTGGATGTGTTCAGCTTTACAAAATTACACAGTTCCGTAATGAAGACAGTATGACTATTAAATAGCTAGATTTCTACCAATGGAAAGATAAAACAAGCTAGTTCTGTGGGAGAAGCTAGTTAATAAACTGGCCCTTCTAATGAAAATATCATAATTTTTAATGTATTAAACTATACTTTTTCCATCTGAATAAACAGTTCAGACACACATGAAAACAGCAAATACACTAGAGTCAACTGAATAGGACTGAATAGAAGATATCATCTTAAATTGAAACATCACAATCCTTTCTATTTGAGATAGTGACAGTTAAATATATCTACACAGGAATTAGACAATAGCAAGGTTACGTAACTTGTAAGTTTTCCATGAATCTCGGTTCTGAACAAAATATAACCTTAGAAATTTATGTATACAAGCCCATGGGCAGCAGTACTACCACTGCTGCTTAAGTAGATAAATTCAAGAATTTCTATGTGGAAAGTTTAGTTAGGTATATCCATTTCTCAGTTAAGTTGTATGAGTTACTGGTAATATGTTGCTTTGAGTCACATGTGGGATTATAACAGTGAAATGTTAAGTATTTGCAACCTAATGTACAGGATGGAAGGAAAAAAACATGTATCCAAAACGCATCTGATTCTGTGTAAAGTGTCTGTTTAATATTTTTCTGTCATATTTCTTCCACCCACGCCTCACTCCACACGTAAGCAGCTGACATACCAGGTTCAGAATGTACAACAAAATAGCGTCGTTCTTCTCTTACACTAAGTAGTTAGGGATATTACTTTTGGAAATCTAAAACTCAGGTGTGCATCACCCATGCAATAAAGCAAATTTTATACAGTCATTTCTATTTTATATAAATTTAAATATATTACAAAAGTGTTTCCCATCAAAATGTATAAAGTTTAGCAAACAAGATCCCCAACTGTCTCTTAAAATAAATGCTATCTGATTCAAAGGTTATTTTAATCTAATCATTGAAGTCTACATTGCACTATATAGAAGGCACTTGTGCCATGTGATGTCTTGAGCACGTAACTGGTTAGTTTTTAATGCAGCATCATCTTGAATTCATGCAATGTCTCCAAGCACCAAGCATTATTAAAGCAGTTGAAATAGCTCAATGAATAAACTTAATTTCACAATTGTGAAAATAGTTTTATAGCACTAAGTCAATCATACAGCATTGGGCTCCAGCAGACTTGAGAATTAAGCTGCTAAAGCTCATCATTTGCATAAACGTTCAAGCTTTTTTCATTTGCTCAAGTTACAAAATGTTTGCCACTTAATTATGGAACTAAAACTCACTGAACAACTCAGTGTTCAAAGTCTGTGCCAAAGAAAGTCTGTATTAAAACAAGCTTGGGTAAGTTATTTCGAGGAGCAGTGCATTTTGTTAAAGTTTCCATTCTACTGTTGAGATAGAAGTGCAGTTCTATTTGCCTTCATTTTTTCCAACCGTTTTACTAAGTGGCTGTTGGTCATTTCCATTTCTTCTATCCTGTCCAATGCTGTTCTTAACTAAAAGAGAAAAGACAAAATGCATATTTAATACAGGACTTTGTTTTGTATGAACCTCTAGAACGGAATTTTAATTAAACCAATGCTGGCTCCTAAAGTTTCTAAATCAGAGATGGGGAATGTATGTCCTCTAAGATGTTGGACTTCATCTCCCCCTCATCCATCATTTTTGCCTATACTAGTGGAAACTGTAGTTCAAACACCTGGAGGACTACATCTAACCCATTTTGGTTCTAAGCATACCACACAAGAAATGTTTACTGTGCATATTGAAAACTTGTTTACACAGACAAGGTCCAGAAATCAGCTGAAATAACCCCTGTCTACAGATGCTCAAGCCATTTCAGCCTTGCAAGTTTCACATTAGGTAACCTGAGGCCAAACAGGATATTTATTTAAATCTAGACCTGCAGAAGCTGCCAGTTGAAGATTACATTCTAAGAACAAAGTCACATGCAGATAAACTAGAGGCACAGGTAATGTTCTGCATTTATCATCTTGAAGCAATTCTTAATCCCTTTTTCTCCAAGGCAAAGTCAGTTCCAGTATTCAGCCCAAACAGTACACATTGCTATTAAAGCTGGCACATTCACCCATAACTTTCTACACTAATTATGGCAGGTGCAGATTTAAACATACCGATCAGCCATTTCATGCACTGTTTGTCTCAGTGTCTGCTCTTCCTTTACTGCTTTGCTTACTACTAGAACTACTTACTACTAAAATCCACCAACCAGAACCAGATGCAAAAAAGTGGCACAAGCAGATAATGCTAAGAATTAAGGGACAATGTGTCTTTGTCCCAGCTTGTGCATCATGGCAGGAAATTGTGGATTATTTAATCTACAATCCATAGGAATGCAGAATGCCTTGCAAGTCCCTTTCAGATTCTATGAACAACCTTGATTGGTATGACTGGAATTTGTTGGCATTACTTAGACCAACTGGTTGTTTCGAGGATAAACAGCCCCACAATTAACTCATAGTTTGTTGTTTGGATAGCTGTTGTTAGCCTCATTTGTCTGGGTTGTTACAGCACATGGACAATTTCTGATGACACCAATCAAAGGCTGCTTACAGAAATTGGCTTTCAGACATTCCCATGGTAACAGCCCACATCTGGTCAAATCACAGATTAATTAACCCACAATATGCTATCAAATGCCACATCAAATCTGATATACGTATGCATCCAAGAATTTGTGATTAGTACTGAAAGTTCACAACTTGCTGTTCTTGTTATGCAGCTGGGAATCAGAAATCATTACAAACCTATCACAAATCACCAGTGATCTAACAATGCAATTCCTATATAATTTATGGTCATTTTTTCACTAAAAAGCTACCCTGCTTTGGCAACCAGTTTACTTTGACTTTTGGTTCACCATCTGAAAATCCCTAAAATAAACCATCTTGAACTTCTTGCTGTGAAACATTTGAATTAGAGGGTCTAGCAGTTACCACCTGACCTTACCACATGTAATGGTAGATTTTTAACAACACTGTTGGCAAATTTCCTCCCACAAAGTGTTCTGGAACACCTCCAAAACAGCCAGTGCATGGTCTCTTCTGTTGACATTAAAGTTAAAATTGGATAGCAAGAGATTCAAGTTGGATGGGTTAGTCTGCCTAGAGCCAGGTGTGCCAATTATGTAGTGCCTGGGTGTCAGGCCAAGTCTGGAGATGCCATCCCCACCCCACAAGTTTCATGGTGGAGAGGGGAAACCTCCCAGCTTGTCACTCCTGGAAGCTCTTCCATGCCTTGTTGGCACCGGGATCACTGAGGCTAGTTTACTCTTTCCTCAAGGAAAGCCAAAAAACTGTTCTAATTCCTAAGCAGGTGGTGGGGAAGTGAACTACAAGAGCAGACAGAACGGCCATCCCTGCATGTTGTCTCCCTGGAGCTTTTAAAATCAGAGAACAGCTCAAAAGCTGGCACCCCTCTGTGCACACAGTTGTCTAGTCACAGTTGTCAGACTAAGATTTTTCTCTACTTTAAGCCACACTTTGCCTTTAAATATATTAAATTCTCATTAACATTTGTATTCTTACAGTTTGTTCACACTGAAAGAAAAAAAGAGGCAATTACCTCTCGCTGGAGTTTTCTCTTCTCTGCTTTGAGTTCATCTTCTACTTTTTCTGCATTCTCTGCAGCCGTTTTATACCTTACCACCTGTCCTTCAAGTCTTACAACCTAAAAGACCAAACAGGTTTAAAGCAGTGATTCCCTTATTTCCCTATATGAAAACATGACTCATAAAGGAGCACAAAAAGGAGCACATGGAAATTGTTACCCTCAGTTTCCTCTGCAGGCAGCCAACTCACAGGACATAAATTCAGTTGAAGTAAACAGTATGCGCCGATGCGGCATAATTGCTTAGAACTTCAAAGGGTACCAAGAACCCTGAGTAAGCTGCAAGGGTATTCACCACCACCAAGCAATGTAAAACTCAGCATTCTGTAATTTGTATTGGCACCTTGCACTTCCACTCTTTGCAAGCACTGTTCCTAAACTTTGAACATGAAGTAGTGATCTACTCATTCTTTTAAGTGTGGAATGTAGATTTATCTATTTGGTTCCAGTTCGTGCAAAGTTCATCTCCAGCTTGGGCTCACTCTTTCTGTTGCCTTGGAACCATATAGGCAGCTGCTGTGTGGAAGGCTGAATTGGCACAACAGTGCAGTGGAAAATTTCCAACCAATTACGATGATTTAGAGGACATTAAATTGTTTCTGCAGTTGACTATGGAAGAACATAATGCATCTGATAACTTGCAGTCCTCCAAATGGTTTAGATACAACTTCCATCATCCCATACTGCTGCCCAGGGATGACTGGAGTTGCAGGTTAAACTAACTGGAGGTCCAAGAAGTGCTCATTTTTATATTGTATTAATAAACATACATAATATATATGTATACCCAAATCTTAATGGTACTTACATTTTGTTCCAAAGTGGTTATATCTTGTTCAGCTTTTGAAAGTTTAAATTTGAATTCACTTATTTGTCTGTTGGCATCTCCTAGACACAAGAAAATCAAATATTCAAGGGCTGTACTGCTCTTACATTTAAAGCAAAATTTCACTAAAGGCTATAGTGGTAGCTCTATAAAAGGAGGAATGGAAATTCTAGGCTTACTTGTCAATTTCAGTTCTATATGAGGAGGAAAGCATACAGCTTGGGAATTACATCCTTTTGAGGTTTTTCCTCAGAAGTTTTAGTCAATGGTTTTATTGGAACTTAAAATACCGCAATCCCTGGATAACAGCCTTTTTCTCTTAAAAGATGCTAGCCAAAAAAGTAATAGCCATGAATTATAAAACAGCATTATTTGATTAAGAATAAAAGGCTGTTTTACTATGGTAATAGGTTTGTCCCTGATAATCAAAGTGTTAGCAAGTAGAAAGAAATTCCCTGAGAATACAAGAGTTAAATCTCTTTGAGAGTTTAGGTGACCTGTTCCAAGAAAAAAGAGGATCTTGCTGGGATGGGAATGATGTAAAAACCACCCAGTTTTTCCAGCAAAAATCCCCTCACAGCTTCTTATTTGACAGTTTACCATATGACAGTTGTCAAGTGAGAAACAAGCAACAAGTTAGCCTGTATGTAGCAATGGTACCTCTATGTTCATGGATGGTGCCTCCAATTCTTTGACATGATCTAGGGCACTGTAAACTTCCCTGCAAGCCTTTTTGGTTAATAAGCAAAGTACAATGACTGAATCATCTAAATCTACTGAATCATCCTGGCATAACATTGCAAAGTACACTGAAAAGAGCAACAGCTCATTCAAGAAATGGCTGTTCACCCGAAGTGTCCTTTTGAATGCAAAAAGAATCAGCTTCTTTCAAAAAAAAATGTGCGAAAGTATACATACGCTGCATTTCAATTAACTGCAAATCAGAACCATTTTCCAATACTGTTAAATCATTATTTGTGCCATCATTTCTAGAGGATTTCTGCCGTTCTTCTTCCAACTGAAATTTCAATTTTTTAATCTGAAATTAAAATAATGTAGTTAATACTGCTGTTGTAGTTCACTACTAAGTCTATTCCTACTTGTTAGGGTATACCATTGATACTTAAAACAACTTTACTTTTTCATAA